TTTTTTATTTCTTTTAATATTTAAAAATTTGTAAAGCTGTTTTGATATGTCCTGTGCCACACTTCAAAATGAATGAGACCCTGGTCCCACTGAAAATCAAGACTTAGTGCACTTGAGTATAAAGTATCGCCACAGGTCATATGTACATAGCTATTCTGGAGATCTGCAAAGCCTTTCCAGTATATTTTTCATCCTCTTTTGCATACTGAAACAAATTTTTACCAGACTTGGAGTCTGACTCTACTGTGCATACCATCACAAATGTATCCCATTTTCTATGGAGGCTATTCGTTGCCAAAAATCCAGCCTTGTTGATCTGAGTTGAACAGTTTGTTAATGGAACAAATACAATTGTATTTCTTTGTATGTAAACTCCAATGTTGCATACTTGGATTGAGTTTGCCGATTTAACATTGTAAACATGCATTTCAACAAAATACATTTTGTTATACGACAAAACATTAACTGATAGTAGCAATACCAAGTGTTCGAATACTCAAAACAGAAGTTACATTCTTAGCTTTACATTGTCGAACCATCATGATTCGGATCAGCATAATCCAGTTTTACACGTTTTTCAATAGGAGATAAAATAAGCTCCGCCCATTTTCCCGCCCACTAAATCATCGTAAATAAACGTATTTTCCGCTCATTCTCGGTATTTACCGTCGGCGACAAGAAGCGGCGTGGTTTCCGTTTATCATACCTTTCTAAACATAATTCACTTGCATGATTGCCTACAATCAACATCAGCGGACTTTAAAGGAATATAGGCATATAAGTTTTAAAACGTTGTAGACACCACATTTCCTGGAAAAAGAAACTTAAAAAAACCCAAAAACACCAGGTTACATACTGTCTGAGGTTAAGTATTTTTCAAGGAAGCGAAAACTATTGAAAAGACTATATTCAACGACAAATAAATTTTACTGATGGTATTCCAATTTGCATAGGAATGAGTAACATTTACAGATAAGCTGCTACCTTACCACTTTCAAATTATCAAGTCAACATCTGATAGAGATTTTGATACGACTAATTACTAATACAGACCAAATTCTTGCTGTTGTCTTTCCTAGTAGTACTATTATATTAGTAGCCTTAATTCTAGCGCATGACTTAACAAGAAAAAAACTTTTAACAATAGTAAAATTATAACCAAAGTTGTATGTACCATTTCGTACATAACTTTTTATTTTTACCATATATTTTCCCATTTTTCCCATTTTGTTTTACAATAAGTAAAATTTAAATGAGTCTAAATGTATGTATGTTGATTATCAATTTATGTATACCTTGTTTATTTTATCTCTTAGAAAGCCATCACTTACAAAACTTAATAAATATTCTGTGTAGTATTTCATGTACATAAAAGTAGTTCTCTGTTTTGATCATATCAAATCTAGGTAACAGCTAATGACAGCATGTATACACATATTTTAGAGGTGCTATTGATTCAGCACAATGCATGAAAAGACCTTAATCTACGCCAGCTTACATATATTTAAAACTAAAAGGCTAAATCTCATCCTATGACTCAAAATACCTCCCAATGGAGGTAAACAGAGTTGCCAGGATACACTGAATATTTATTTCAACATTAAAATGGGACAAATTCACAAGTTTTGGTTATACAACGGAATTATTGATAGTAAACTTTGCATTGTTTCGTGGTCATACACTTGGTCAAAACTATGAGTTTTTCTACAATCCAACATAGTCCTTTAAAGAAAGAAGACACAGGCTTATTGTTCAGTTCTCTTTATTCGTGTTGCCAAAAGTGCCTTCCATGTATCGCATTCTAGTACTATTTGCTGAAGGTAAAAAAAAAAGATAAGCTTAAGAGTATTGCCGTGGCTCACAAAACCCTATCATTGATATCAATGATTAGTGATGTGTGTCATTATATATGGGAAACATTTCATTATGTTATTTCACCAACTTTAGTTTTTGCATAATTATTATTATGCTCATTATCAGTATATACGTTGTTACATTTTTACATTATATCTTAACCAATTTTGCATTACTTGAATATCCTTTACTAGAATACGTTTAAACAAAATCAGAGGATGTTCAAAGTCAAGATTGATGTAACAGTTTCTATATAATTTGAAATATTTTTGTACCAGCAAGAGTTACCTCTCTTTATATTCTGCTTTTGTGAAATTGGCTCCGCCTATTAATTTTCGTCTATTTCCGTGATAATTCCATATATGGAAGTTGCAAAATCGTTTACAAATGTTAATCCCGTTAGAATGTAACAGGAAAGTGTGGTGTTGTAAACCTGAGTGTGTCAAGTTGATGCAGTTACATTCTCAACGTCATGATGCACAGCATTAAACGTATTGTGTACGTTCTATCGTTTACATTTCTACATGTCGCAAATTTGAAATTATACATTTATAAATACAGTTTGCAATTTATCTAAGTTGCATGTTAACAGCTTTCGTTTTATCAAATCGAGATAATCAAAATGCTTAATACCAGTGCAGTACGTAACTCTCGGATCGACAATTAGATTTTTACTAATCTGTTTAGTAGAACCGAAGTATGCATTGTCAAGTTTCAAAGGCTGGATTTTTGGCAACGAATAGCCTCTATAATTTTCCATGTGTTATTGAGACCTAGTCTTTGCTTTTTTTTCAGATGGGCCATGGACACTATGAGACGACACTTTGAATGACATCTACAAAATGCCAATTCATCAAAAAGCTTGGCTATTGTCTTTGATATGTTGATATACATGTATCTGATAGAAATAAATAGTATTTGATTGACAAGGGTGTCATTTTACAAATAGAAGTGTTTGCACTTTTTATGTGAACCAGTGTATCAAAAGTGCAATTCAGAATTATAGATTTTGTTAAATTGTACCATAGTGTCAAAATATACACTTTGTAATACTGTAAGAGCTTCAAGATTGTTAATTCAATGACATGTGCAGTATTTAATGCATGAATATCAAATAGTGAAAAACAGAATAAGTCTAGATTTTTTAACTGAAACTTTGAAAGCCAGATCACAGCATGTCATTTTAGGTCTTTTATTGTGCTTAACTCCTACCATGCAACCAATGTAGACTCAGATCAGCAGAATTGCAACCATGCAAGCTGATGAGAATCTGCAATGTTTGCTGTTCAGGTTAGAGTCAAACTTTAAAGTAGTGCCTGTAGCAAACAAACATCAAAATTAACACATGTTTGTGTATATTGTCTTTATTCAATATTGAAATAACATTAAATGGCATTAAAGCTATGCAGATTTTAATCAGAATTATTGTTTATATGATAAAATATGATAATACAAAGTCAAGCAATGTCAGTAGTGTAGGAAAGACTGCCATGTGCAAGAAAACACTCTGAACTTACGACTGATTTTGAAAAAAAAAATAAAAATAAAAAAAAATCCCTACCTACCCTACCTAGCAATTTTGGGAAGGTTACCCTAAACAAACAATTTTTTTTTTTTGGCCTGATGATATGACGTCATTATACATGTACAATTCTCTTGGGCGGGGATACAGATGCAAATCCTGTATTGGCTAGTAAAGGTTTTGTATCTGTTTCACGGGTCAATAGACCAAGTTTAGTGCACAAATACATTTGTGTAAGACTTTTTACTAAAGTATTTTAAAATGGCCTCTTTTTTTACACCAACAAACTCTAAGGCTCAAAATCAGCAGTTTTTTTGTATTATATGAAAAGTAATAACTAAGAGTACAATATGGATTTGATATCGATATTTTGGACTCTGTAGATTGAACGTGGCTAAATAAGTAATATTGGATCCAATAATGATTTATATTCGAAGATCACAGTGTGCATACAAAGATAAGTTAATCGATTACAATTCATAGTAATGAAGTACTTTTCCAACTCTCCAGAAAGCATTTTCTACAGGCAGTATTTAGTAATTTGTCTTCAGCAAAAAAGAAAATTAATGGCCATATTTTCACCATTTTATGGTACAAATTCAATATATCAATGTCATGCCAGTACATTGAAGGGACAGGTGGGTTAGTAACTTAGAACTGCCTTTCAACCCATGGGTCTCATGTTCTAATCATTGTAGTCACTATCTGGTTTCTGCATGGGTTAGTTTCAGTCACGATTCCAACTGCTAATAATAATTAAATCAGACATTTAAATACTCCCCAAGCAAAACCATCTCGGTCATTTAAAACTAGTGAAACCACCTGTACTTTTATTCCCTCAGGGTCTTGTAGTTTTACCCATACCAGTAACAGAGTTATATGGGATCTTTATCAGATATACTATTCTTGCATATCAGACTGGCGTTTCCGTTAGTTTAACCCATGCCGGAAATTTCATCTGGCATGGGGGGTTCCAGATGAGTCGCGTGCTGTACAATGGCACGATAAAGATGACGTCATTTTACCGTTATGAATGATTTTGTAATTCATACGCGGTTGAATGAAAGTAGTAACGGTTGTAATGATATAAATTTTCATTGAAAATAAAGATAAAGAATTTAAAATATAATGGAATATGGTAGAATATGCAAGAAAAAATATCTGACATATGTTTGCGGTTCGGATCGGAATATCCGTCCCTCGGTGACCCGCCCATGGGCGGTAACTCGGCAAGCCTCGTTACCGCCCAATGGGCGGGTCACCGAGGGACGGATATTCCGATCCGAACCGCAAAATATGACAGATATTATTAATATTAGAAATTGCAGGTGCTTTCCACTGTTACCATGGAAGTGCTCATGGTCAAAACCGTCATGAATAGTATCAGTAAGAACACTTACAGATAATTCAGAATTTACTCAAATAATTTGAGTGGCTTTGCTGGTGAAATTCTAGCAAGTGAATCAGCTGGTTTAATGGTCATGTACTTTAAAAATTTGTATGACCCATGTGTTTTGTAATCATTGGCACTTGGCAGACAGGTTTGTGAATTTCTGTAAAATTGGGGAAAAGACACCTATTACACTGCTAAACATCCACAGTATTACACTAGAACAAGCACAGATTTTCTTTCAGAAGGTTTATTTGTCAGGAATAAATACAGTTTAACCCATTTTTTGTGCAATTTCTTTAGCTTTTGCCTTCTCGATCTTGGCAATGCGGGCCTGTGATTTGCTTCCCATAACTCCACCTCCCCAGTGACGACGGATCTAAAAATAGATATGTTTGCAAGGTTATCGAACAATTTCATACACTTAATAAATAAATAAACATGCATATCAAACAGTAAACAACAAGAATTTTAGTATGACATGGCACAATGCAATTCTTGATGATGAAATTGTTTAATACAATTTTAATTAGTACTTTTACAATGTCTATTGAATCAACTGATAATAATGCATTATCAGCATTTTCAAACCTGTAACAGCTATATTTAATGTAATTGAAATGTATTATCATGAAATGTTGAGAGCAAAGATTAACAATGAGAAATAACATTCATGTATTGCAGCCCCCACATTATACTGTTGCCAAGGACACCGGTAGGGACACCACAATGATTTTATATATTCCAGTTGTAATTATTTGTGTCAACATGTAAGTTTTTCGGAAGAGCCTTCAGAGATTTACCACACAATAAGCATACTTGCTATTTGGAATGGTTCTGGCAACCTGACTGGTGGCGACATGGAAAAGGCATATGTTTGTTTTTATGTCACATCGACACAGTATAGGTGATATCGTGACATTCCAGCTTTCCTGGTGGAGGAAGACCTCAAATGCCCTTCCGTGCATTACATCAAGCACGAACGGGGACCAGAGTAGAACCACCGATGTTCCGTAAGCTAGCTGGATAGCTTCCTCGCATGAAAGAATCCAAAGTCCCTGTCATGATTCGAACCCACAGCAGTGAGGGGCAAGTGGTTTGAAGTCAACGACCTTAACGACTCGGCCACGGATGTACCACACCACAACTACCTCACATGTTATGTCAATGTCATGCTCGTATGACATTGTAGATCATTCAGTCAGCAACCTTGTCATGTTTTTTTCCCATAGACCTGGATGTCCCATCTTTACATATTTCCGTTACAATAAAGAAAGTTCACTTACCTCGTCCACTCTGTCATTGAAGTTAGTTCTCACAGCATCTGTTATTTTGTTAAGGGCATTTCTGTCCTCACTGAAATTAGACATATAAACAAGTATTAAAGGAAAATTTAATAAATGCATACACTTCTTTATCACCTTTCATATGACAAAGTTATTTTCAAAGATTGAGGTGGCCCCCCAAAAAAATGCATTTCAGACGGTCATTTAGGCCTACTTAAGAGAAATGAGTTTAAATGGCAGTTTTTCTCATTTTACTGTTGGTTGTTGTACATGTAATACAGCCTGCAGCCTAAAGATAGCAGACATTTTGAATGAACATGTACTAATTGATATATCGTTCTTGCAAAATGCATGTAGCAATATGTTTCTACTGCAAACCCACAAACGAAAAACATTCCTTATTAGACAGAACTATAAGCAAAACCAATCCATTTTTAGATGATGGGAAATACATTGAGAAAGATCTGCAAAACTTTGGCCGGCAATTCAGCTGGTATGCAATTGTACTTTGTTATATCTGCAGGTCTTTTTATTTCATGAAAACAATCTAAATTGTCACCTAAGTGCAGTAATGGGTCAAGTCCTTCTAAATTTAATATGAGTTTACCAGTTATTGCACTACTAGGTGATGAAATACAGTGCATCAGAAAGACTAATGTATATCATGGTTCATCATCAACTTAGATATAGGGCGTTAGTAAATCATCATACACACTGTACTGACCAATTCACACTTGAAAGCAAATAAAGGGAAATTGTTACCAAGCTATACCAAGCTAAACCAAAAGTAGGATAGCTTTTACTTCTACTTCATGGTGAAACTTACTTTTTCTTTTGATTGTACGACTGGAAAAGACCCAATGGGACAGAAATACAGACCATATTTTTAGAAGTAGATGATGGTACTTCAGAAGAACTTTTGTCATCACTTTACTCAGTGAGAGAGTTCAATATTCTCATCAATTAACCATCTTAAAATCTTAAGTTATCACCATAGCATACATTTTAGATTTCCATATTTCTTGTTTGTTTGTTTGTTTCATTTTACGCCTTTTTCCAACAGTATTTCAGTCATATAGGCGGGTAGTTTCCTAACCACCGTTCCTGGAGAGTTACACCAGTACTAGACTACCTTCCTCCTCGCTAAACTACCAAGCATCTCCCAGGGATCGAACCCACGCCAGACAGGTAACTGGATTAGAAGTCATCGACTCTTACCTCTCGACCATTTCAAATTACATTATCATATCATAAAATTAGATATTTACACTATAACACTGCCTTTCGATAGAATGCCTTTCAATTAGAATTTAGAGACAGTTTGTTTTGCTTTGTTTGTACCATTGGGGAAAAGTGGGACAGAAATACAGAGCAATATTTTAGAAGTAGATGATGGTACTTCAGAAGAACTTTTGTCATCACTTTACTCAGTGAGAGAGTTCAATATTCTCATCATTTAACCATCTTAAAATCTAAAGTTATCACCCTAGCATATATTTTAGATTTCCATATTTCAAATTATATTATCATTATTCAGAAGATTAGATATTTACACTATAAGACTGCCTTTTGAAAGAATGCCTTTCAATTAGTTTGGGTTTTACATCACACCGACACAGTATAGGTCATTTGGCAATGTTCCAGCTTTACTTGAGGAGGAAGACCTCAGGTGCCGTTCCTTGCATTATTTCAGGCACAAACGGGCACCTGAGTAGAACCACCGAACGTAAGCTAGCTGGATAGCTTCCTCACATGAAAGAATCCAGTCCCTTTTGGGATTCGAACCCACAGCGATGAGGGGAAAGTGGTTTGAAGTCAAAAATTTAGATACAGTTTGTTTTGATTGTACCATTGGGGAACGTTGGGACAAAAGTACAGACCAATATTTTAGAAGTAGATGATGGTACTTCAGAAGAACTTTTGTCATCACTATACTCAGTGAGAGAGTTCAATATTCTCATCATTTAACCATCTTAAAATCTAAAGTTATCACCCTAGCACATATTTTAGATTTCCATATTTCAAATTATATTATCATTATTCATAAGATTAGATATTTACACTTTAAGATGAATGCCTTTCAATTAGAATTGAAAGACAGTTTGTTTTGTTTTGATTGTACCATTGGGGAAAGTTGGACCAATATTTTAGAAGTAGATGATGGTACTTCAGAAGAACTTTTGTCATCACTTTACTCAGTGAGAGAGTTCAATATTCTCATCAATTAACCATCTTTAACTTTTAAGTTATCAGCATAGCATGTATTTTAGATTTGCACATTATTCAAATTATAATTTAAGATCACAAAGTTAGATATTTACTCTACAAGACTGCCTTTCAATAGAATGCAAGAACATTATAATTTTGCGACATTCAGTTCTTTGTTATTTTCTTCCCCTTAAATCACTGTCAAAAATAATTTGGTATTGCATTAAGAAGTTCTGCAAGTCTGATGTAACATGCCAATTAATTTCTTGCATGTTTTAAGAAAAATCCTTCCAAAATTGAAGACCCCCCCCCCCCCCCCCCCCCCCCCCCAACACACACACAAAAAAGACATGACTTTGCCAGTGACGCCATTATAAATTTTCCTTCACATACAAGATTTTTTTACTGTTTTAAGTATTTTTTTGGTTCTCCTGCTGTTTTGCTATGGAAAGTGTAAATAGATTGTTGGAGACTAGCCCAACGTCCCATCATAAACGGTGAGTACTTTCAGAGCTTAATGCTAATTAGGAATTTAGAATAAATGGCAGTTTTTTTTAGTTTTCCTTATTTTACTGATGGTTGTTGTACATGTAAGACAGCCTGCAGCCTAAAGACAGCAGACATTTTGAATAAACATGTACTAATTGATTATATCGTTCTTGCAAAATGCATGTAGCAATATGTTTCTACTGCAAACCCACGAACGAATAAAAACTCTGTTAAATAGAACAGTTCTAAATCAGTGTATCAGAAAGACTAATGTATATCAGGATTCATCATCAACTTAGATATAGGGCGTTAGTAAATCATCATATACACTGCTTTATGATTTCCCCCCCCCCCCCAACAAAAGTTCTGTTATTAGTTTTCTTAATGTTATATTCACAATCCAGTTTGCAATAACAGCACAAACAGGTCAATAGGACAGTGTGGCCAACTGTTCTTGGTGTCTGTGTATAAGGGGATGGAAGGGAAACTGATATATCCTAAAGGCAGATTCATAAAGGTAGGTAACAAAATGAAATCTATACATTAGAGTACTTGGACACAGAATACAGTGCATCAGAAAGACTAATTTATATATCAGGATTCATCATCAACTTAGATATAGGGCGTTAGTAAATCATCATATACACTGCTTCTGTCACCCCGTTTTTCCATTCTCCAGAAAACATCTCAAACACTTTTAAGCACTTAAGACTTCTATAAATGTTTTCAAACATTGCATTAAACTTGCTATTTGGAACATCCCTAAGATTATTGTCAAGCGTAACAATACCATGCATCATTTTCAGGGATAATTTCAAAATAAATACGGCCAGAATAGTAAATAGTGCAGAGCAAGATCTGATGGCACAAATGTCCCAGCTGACCTTAGTCTGCACTAGTCATCTTAATAGATTCTGTTGCCGCCAACAGACTTATGGTTAAAATGAGAGTCTGGTGTATACTCACGGATGGACTGTAGCCAGTGCCAAACAGGTTGCTGTTTTTCTGTGTACAACACGTCCCAAACGGGCTTTACCCTTTACAATACAGTATGGAACACCCATCTTTCTACACAAAGCTGGTAAGTGGAGAACAAGCTGAAAAATGTAGGAATAAAGCTTAGATATAAAGCATAGTTGAATCAAGTTAATCAACACAGGATATACCTTACAATAAATAAACATACAAACATTCCCCCAAAGGATTAAATACCCTTAATCAAGTGAAAATATCTTCTCGATGTATTTCGTATCCTATTATTTTTGTTTACTTTTTATCACATGGTGAGTGTTTTCAACCCTGTCATATCTATTTAAAATTGTCAATATGGCAACTCCTACAAATGCTCATTATACTTATGGTCAGCATTTCTTAAACTTATCTTAGCTTGCTCAGATTTAAAAAGCTCGTTTTTCATACCAACATTGTAGTTCTGGTGAAAAATGGTGTAATCATCCCTGCAAGCATAACGATCGGGCCATCCTTAAAAAAATGTTTGTTTGCAGTAACGCGACCGACTCACAAAATTTGCCCCTACTCAAATTTTTTTTTCATGGTCTGGATAAAAAAAATAATTTTTGAATCAAAAAATTATGCCTTGTGCTTTGTTTTCGTTCTTTTAAAGGTTAATAGAAGAAATAAAATGTAGGTCTTATTAAATTAGAATTCAGTTAACAATTTATTAATTGTTACCAGATTATCAAAGCATATATTGTCCAGCATTTTGAAATTCCATGTTTATTTGGGAGTACAGTTCAATAATAATAAAAAAAAAAAATCGACCTACCTACCCACCTTGAAAAATCTGGGTCGGGTTACTGCAAACAAACATTTTTTTAAGGATGGCCTCTGTATCTAAAGTTTATGTCACTACAGTGCTTTTTTGTATTTTTCTATTTTCATTGGACACATGATCACAATGTTTTGTTTAACTATTGGTACGGCTTCTGCAAATTTACGGACTTGTTTTTGAGCAAGATACACTTATCCTGCCTATTTAACCCCTAACCTACTGGAATTTATTTCCATGAGCATGGTTACCCTGTTCATACAAGCTATTAAATGTTCTACTACTGATACAGGTAACAAATGTCGCACTTGCTATTAAAGATGTAATAAAAAGGTCTGATCGCTTGCTCAGATTTAAAAAGCTCGTTTTTCATACCAACATTGTAATTCTGGTGAAAAATTGGTGTAATCATCCTTGCAAGCACTTATTTTCAACATATATGTTGGAAACTACATATTAAGTGTCTGTGACATTACATTATGCGGTAATTGTAATCATTCTATAAAATAACTAAATTATAAATGCAGAATTTATTATCTGAGTAATTCTATAGAATACCCTTTAAAGTTATATATAGTATTCCGCTTCAGTAAATCATAAATAAAATGTATTAATTCTTATATGTAACTGTTACGTTATCCCCCCCCCCCCACTCTGGGAATAGATAGCCCTTGCAAATCTTTGTGACATCAAATAAATCTGGGGCAAACAACATCCATATTGAAATCTTAAGTCTGAATGAGGGTTTTAATCAGCAAAAGATGGAAATAAAATCTTAAAATACATTAGTAGCTTGCTCAGATTTAAAAAGCTCGTTTTTCATGCCAACATTGAGATTCTGGTGAAAAATTGGTGTAATCATCCTAGCAAGCTGGGCAAGATAATTTATTATAGAAAGGGAAAATCTATAAAATGATTGTTTAGAATTTTTTCCTTTACTAATTCCATTCTGTTTGGATATCTTGACAAAAAGGGCTTCTACATACAAAATGAGCATCAATTAATAAATTTACTGTTTGTAAAACACAAAGCTGGTCAATACAGTGTATGACTAAACAACCATAAAAATTGTCACTACTTTCTTATAATTCTAGAGCTGATATGAAAACTCCCAAACTAAGTCTTCAGCACCCCTTGTTTTTTTTATAACATTGTAAATTTATTACACCGTCATGATACAGAAAAACCCACTCCCATTTCCCCCTGAAAGTTTCAAGAAGTAGTGGAATCACTGAACAATTTTGTACTTACATCATTTTAATTTCAAAATCCTCTTATAAATAGCATTTCTAACAGTTTAATTACATTGAGAATGTAGTAAGTTGTAGTCACTTTAATGTTTCAGGAATTCCCGTCACAGTAAACTACCACATACAATTATTTTCTCGTTCTTGCAAATTGCGTGTAGAAACAACACCTACCGCAAACCCAAAGAACGACTATACATGATACACAATGTCAGATGCATGTTAACACTGGACTAGATTTGAACCCTTAACTTGCTGAACTTATGAACTGGACTTTTCTGTAATTGTCCGTATCAGATTTGGATCAAAATGAACCATTCAACAGTTAAGGTCCTGGTTAAATTGATCTTCCAAAAGTTAAGGTTCTAGTTAGACTGCACAGAAATACACGCTGGCCTGGCTCTGTACTGGTGGCAGAAGCTACTACATTTAAAAGGTGAAATGTGTGCAGTTTTTTGTTGTTTTTTTTAAAACTAAATGTTTGAAATTTATACAAAGTACCAATTATTTAATAGACTTGCCCCTTTTTACCTTTCTAACTTTGAGCCATTCATAGGAGGAATTCAAAGATCAAATTACTGAATTAAGCAGTCAATAAGGACTATTCTGACATAATATGAAAACACCATTTCCTAAAGACATTATGTCTAAATTATCAGAGTATAAATTGCTCAGAATGTCATGTTTCTACCTGTAGGTTCAGGTGAAGAAATTCAATCTTTTACATCATTGCAAAACTTTGTGTGTGTGTGTGTGGGGGGGGGGGGGGGATATCAATAACATTAAGAAACAAAGCTAAATGATTATTCCTTACATGGTAGATTGTCTTTCTCACCAGATAATTTTGGCATTCTTTTAAGGATAGAATGGAAAGCATTCCTGTATGAAAGTATTTGGTGGTATTAGTTTTCTAGACAAAAATAATTTCAAAATTTCTTGACAAATAGAATTCTTAATGTTTCAATGACTCAATATTGATAAAGATACCACTCTATTGCTTGCTCAGATTGTCAAGTTTCTACCTGTAGTTTCAGAGGAAGAAATTCAATCTTTTACATCATTTACAAGCATACATATCTGGTATCATTAACATGTCTGTTTGCTTACCGACATTTACATAGCTGTAATGATGAAATGAAAGAAGAACATATGGTTAACTGACAAAGAAAGAGCCAGTGTAAAAAACATTCAGTACGTTCTACTCAAATTAACATCTAGAACAGCCATTGAGGCCAGTAACTTTGTACAAAAATAATGTTTTCTAGCAAGAGAATACAGTGCATCAGAAAGACTAATGTATATCAGGACTCATCATCAACTTAGATATAGGGCGTTAGTAAATCATCATATACACTGCTTATACCAAACATAAGTTCTGTAATGAGTTTAATTATATCCTTCAATATTATATTCACAAACCACAGTTTGCCATTAAAGCACAAGCAAACTGGTCAATAGGACAGTGTGGCCAACCATTTTTGATGTCTGTGTATCAGGGGGGAAAACTGATATATCCTGTAGCCAGGTTCATTAAGGTAGGTAACAAAATGAAATCTTAACATGAAGAGTACTTTTATACAGTGCATCAGAAAGACTAATGTATATCAGGATTAGAGCTGTCATCGATATCGACAATATCGATGTATCGTTGATATTTTTTTGTCGATCAATAATCGATACACATTTTTAAAAATCGATACTTTTGACTTATAAATTAAATGTCTAGAAATTATACAATTCACCCAAAATACATGCAGAAACAATTATTTATATCAAATGTGATGCTTTTGTTATATAGTGGAATTATTTCATAGCAATGGTGACAAAAAATATTGTCTAGAACAAATCATGCAGTGGACAAGACACTGTACAGAACATGTTTTTGACTGAAATCATTGAAACAGGTATGAAAATGAATGACAGACAAGTGAGTATAGGATATTATCGATATATCGGTGTATCGTTGATTTTAGTTACTTGATATCGATATATCGTTGATATGCTTTGCACTGAATCAATGACAGCTCTAATCAGGATGCATCATCAACTTAGATATAGGGCGTTAGTAAATCATCATATATACACTGCTTCTGTCATCTTCATTACAACCATTTGTAAATGTTGAGAATCGCTTAAAAAAAAAAAACAGATAATTTTGGCATTCTTTTAAGGATAGAATGGAAAGCATTCCTGTATGAAAGTATTTGGTGGTATTAATTTTCTAGACAAAAATAATTTCAAAATTTCTTGACAAATAGAATTCTTAATGTTTCAATGACTCAATATTGATAAAGATACCACTCTATTGCTTGCTCAGATTGTCAAGTTTCTACCTGTAGTTTCAGAGGAAGAAATTCAATCTTTTACATCATTTACAAGCATACATATCTGGTATCATTAACATGTCTGTTTGCTTACCAACATTTACATAGCTGTAATGATGAAATGAAAGAAGAACATATGGTTAACTGACAAAGAAAGAGCCAGTGTAAAAAACATTCAGTACGTTCTACTCAAATTAACATCTAGAACAGCCATTGAGGCCAGTAACTTTGTACAAAAATAATGTTTTCTAGCAACAGAGTTCCAGATAACGTGCGTATCGGCGTATTTTACGCTTCAAAAGCAACTAAATACGCACTATATTTCAAATTTGTTGCGTTCATTTACGCACGCTATAAATCAAATACGCATAGAATGAAAAATCGAAGCGTATTTGGTGTGTACTTTCATTTTCGAAACAGCTGATTCCATTTCCGTTTAACAGTTGACTGTGTATCTTTTTCCGTTTAATACCCGCCAAAATACTTCCAACTAATTTTCATTCTGTAAACCAGTCAAATTATGTCTTTATCGCGTAGGCGCTTGGTAAAACGTGTGGCTTGATTTCCTTTATAATTGCAAGCGTTTGGTAATAAAGACGTACATCATGGCTGCTTCCAAACCAAAGCAGAGGAAAACTGACAATTTTTTTAACGCAACTCAGTTACCCGCTAAAACAATTGTGAATCCTATTGTTGAAGACATTTTAGATCGTGTATTTAAAACGAAAAGGGCGAACATTGTGAATCGCAACACAACATTTGAAAATTGGCAAAAATGTTATCCGTGGCTTCAAATTTCATACATCTGACTTGTCATAAATTTAAAGCTGGCAATGTATGGGCTAATGAAGGTGCAATAAACATGCAGAAATCGGCAATTGACTGGTGATTATTTGTAACGTTACTGTTTATGTATTGTCACCGATTTTTGTTGTAAACAATATAAAATAAAATAAGAATATGGTAAAGGCCTTTCAATTGAAGTGAATTCACGCTGAATATCTGCTAAATTAATACAAAATAAATATCTTTAATGTATTTTCATTAAAATATATTCTATTTTCAAAGGATCATATTATTTTTGTACAAAAAAGTAAGTAATTTAATTGTACCCTTTTGATTTACGATATATCTAAATTTACCCCCACATTCTGAAAAGTGGGGGTAATTACCCCCAGTGTAAAAAAATTATCTGGAACTCTGTAGCAAGAGAATGCAGTGCATCAGAAAGACTAATTTATATATCAGGATTCATCATCAACTTAGATATAGGGCGTTAGTAAATCATCATATACACTGCTTATACCAAACATAAGTTCTGTAATGAGTTTAATTATATTGTTCAATATTATAGTCACAAACCAGTTTGCCATTATAGCACAGGCAAACTGGTCAATAAGACAGTGTGGCCAACTGTTTTTGATGTTTGTGTATAAGGGGAGAAAACTGATATATCCTGTAGCCAGGTTCATTAAGGTAGGTAACAAAATGAAATCTTAACATGAAGAGTACTTTTATACAGAATGCAGTGCATCAGAAAGACTAATATATATCAGGATGCATCATCAACTTAGATATAGGGCGTTAGTAAATCATCATACACACTGCTTCTGTCACCCTTCATTACAACCATTTGTAAAATTAATGATGAGAATGGCTTTAATAAAAAAACAACAACAGACAATCAGAAAATGTGACTCAAATAACAGTATGACAACTTCTTAAATAGTTGCATTAAAATGTCAACAAATTCTTCAAAATACCTCAAGTGGGTCAACATCATGAGCTATGACGACCAGTTGGGCTTTTTTCTGTTCAACTAGAGTTGTTACTGTGTTAGTTCCAGCGCGTACAACTGGAGGGCGCTTTGTTGGTGCATCAGCCTTGCCCTTGGCACGCTCCTCGGCTCTAGCCTTCAATCGCTCTTTCTTCTGTTGTTTAGTTTCTGGTCGGTATTTGTCCAACAAACGGAAAAGTTGTGATGCTGAATTAAATAGATTACAAAACCTAAATAAGTATCAGTACAATATAATTTTTTCTATCCAAAAGAAAATTTTCACTTATAATTTTATCAAAGTCCCTAATACATCGAGAGTTAATGCAAATATAACAGGACTGTGTAGAACAAAGCAGTAATACCAAATTCGTACATAGAACAGAAAATGGCATCCGGTTTGTTCCATTTATATCTCCGTTTCAAATTACACTAATCAAACAAAACTAGTATATTTTGAAATGAAGCCAAGTTAATCATTTTAAGGAAATTCAATATAAAAATAATGCTGCCTAGTCCTACTGCACAAATATTCAGTCTAGCCTGGCCCTTCAAAGGCTCATTTTTTTCTGCTTTTATAATGTTTCTAACACTGACGGTCTATCCACCTAACCAGCTTTCCTGGTAACTAGTGAATACCAATTTTTTCACAAGTGATAAACTTATCCCAAATGATTTCAGAATCAGCAGTGAGACTTGCATGGTGGTATAGGCAAGTCATTTTTGCTCCTAGAATACAATGGGTCAAAGTTCAAGCTTCAGAGATCTTGGTGATAATGGATGTCAACATTATCATTCAGACAAAGAACTTCATCATGACTTGAACTCATGACTTGAACAATTGTCAAGCAGTTGGTTGGAATAAGAAACATATTAAATACATGTAGCCTGCAGTGATATTTTTTCAATTTTCAAAACAACCGGAGGCTTTGAAAGGGGAAAATATAAACTAGCTAAATTTTTAATTGATATTATTTACAACTAAATTCATTATAGATTTATTGGATCGATTTAAGACCTATAATTCAAGCTTCAGAGATCTTGGTGATAATGGATGTCTACATCATCTTTAAGACAAGTTGAGTTCATCATAGCTTGAAATATTCACTTCTTTTTTTAAATGCTGTTAGATATTTGTTTCTCTGAGTGATCATTTTAAATTACTCTTCATATTAAACCATAGCCTGCTGGCAGAAAAAAACATGTGTGGCCAGTGCAGACCAAAAATAAAATCTCTACTGTCTGATCATGGTCTCCACTGTTCACTATTTCGTAAATATATATTTGAAAGTCAAACTTTCCCTACAATGTTCAACTGTTTTGTTCATTTAAGATATTAAAAAGTGACAAGTGTAAATGAATTTTTAATACTGTTATTTTGAGATGTGTGGTTTTCATTCATCTTGCTTATAGAAATAATTCAAGGGCTAGCATACCTAAAGTTTTTTTGGGCTGGAAACGTTTTTTTGGACTGGAAAATAATTTTAACAAGTTGGGAGTGTAAATGAACATTAACTTTAGACTCTAAGTCTTTAATAACTAATTATGACCTATTTAACTCTATTTAACCACAATATCTCCATTAAATGCAACAGTTAAATTAAATCGACAGAAGACACAATTTCAAGTGGTCTAAGACCCGTTCAAGCTTCAGAGATCTTGGTGATAATGGATGTCTACATCATCTTTAAGACAAGAAAATTCATCATAGCTTGAAATGTTCAGTAAGAGCCACTTTTTATCTACATGTAAAACTCTTTTTTCTTCTTTTTTAACAGTATATTCAATTTAGGCTTAGTTTTAAATTAACCATGTGATTACCTTCCAATTTTGCTTTGGAACTTTCAGAAGAGAAAGTCTTGTCAAAATATATACACAACTAAATCTTTTTTTTCTAAAGTTGTCCTCTTTTCACGTTATTTATACAGACACTGTCAAGACTAGGTCACAGGCCAGCTAATTTCTAGAGTCCAACTTCAACTGGATTTATACAATGTGTATTGTATTTCGTCTGGGCAGGCCAGCAGAGGAAAAGTTGGTGAAACTTGCCTTAAGTTAACAACCAAACATTGAAGTCTAGGATTGTCACAGGATACCTACCAGTTTGTCTGTCAAGTGCCTGGGTAAATTGGTTAATTGGAGGTGGAACCTTCAATCTTTGCAACAGCACAGCCTTCTGTCTCTGAAGCCTCACGTATTTGGGCCATTTCACAAATCTACTCAAGTCTCTTTTGGGTTGAATGTCCTGACCTAAAATACAAATTTGCATACATCAAGCTGCAGGAGAACAATAAAATTCTTCTCACTTTTCATGCTAAAGATTTTATAAAGATGTTTATATTTTGTTCACAAAAAGGAGACAGATGCCGGTCTTAAGGTCTCATAAGATGATTCTTGATAAATTCCTATCTAATTTTACATGGTATCTGATAAAAACAGTTTAGCTAATCTGTTTCCCAGATATGCACTGGTCACATGTAACCGGTGTGCTAGCAGGGCTTTTCTTCCTTCTTTAAGGGGCCGATATAGGGATGATTCCCCAAAGAAAATTGGAATTTGCATAGTTTTTCTTCCCCTTTTGCAGATGTACTGTGTAATTTTTCCCTAAAATTTCGGGCAAGATTGCTTCCCCAATCTGTGGAAAAAAAAGCCCTGGCTAGCCACCCCACATCAATAGTATCAGGTTTAGCACTAAGTAGTCCTTTTACCAACAGGCATTATAATATTCTAATAATCAACAAGGAATAAATTCAATAATCATCAAAAATTGCATTTAAATCATTTGCTTCTAATACAACGCATCAAGGTACATGTGCAATCATTTATGTCTTATGAGAAAATAACGCCTTAACAGATCATGAAGACAGAATACTTCATATTGTAAATTACTGTGACAACTCTGTAGAAGAAATTTTTTTACCAATGCCAAAGTTCTTGGGTCTTTTTTCAAAGAGGGGATTTGTCACCTTCTTTGGTTCTGCAGATTTCTTGGCCTTTAAAGGCGCTGCTGCGACCTTCTTCTTCCCCTTCTTTTTAGGAGGTGGCTAAAATGATACAAAAGATTATTGAACCAAGTTTTGCAGCAGTAGCACATCTGTTAAAGAGGGCTACAAACTAAGGTAATTTGTAATTGTCTGAAAGAGCATACAACTAAAATGGCATCACTAAATCATAATTAAGATATACTTGTAATCAATTATTCATTAAACTTTGCTATTCATACCAAGATGACACTAAAATTTACGGATGCTTAGAAACCTCTTTAAAATCTATGCACCTACCATGTTGACAATCTCGGAAAGGCCGATTATTATCGCGAGACTTCCTATCTGACTGGTTTACGATGTGTGCAGAGTCTAAAGAACGAAAAGTTAATCAGTATTACGATACACCTTTCATGAATAAATCATCGAAAAATAACCAAAGAAATCACAAAATTAAAAGTTTTTTTCTATACGAGACTATGTAAAATCAAGTGACTCCACAAGGGCAGCACGAAATACCCAAATATACCCAAATACACCCAAATATTGCCCAAATATACCCAAATATTGCCAAATTATACTAAAAATAATGTTTTATACTAAAAAAGTGCTGTTTTAATCATGAATACAATATAAACTTTCACTAAGATATAATCAAACATACCCAAATATACATGTTCCTATCATAGTGTATTGAACCAAAATACTGTATATATGTACTCCATTAAAGCTATTTTTTTTTTAAAAAAAATAACATGGACACTTGTATATGATATAAAATTTCAACAAAATTACACCTTAAAATATTAGTGAAGACAACAAAATACCATATTCATATCTTGATTTAAAATTGCAAGTACATTCATAAAGAACCTATATAGTAGATAAACAAATGTCATAACTTTATTTCCTTACAACATCTTAACTGCCCATTTCAACGGAATGAATAAAAGTTATAGCAGGCTAAGTCATATTATTTTATAAATACTTATTTATTTCTCATTATAATCTATATTTTATACAAACAAAAATAAATATTACTATATTTGAGTATATTTGGGTGTATTTGGGTATATTTGGGTATTTCGTGCCGCCGCTCCACAAGGCCAATTGGAACCCAAAACAATGCGGTAGTGGTCTATTAGTGGCCTTCTAGAAAATGCTACAGATATCTAAGCTCTACTGTATTGCCTTAACAGAAAGATCTTTACAAACTTGTGTTTTCCTGTATGGTTCTACGAGACCCTCGAGGTGGAACCAATTTTTTTAATACAATGTCATGATTTGAACAAACTGGTTAGAAGTCCACTTAAGTTTTATTCAGAGGTCAATTTTGAGATTCCATTACGAATTATTGCTCATAAGTCAGTTTAGTGCATGAATTTGATTGAAAATAAATAAATTCGATCCCGATAAATGCGAAGTACTTAGAATCCTTAAGAGAATATCCTGATCGAAAATTTGTCCCTATTCCTTACATAACACAACATTAAAAGCTTCAGATTCTTAATTCTAATTACCTTTGGGCGACCATCTCCAAAACTTTAAACTGGACCCAGCATATAAACAATATAAAATCTAAAGTTATCAACTCCCTCCGGATTATAAAAAGAAACATAAAACCATCAGTTAAAAAAAATTAAGGACCCTGTATAAATGCTCTATTTCAATTATTTGACACCCGGCAGAAACACCTTGCCTATTGAGTAGAAAGTATACAGAGAGCTGCGGCCAGCTATGTCTATAACAACTGATTTCACAAGCAACCTCGCCAATATGTTATAAAAGCCCCGGGCCGCAAACTCATAATAGGTCACGTGACACTCATAATCAATTGAAATCATAGGCGATTTTGTTACTATATATAGTAACAAGTGTATTAATCATAAGAGATTAATACACGGCAGAGTAGGGCCGGGAGGTTATAATCGGCCCGCAAAATGAATAATAGCCCCGAGGGCTTCAGCCCGAGGTTATTATTCATTTCAGGGCCGATTATCACCTTCCGACCCTACTCTGCCGTGTATTAATGTCTTTAATACACTTAGTAGATCTTATAGTACATGTAGCATTTTTTTCTAAACAAAATACTTTGAAATTTCTTTCGTTGAAATTCCTGTCTGCATTTCTACTGTACTGCACTGTACAGTGTAGTAACTTCTACAGAGTTGTTTACTTTTTGTGTGTTCAAAGTTCACTACAGTACTGTAGAATCTAGAAGCTAGTTTTATTCATTTTTTTTTTCGGAATGAATTTGTCGTATTATTTCTTTAAATTTCAATAGTAATAAAACTGTGTGTGAACGATATACGTTTCAGCTCTCATAATAAAATCAAGCGAGTCATGCTTAAAACCTACTTTCACTTTTACAGTTAACTACATGTTTGATGACGTCAAATGTGACTTTAGTATTTTTCAATGTGAGCGAAAGGCAGATTTCTGAACTAGTGTATAGAAATTATGCAGATAAATGGCGATTAAATCATCATATTGATAATTTTTAAAAATAGATATTATCGATCAAATTCCAAAACTATACGTCTACAATCTTTTATAATTATATAGATTCAAATTAATCGCTATATTTGATATTTTGAAGTCACTTTCGTATTTTTTCAATCTGAGCGAAGGAAGATATCTGAACTTGTGTCTAAAAATAATGCAAATAAATAGCGATTAAATCATCATAATGATTATTTTGAAAATAGGTATCATCAAGTTCTGATAATATACATCTACAAATTGTAATTTTAGTAAAAATTTCAATTAAAACAGAATATTTAATATTTTATAAGTCACTTTCCTATTTTTCAATGTGAGCGAAAGGAAAATATAAGAACTTGTGTATAGAAATTATGCAAATTAGTAGCGATTACATCATCATTATGATTATTTCTGTTAATAAATATAATTATTTTCTAATAATATACGTCTACAATTCGTGCTCAAATGACAGTATCGCCGATGACCAGTGCAAATACACGGAATCACTAGACGAACCTCAACCTCAAAACACCGGGGATAGTGTAACAGTCAATTATTAGGACAGGCGTGGAGAGTCATCTTTCTCCAATCGTAACATTACTTTTACACAGTCTTCTTTCAATGATAATGATAATTGTCACACGGACTATTTTATTCAATACCGTTATAATGAGTGTTTTTGTTTTTGTACATGTACTCGATGTGACGCATGTCAATCGATCAACAACTATAGTAAATTCAGTTTTTTTTTGTGAACTAAGCTATTCATCGCTGCCTAGATGCAATATGTTTGAAAACAAATTATGTTTTTGTGAAAAAAATAAGTATATTCTTAACTGGTATGTAGATTATCCTTATTATAAAAAAATTGAAATTGAACATAATTCATTAAATCAAATCTGACACAACTTGGCCACAAACAAATTGATACTGAGGTTTTAAGTCACTTTTTTGATAATGACAATTTGATAATAGATTTTTTTCATTGAACTTTTTTGATGGCTATCATTATACAAATCAATATAATGGCGAAGATGATTTTTTTGCAAAACATGTGCCCGTCTGTATACTGTCGCTGTAAATGCCATCGATTATTTTAGTCATGTTATATATCAAACATGTAACTGTAAAATGACTATGAGATTAGTAGGTCAGTACTTGTGTATTTATTGTTGGCAGTACTTTTGAAGTATATGAACCAGTGCTTAAACCTAATAGTGTTCAACATGTATATGCAAACCCGTTTACTGTAAATATTGACGTTGTTTATTTGATTATTATTGTTTCAACTATTTTGTATTTTTCTGTTATTTTTTGGATATGTGCACTTTATGTTTGGTTTAGTACTTGGTACTATCTCGTTTTTATAGCTGTTTGTTTTCCATTTTTACAAACTTCCGGCAATCTTTGCGTAGTTTTTTGAAATTTACCACAAAGCGGCAATTTCTGTGACAGACCAAACTTATTTAAATGAAAATGTTTGTCAGAATGATAGAATCTTAAACACTCGAATAACAATAATAATAATAATAATAATATAATAATAATAATAATAATATAATAATAATAATAATAATAATAATAATAATAATAATAATAATAATTATGATAATAGTAATAATAATAATAATGATAATAATAATGATAATAATAATAACATACAAACAAATTCTTCGTACAACTTAAGCCAATATGAAAAATGCAGACGACTTAAATTCTTCCTTTACCGCGATAGCAAATTCCGACAGTCGTGAAACTGAGACATCATCCTTTGCACTCAAAAATATTAAGATTTTATCCTTAAACGTTTGCGGACTTAAATCAAAATTGCACTGCCCGGAATTTAACGAGTTGGTGAATGATCACAGTATAATTGGTTTTCAAGAAATCAAAGCTGATAATTTGGATCATATTGAAATACAAAAGTATGATGTATACTTCAAATATCGAAAAAAGAAAAACCAGAAGAAAGTCTGGCGGTCTAGCTCTAGCAGTTAAAAAAAATCTATCCAAATTTGTTTACAGTCATAGAATCTGATAATGATCTTGTATTATGGTTTAAGATATCTAAGGTTTTATGCAAATCTGAAACAGACATTTTCTGTGGTGTTGTGTATATACCACCCGAATACTCGGACTATGCAGTTGACGATCCTTTTTCCGAAATTCAAGACGATTTCAATCGCCTATCGGACAATTACTCATCGTATATATTGTTTGGAGATTTCAATTCACGTACAAAATCAACTGGAGATTTTATTACAGTCGATAGACGTTTTTTTGGAAAACCAAAACTTAAGCGTTCTTTTGCGATGAATTTGATACTGAAATGAGTAAATTTCAAAATGCACAAAATGTAAAGCTATTACGTTAATAACACCCGATAAACATAATAACAGTTACGGTAATAGATTTATTTGATTTTTTTACAATTAAATAATATGTATATATTAAATGGTCGAACTTCTGGCGATTACACCGGAAGTACTACTTGTAAAGGTACCAGTACCGTCGATTATTTTATATGTAATTCAAATCTGTTTAAAAATGTACTCGATCTTACTGTTAAAGATTTTTGTCCCATTTTATCAGATGCACATAATCCTATTGTTTTAACATTGAATACTAACCAAATTGAAATTGTTGAACATGTTAATAATACTGAACCATCTATTAAATTATGGACATAAAGAAAAGTGAAAGCTTTTTACAGAAATTTGATATAAATCTTATAGAGGAATTAAATGAAAAACTTGACGTTTTGAAAAATAGCGACAATTTTAATCAGCAAAATGCAGATGATTTTAGTTACAAATATCTCCTCACTATTTCTTAAAAACTTCTGAGGAAGCATTTGGCTATAAAATTAAAACAACAATGAAGTAGTAAATAACAATAGCTCTTGGTTTGGATATCAGTGTAGGAAAGCAAGAAGAAACTTTCATAGAGCGAAATATTTATATAAATTAAGAAAAAACTGACGAAAACAAATATAATCTTAAAGAAAAAAGTAAGATATACAAAAATACTATGCGTTCGTTTAAAAATAAACATTTGAATAGAAACATTGATAAATTTCGCAAATTAAAAATCAAAGATCCCAGGAAATATTGGAATTTACTTCGTAATAATAACAGTCAATGCAAAACGGAAGCAAGTATCGATGAAATGTATGAATTTTTCAGAAATGTTAATTTTTCAAATGATGGAACAATTAATGACAATAACACATTTGATCTAGAAAATAATGAGCAATCAAACCAAAACGAATCTATCAATTGTCCTATAACATATGAAGAGATTGATAAGGCAGTAAAAATGTTAAAAAATAATAAAGCATGTGGGTTAGACCAAATAGTTAACGAACAAATAAAATGCTCATATAGTTTAATGAAAGATACGTATTTCAAACTTTTTAATTTAGTATTTGAAAAAGGTGTTATACCTGAAATGTGGACTATTGGGATAATAAATCCAATATATAAAACAAAGGTGATGCTAGTAAACCTGAAAATTATAGACCTATAACACTTCTAAGCTGTTTGGGAAAACTTTTTACCAGTATAATAAATAATAGGCTTACTACTTATGCAGATGAAAATAATATAATAAATAATAGTCAAGCAGGTTTTTAGGAAGGGTTTTCAACCACAGACCAAATTTTTGTATTACATCATTTAATCAATTACGTTAATAACAGTAAAAATAAATTATTCTGTGCTTTTATCGATCTCAAACAAGCCTTTGATACAGTCTGGAGAAATGGTCTTTGGCAAAAACTCTTTAATCTTAATATAACAGGAAAATGTTTAAATCTCATTAAAAACATGTACGATAACATTAAATCGTGTGTCAGAGTTAACTTTGAAGTTTCAAATTTTTTTCCCTAGTAACATAGGCGTACGTCAAGGAGAGAACTTGTCCCCTCTACTTTTTTCAATGTTTTTGAATGACCTTAGCGATTATTTTGCAAATAGTAATGACACTATGGAATCACGGTACAAAATGACCAAAACGCAGACGAAATTCGTGATTTTTTAAAAGATATTTATATTACTTTACGCTGATGACACTGTTATTTTATCTGAATCGGTTGAAGATTTTCAAAAATCATTACATTTGTATGAAAACTATTGTAAAACATGGAAACTTACTGTAAATACATCTAAATCTAAAATCGTAGTTTTTTTCTAAAGGACGACAACAAAACTATAATTTTATCTTGAACAACGAAAGATTAGAGGTAGTTACGGAGTACAAGTATCTAGGAGTTTTATTTGTAAAAGTGGATCATATACTAAAACTAAAAAGCATATAGCATTACAAGCTACTAGAGCAATGTATAGTTTAATAAGAAACTCAAATCGACTTAGTTTACCAATTGATATCCAAATAGATCTTTTTAATAAAACAATAAAACCTATTCTTCTTTATGGGGCGGAAATATGGGGATATGGTAATATAGAAGTGATTGAACGAGTCCAATTAAAATTTTTAAAGTATATTTTAAATATGAAAAAATCCACCCCAAATTATATGGTGTACGGAGAAACAGGCTGTCTGCCGCTATCTATTGATATAAACGAAAGAATAATCATGTTTTGGGCTAGATTAAAAAAGCACGATGTAAAAAATCATCAAAAGAAATTGTCGTCTCTATTATACAATATTACATATAATCTTTCCAAAAACTTAAATGAAAATAATTTGAGAAAACAATTTCCTTGGATTGCAAACTTAAGACAAATTTTTATAAATTGTGGTTTATGTAATATATGGGATACACAAAATTTTGGAAACGAGAAGTGGTTGAAATTAGCAATTAGACAGAAACTAAAAGATGTTTTTCTAAATGAATGGTATTCCGTTATTCAAAACTCCAGCAAAAGTACATTCTACAGAATATTCAAAAAAGAATTTAAATTCGAAAAATACCTTTTATCAACTCCTAAACCTTTTTCTTCGTTACATGATAAAATTTCGTACACGTAACCATAGATTACCAATAGAAACCGGAAATTGGGCCCGAATACCAATCAATCAAAGAACATGTACTTCTTGTAACAATAAAATAGGCGACGAATTTCATTACTTATTTGAATGTGTTTTGCTTAATGATGAAAGAAAGAAATTTTTTGAAACCCTATTATTATAGACGTGCAAATACATTCAAACTAGATCAACTAATTAATACAGAAAACAAGAGCGAATATTTGAAATTATGTAAATTTGTTAAAACAATAATTTTAAGATAATTAAAATTAGAATTTACCTCATATGTGATTACTTACATTCCAAGAATTACTTACATTCCAAGACTATTACACGAATATTTCACAGATAAATCTTTTATTACCCATTGTCAAGTGTTTGTTTGTTATAATATTTGTCTAAATAGTATGACACTTTTTTCATTTAGCTTATAAGTATGAGTCTAGAAATGTCATTGTAAAGGTTTAAAATATTATGTCGTACATAATTGTACATCACTTGTCAGTTGTTTATATTATTATTTCTTTTCCCTTTTCCTTTTTTGTAACTATTCTCATCGTTTGTCGATAAATAAAAAGAAAGGTAATATGAAACGAAATTATACCCTTAGAGAGTGTCCAAATTACGTGACTCTCCACGGTTTTTTGTGGTAACATATTACTAAGAACTTTAACAATTTGTGGTTTTGATACATTGTTAATTGAACGTACTGCAGTTCAGCAAATGATATGAATAAATACTCTTTCTACGAATTATTTTACCACTCAAATTATATAATTATACATTGTACATTTGTTTAAAGAGCCTCTACTAACATTGTATTTATTACTAACCACATTTATTCATGTTAACATGAAATGGCTGTGTAATAAAGGAAATTTTGGACTTGAATTGACTACAAACTGCAAGTTTTGTTTTTAAAAGTCTATTAAAATGTTTTATAATTACTATTTTAAAAGTCACTTTCGCTACTTTTCGCTCACTTTTCGTCAAAAATCTCACTTTCGTATTTTAGGCGCATACCGGGATCGTCCAGCAAACCAGTCTGAATCTGGCGGCGGATGTAAAACGAAAGTCGTGAAAAATTTGAATATTTAATTATCATTGTGGTGAATTATTTTTGACTTAGATATTTGTTTAAATGATATTTTTTTATTCTATGATTTGTTAATAACAATTATATGAAAATTATTTTAAAATTTAGGCAGTATGCCTTTTCAGCTATGACATTAAAAAAAGTAACATTTTCGGATAAAAATAATTCGGATTTCATTACTGGTTGACATGGACCATGGTTTTAAAGGACCTCTGGTCAACTCGGCACTAAAGCGAACTCGGACCCGATCATATATATTTTATTTGCTGTGTATATTGCATGTTGTCAAATAAATCATATAACAAATGAAGCATTAGCTTAATTTTAACTAAGTTTAAATGTTTTATAATCTTAATTGACACTGGCCTGTGAGTGCCAGTAGTTCCTGTACAAAAGCAGTACCCATATTTTTTGTTTAACTGCTTTATTTTACAGCTTTATGAACCCTAAATTGCGGGCAACTCATTATTACGATCACGTTTTTCCGGTCCTGATTTTTTTCTATATAATGCAATGGTCGTAAGGCCCGAAATTACGACTGACCCACTACTACGAAGTATGACCACTTTAAAAGGTTGAAATTCTCACTTTAAAATACAAAAGGGGCCCAATAAAACGACCACTAATTAATCATGTTCACTAAATTGTATATTTCACCTATTATCTCCAATAAACAAACAATATTTGTACTGGAACTACACGCATACCATACCAGAAGTGATTATTTTGAACTATAAAATACCTAAATTATTATAATTATAAGGTAACTGGTTCAATGAAGTTCACCTTTATAACTTTTTTAATTCCAATCAACCCCAATGCAGTTGTCAGGCAAATTTGTAACAGTGTGAGGACTCGGACACTTACCTTAAGGCTACATTACATTGAGGCTACATTATAATCCTGCATGCTTTTCATTGAATAATCATGATGTTTATATAGTTTCATATACATGGCTGTAGCCAATTCACAGAAAAATCTCACTTTTTTCTTTAAAAAAAAGGAAGTTTGCAGTATTATAAATATTCCTAACATGTTATATTGCAGTATATGAACAGTTGTTTGCAATATAACCCTTGTTTCTTGCAAACAATCATTAATATAGGGCCATATAACCTGCCAAAAATCTTTATCTAATTAACTAATAGTATACATCAAGGCCCATTCTCTCAGTGCCTAGAATTAATAAAAAGAGCATAATTATATTAATTAACTTATTTCACTGGTGTTTTATTAGGTATCAACAAGGAATGTGTACAGATTGTGATGTCTCAGAGAGCTATACCACAGAGTAAAGAGGCCCTGCTCAAATCCTATACTCTACGACTCAAGGAGGATGTTAAATCTATGCTAGATAATTTCACCGAAGTCATAAAGCTTGCTAGGGTGAGTCAATATATGAATAAGTTACTGTGAAATTATCCTTAATTTTTTTTTTAATGTTTGATCTCAAGGTTTTTTTACCCTTCTATAGCAGTGGTTTCTTCTCCTAAAATTCAGTATACATGAAGTTTTTCTTGCCCTTTACAAGTATGAATTGTTTTAAAATTTCATCAAACACTGCACGTTATAATTTGATCGGCTTTCACATAAGTCAGTCTTGTCAGTCAGCAGTGATTTTCCCCCTGTTACAGCCATATAAAGCCATTAAAGGTTATTTCCCCTAACCCAAAATAGGTATATTTTCCCCTAAAAAAATGCTATACATGTATTTTACCCTGGCATGCCTTGTGCATTTCTTCACCAGAACCATAACTAAAACAGCATCTGACTTATATATCAGCTTGTAAATACATAATCATTTAATTGACTGAAAGACAGAAAGCAGTTCCTATAGATAGCTTCTACTATGTACCATGCATGTTAAATTGAATTGAAAATGTTATAAAATGTGCCTGTAAATCCCATTCAGTCATTGAAATTTGATTTCAGATTTTTCCCCTTTTCTGAGTTTAGAGCGCTATATTTTCCCTTTCAGAAATCCAAGGTTAACCAGAATCATCTTTCCTGTTTTGGCGCCATATGACCAAAATTGTGTTGGTGGGCTGTAAAACCAAACAAAACAAACAAACAAAAACTTACAATTTTTGGCCATTTTATTCAGTATACTAAAATCACATCAGACTGTTCAGATATGGGAAAATGTTGGTTATGATATCTGCCAGTTTTAGAGTTATTGTTTTGTATGTGAACAATGTGTATTTGTTTCTTGAATTCTTCTAGGTAGAAGAGGAGAGTCAGTTAAGCCGAGCCACACAAGCTGAACAAGATCAGTATGAGATGCAAGTTCGAGCAGCAAATATTGTAAGTATATCTATTACACTTTAACAAACTGAATTTCTTATCAGCCAGTCCATGTGTCGAGATGAAAATTTTAAGTTGGTCAGCCAACAGCATAGATTAGAGCCTGGTCATACTGAATGGACAGACATTTGTAGTTTTAATTGAGCGTTTAACAAGTGTTTCATTCATAAAACAGGAATTGTAGTTTTGAGTTTCTTTGTAATTCACACCTGTAGAATAGAATAGAATATCTTTTATTTCCAATCAAGGGTCATGTTAAATGACATACAAATCACAATAATAATGCGATAAAAATTAAATTAAGATGTTAAGGAAAATTAAACTTGATACCTATTTGCAATAACTTTTAACTGAAAAAAAGAAGAAAACTAAAAAAAAAAAATAATAATAAAATTTTTTTTTAAAAATCATTAACTAAATTTTGCTTACTAGACTTAACTATGGAACATCATAACATATAATGATACTTAAACAACAATAACTGTATTGTTGTACATGTATCTTATAAATAAAAGGTTTTCTTATAAATTACAATTTTTAAAAAGTTTATACAAAAAGATAACATTATACCTGTAGTGTAGCTCTACTGTAAAGAAACATTCTCAAATTAGCTAAGATAAACAGTAAATGATAATAATAACCTGTGTAACTGGTTAGTACCAGAAAAGAATTTAAAAGTGATCATTATAGTTTGAAAGATTTGAGTCACTTACAGAATCAAATCATACATGTTTAAACTGTGCATTTTATTTCAGATAAGTTTAAACAAGCTTGTCTTTTCTTAGATCTGAATAGTCAATACTGAACATTGATGTATATGGTTATTGAAATCTTGTAACTGTTTAATTTGCAGGTAAGAGCTGGTGAATCGTTGATGAAACTTGTCTCTGACCTCAAAATTTTCCTTATATTGAATGACTTCCCATCGGTGAACGAGTCAATCACAAATAAAACAACACTTTACAAACATATGCAGAATGAGCTGGATGCTAAGTTACTCAGCTTGAGGGATGAACTTGCCAATGACCTTTATGAGCTAGAAGACGAATACTATTCATCAGTCTATAAATAGATCTGTCTATAAATAGATTTGTCTATAAATAGATTTAATTCATGGTGTAGTGCTGGAAACAATTTCTTATTTATATTGTGTTCTTTAACTCCAGTTCATTTACTTAAGGATTTAAAATATCAACTGTTAACAGAAAGTTTTACAAAAATGGCCACAATGCAAGCAGCCATGAAAGATTTGAGGACGTTGAAGCAGGAGGAGTCGGCCATGATGAATCTTGCGTCTAAAATAAGTGACCAGTTAAATAGACTGAAAGTGGAGGAACTTGCCCTTCAGAATCTTGTCCGACTTCAAAATGAAGATTTAGAAAGAAAGTCGAGAGGTAGCCGACGATCACTTCCTGTGGTAGAAATAGATGATGTTAGGAGGATGATTGACAAGGGAGATAAGAGTACGGGCGACGAGAGTGTTGTCCCTTTGAATTTAGTGGTGAATAAGTTCCATCAGCATGAGGATATGGAGGAAGAAGAAGAAGAGGATGATGACGATGATGATGATAATGAAAATATGCTACCAGTTGCGACAACTGCACACGATGACATAGAACAGTTTGTTAATAGTCTGTGAGTTGTCAGTGTAAATTTGTGTACACACAGTCATGTGTATTGACATGTTGACTCGGTATTTGTGTATATTCAGCAATCCAGTCTGAGAAAATTACAATAATTCTTCGATTTGATATAGAACAGTTTGGCAATATTTGTGGAGATTTGAGATATTTGCAAAGATATGGAAATGGTATCACAATTCACATTACGCAAGAAAATCTGCAAAACTGTAACAATACGCAAATGTACATGTATGGCTTGCATTAAAGCTACATGCTTTCATATGGGTAAACAAATTATTGTAATCTTTCCTCGCTACATTTCATACTGGTAAATGGTCTTTCAATCTTAACAAAACCTGTCATCGTTTTTAGGAAAAAATTCCAAAAAATATGTACTGACTGAATAGCGAAAAGTGCACACAATGCTCAAATGGCACAATTATGGCATCTGTCCGTGTCATCTGATCTTGGTCGTCACTGGTGCCATGAGCAGGCTTAAGGTTAAGAAATGGTCTTATCAAAAATATACAAAGGTACTGGTCGGAGACCATCAACCGGACACTTTTGGAACATTTTTCCGTACAGATTTCATAATTTTTAACCTAGAGACTAAAAAATTTGACACAGTTCAGCTAGGTTCTTCTCCTAACTAGCAAACTAGTTTGTTTATTTCTGATTTTATTGACACTTATATCTGAGGCTCGACAAGGAGAGTATCAAAATAACCTAAATTGTCTACACTACAGTACCATGTGTCCGACAGATATGTACATGACGTGATTTAATTCAGATAAAAGCTTGGGTGTTTTGATTTTTAACATGATATACAATATGTCAGCAACAAATGCTGAAGTTTTGGATATTCTATTATTTACTCTGCCAGTGTTCGCGTTTACTGAGTAAACATATCAATTTACTCGCTAAAATTGCCAGGGAGGAAAGAAAAAAAGGGCTGTTGAGTCCCTGGGACGAAACACTTTTTCCCCGATAATTGGTCAATTCCTTGCTCTGCTTGAAAATGATTTTCTATTCACTTTAAATAAATTGTATTATAAGAACTTGACTTTCACCTCATTTTCATTTGTTCCTTTCTCATTAGCAATGCAGATTTATATCCCAAACGTAGACTAGGAGCAAGTGCTCGGCCTCGTTTTGGGCCAACCTATCAATGGTATCCGCGAACATCAACAGTCACAAATTTGATTGTATTATGAAGTTATGCAAACATTGACATTTTTGTAATTGAGGACTCGTTCCATTTGAATTGGGACGTAACAGATCTATTAGCACCGAGTCCCAGGTACTCAGTAAAGTTAGGGAAAATCGCTAACACTGCTCTGCAAATGATTATAGCTGATATATGAGGTCAGGCATTGCTTTCTTGACCCCCAAATTTCAACGTCGACATTCTTGAAATAGACATTAAAATATTACCATTTACAGAGGTTGAAATAAATTTATTTACTTAATTTTAAAATAAACATGCACTTATTGTTGATAAAAAAGTGACTGACAACCACTGAACAAAGAAAATACTAAATTAAGCATTTTTGGGCCCGTCCGGGTTTGGTTGTTGTCCGGTTTTGGTGGTCCCCAACCAGTATATGTATTATGTATCGACATGGGAATAAATTTTAAATATAATTTTAATGTATCACATACAGAATAAGGATTGTTCCCCCAAATTTTATTTGATTTCTGTGTTTTTATGGTACATGTAGCTTAAATCCTTTGTGCACCTGTCTAACATTCTTCATTATTAGAAGAATTCTAAAGTTTCATTTCAGAAACGCTTAAATCTGGAGGCATGCTGCTTTAAAGTTAATTTGCGCGTTACACAAGTTGGGAAAGATATGTTGGGAAAAGATATTTGTGACAAAATTTAAGTGAAATGGATTTCGCGACATGTATTTAGATGCTTTTCAGTACATTTAAGCAGTTTATTTGAAAATAGTATGGGACACGTCATCTTTGTATTTTTAAACAGAATCTATGTTAATTGTTTTAATAATGTTAACTATTACGTAATCTAGTAATTGTTTTTTTTAATTTGTGGTATGTGTCTTACAGGGTTGAAGGATAAAAAAAAAATCCAGATGAAAATATTTTTTTTCTTTTTCTGCATTACATTAACCATTGTGAAAACTTACCATATTTTGAAAAAGTGTATTTTTGAAACAACTAGTTTTGTAGTTAGTTGAATTAGTTCATTAAGCATTTTTAGGGGCAAATACTATAAATACATTGTTTCACATTGAAGATCATGATTGCTAAATAAATATACTTTGTGTAGGACTTTTTGTAGTTTCTTTTACTGATATAGTTTGTTTGTGCAAATCAAAATGTGTAAAGTTATTTCCTCCCAATTTCCTCCTTGGAATTATTCCATGTGAAGAAGCTAGCCAGTTAGCTTACAGAATATCAGTGGTTGTACTACCTGAGGTCTTCCTCTATCAGTAAAACTGTCGAGTTGTCATATGACCTTGACAGGGTTTATGTTAGTCCAACAGGCACACAAACATATACATGTAATTAGCATATTAAAATTGAAGTTGAATGCAATAATGCACTCAAAATCGAATATACCTATTTTGTATAATATTGTGATTAAAATTGAAAAATAAATGCACTCAGTTTGTTATTTGAAGTCAGTTTAGTGTAAAGTAAATAACTTGTATTGATGCTATTGTGAATGTCAGTTATTGGACAATACTTCAGAAATCACCACTGCTTTAAGGTAATAGTCTGTAGTGGATATGATGGAGCGTCCATTGTGGAATGGTTAACATTGTTGACTTCAAACCACTTGCCCCTCTCTGCTGTGGGTTCGAATCTCCGACGAGGACTTTGGATTCTTTCATGTGAAGAAGCTATCCAGTTAGTTTACCGAATGTCGTAGGTTCTACTAAGGTAGCTAGCTGTTTGTGCCTAAAATAATGCTTGGAAGGGCACCAGAGGATTTGCTCTACCAGTAAAGCTGGAAAGTTGCCATAATTATGACCTATACTGGGTTGGTGTGACTTAAAACACAACAAAAAAATGGACATTATAATGACTAATTATTTCAGGTCAAATTGCAATTATTTCCAGAATACTGGTTCTCTATGCCTTGTATATAGAGTTCAACTTAAATCCACCAACACAGTAAATATTTCAAAATATTGGTTCTGTATGCTTTGAATCTTAAATTCAACTGTAATCAACAGTGTACTGATCCTATGTTCACTATGAATCAGAATAATTCAGATCAAAATGGAAGACTCATATAATTATTTTCTATTGTTATACCTCATAGATTTAATATTTAATGTTAATTATGAAAATAGCATGTTTATAAAATTATAGAATATGTTTATTATTACTTTATTTGACATAAGCATTTCACAGTTGAGCCAATTGTTGATCTGATCCTATTTAAAATTGATTCTTATTTTGATCAGATTATTTTGTGTTTGTATTGTTATTTTTTCCTTTATCCAAAATCATGTTGTTTCTTTGCAAATCATTTTATGTTACCATTAATTTAAGCCTTATATGATACATTTTAGCTTCATAAAGCAAAAGAAAATAAAATCAGGCTAATCTGATCCTGACCCATTGTTCTTAGTGAACAAGGAGCATTGATCTCCTAAATTATCACATTATCAATATTAATTAACAAACAAAAACTTTTTTTTATGTTTTATTGTGCAAAAACACAGTGAATTAATATTAATCGAACACGATATAACATATATGTACATGTTTACAATTAAATGCTACTGTAACAAAAGAAAATTTTCTGTACAAAATAAAAACAAATCTGTTGCATTCTATAATATATATACTGCAACAAATAAATCTAACAAATAAAACATTAATGTATAAAATATATCACAGGCAATATAATACATGTGTAAATGTATATCTTTCATAAAATGATAAAAAAAATAATCACAAAATGAAAACCCCTAACTAAAATTTACAATACCTTACCTACAAAGGATGTTGGTTAAATGAACATTCAAACCTTATTTAAATCAAATTTCCATGTTTACCATTATTTTGTAGTTACTTATAGTGCAACAATAATGCTCAATACAAGTTTATTACTTGTGGACAAACAAATTTTTTCCAATTTGAAAAAGGAGCTGACTGCCTACAACTCCATTTTATGATACAATATTTGGCACGCTTATAAGACAATAATTAAAAGTAGGATTGTTTAAGAAAAAAACAACCAAAAAAAACCCCCGAAAAACAAAAACAAATAAAACTTGCAAGTATTATTTTCTCACTTTAAATCAAACGGCAACATAAAAAACTATAAATCAGTAATTTGTTTTTGGTTTTGTAATCATTACAACAAGAATACCAGCCAGGAAATCTTGATATTCTTTCCCGATCAATGCCTTACACTATATTTATGAAAGAAATAACAGATATTACTATGCACCTGAAAGACCATGATTGATTCAAATTTCAAAAATATGCATCTACATGATACAGATTACATATACCAAATGCTATGGATGTATAATTTGTATTCATGAACATTGAATCATCTAAAGTAAAAGAAATATTTGGGCTTAATGTATCTTATATACATGCTACATTTTAAGACATTTTATGCCTAATACAACTATAAATAGACTGTTTATTATCTACTTTCTCATCAATAATGATTTACATAGTTCTCAAATAAAGCAAAATATTTAGTTTAACTTGTCTAGAAGGACCTGTATATGTATGTAAATGAAATGTGGAAAAAATGGCTTATTTATTGAAAGGTGGTCTCTTAAGAAAGATTGAACAAAGGACACCATTTAATACTGGTTTTCTCTATATGGTCTGTAATTTAAGGTGGTCTTTCAGAAAGATTCTGTATTTTGTTTTTTAATGTCATATTAAACTTCAGTTTCAATCTTGAATTTTCAATCACCCAAATCAACAATGCGTGAATAGTACTTAAAACTCTCCCACAATAGGTCTACATTATTATTTGTAGACCACTTGATGCGAGTATAATGTAAATAATTTTATAAGAAACTATTGAATTTACCTAGTGAAGCAAAACAAGAATTTCATATTCAAATATCCATATAAAATACCAGAAAAATACATCTGTTACAACACCTGGTTTTTATATTTAAAAAATAATCTCCTTTTATACAAAGAATTTGCAATATAAAAATAGCCTTCATAATTCAGTCCAGTTATTCTTAACTTACTTATTTAAAAACTCAAAAACAATTTTTCTTTAAAATCAAAAGTCATAAGTTAAAATGTTAGGTAAATTATGCCTGTCCGGCCACTTCCTGTAGAACTGGTTCCGGGCTTGGTGTTTTGGGTACCGGGATCTGTTTCACATCCTGTAACCTCTCCAAAGCTTTCTCACAGGGTCCCATGATATCCTACAAATTACATAGGAAATAACATTAACACTTATTATTATGGTACATTTATCCCTGTTTCTCGTATTTTCGAGGGCATGCTTTAAACCGATAGAATTAGCGCTTGGAGATCCAAAAACATAATTCTACTATGCTAAGCTCTGATTTACTAATATGTCAAATAGCAGCTTTAATTTATGCAACATTAAAAAGGAAATAAAAAACTTTTTTTTCTTAAATATCAGTCAATCCAGAAAAAAAGTTTTAAAATATTTTCTTCTTTAATTTTCATTATTCTATAGTTAAGTTTTACCACGGATTTACATTACTGTAATATAAAACCGTGGTTTTATAAAATCATAAAACACATATATTTCCTATGATCATGCATCTTACACTTTATCCCTACATGTATATGATATGATAAAGAATTTTCTAAAATGCTAAAATAAGATTATATACTAGTGATTATGTTTATGAATATTTTGGCTAAGTTCATTTAATACAAGTTTTTTTGAGATCTTTAATTTTGAGATACTAAAATATATATTATAGGTAGAGATATAAGTCATATCATATTGTTTGAAACACATTATAGTGTAATAATCAAAATTTTCGAAAGATATAGGAAGGTAGAATGCAAAATGGTTTGAAAGCGAAGATGGTTTTGAAGACTAGCAAATAAAATCTGTCTAAGAAATAAGCATTGTCATATTACAATAAGTACATATTTTAACCAGAAAAAATGATTAGTTGTGCAGATAATGAAGAAAAATGAAGAAAACAGTGAATGAATTTCAGTTACATAAAGACATGAAAAACTGTCATTTCTGTACTTCCAATACATTAACGCAAATAACATGACTTAAATTCCAAACATCATCATGACATCAAAACAAAAATGTGACTTTAATTAAACTTAATTAGAAAGATCACTGTGACCTTGACCAAATAACTTTGACCTTTATATCAAATCACTGTGACCTTGACCAAATAACTTTGACCTTTATATGAAATCACTGTGACCTTGACCAAATAATTTTAACCTTTATATCAAATCACTGTGACCTTGACCAAATAATTTTGACCTTTGTATCAAAACATTGACCTTGACCAAATAACTTTGACCTTTATATCAAAACACTGTGACCTTGACCAAATAATTTTGACCTTTGTATCAAAATACTGTGACCTTTGCCAAATAACTTTGACCTTTATATGAAATCAATGTGACCTTGACTAAAGGACTGTCACCTTGATATCAAATTACATGTACTTTGACCTTGACCAAAGTTAAAGGTGACCTTTGTTTCAAGTTATAGCATTTAAAGGATCTTATAATGATCATGTTAAGTTGAATTTAATGGTGCTAAGACTGACAAGATTTCTCTTTGAAGTCTGTAAAATAACCTATCTTTCATGCACATGTAAGTGGTGATGTTGATGATATTCATGAAAAACATTTAACGTTTTTTCATAACCTTTTACTGTCATTTAAAATGGACAAAATTTTCAAATTTGAAGCAAGTTCATTGGCTGCTTGTCAAAAATCCTTAAAACTAATATTATAGAAGACTTCAGACAGTTTATATGGCCTTGTCTCCTATAGCGCAGATTGGGTCATATAAGCAAAGTTCTGAGCCATATAACTGGTCAAGTCTTTATAATGCATTTTAATAAAATATGAGGTATATGAGTATAGCTAATAATAAAATGAAAATTAGGCTAAATAGAGCAGGTTATATGGGAATGGGTTATATAAAACTATATAAACAAATTAAGATATTTTTCACGCCACACCATTTACAGCCTTACCACATTCTCTTTGAAACGTTTAAATATTTCCGAGAGTAATTCCGGTCCAATTTTTAGATGGTTCATTTCCGACCTCACATCATCTAATAGTTGTAACAGAAATATTAATTAACATAGGATTAAACATTTTCAAACACATAACAATAACTACATAAAGAACATGGACTCTTTTTTTTTGCCATTACTTTCTTTACTATTAATTTTGTAAAGTGGACTTGCCCTGCTTCCATTTTAGAATTTCCCATTATCAATAACAGGTAAATCAAGATCAAAATACTGAATTGAGCAGAAGACAATTTATGAAGCTGCCTTTCCCTGCTAAGTTTGTATAATAGTTTGTCCTGCTTCCATTTTGGAATAGTCAACTGTTACATACAAGGTATTTCAAGATTTCTAAATACTAAAATAATGCAGAGTTGCAGACTGACTTAAGAATGCTATTGCTGATTGGATCTTAAGCTCTATAACCCAAGTTAGTGATCACAATGAAAAGTCCATGTTCTTTATTCTGTAACGCTTGCTAAAATAATGAAAGGAACATTACAATTCTATTCTATTCTTACTCAAGAATTCAAGTAGATTATCAAATCCTTAAAGAAATAACAATTACTAATTCAAATGTATCAAAAAGTGTCCTTGTTTTAAGATTAAAGGGAATGCATAGAACTAGTCACAATTTCTTGACATCTGATTGGTTAATTTCAAATACAAAATTTGAAATTAACCAATAGCAGATATACTATTCAAGACTGGTTCCCTATGTTGCTTGAATTCATGAATTTCCTGAATTCTGAATAAAACACTACATTATAAGCAACTGAACAGATGCTATACTTTAAATAAAACTAGACCTATCACTGAAGGTGATTAATACCCCCACCAGCATTTTTGACTTTTTGGAAAAAAAGTAGTCTGAAGAAAAAATTTGAACGCAAACTATCAACTGTGTACAAAGAAATATTTCAATTAATTGTAATCGCAACTGCGGTCTCGAAATAAGCTTGCTATACACCAAGTTTGATTACAATATCTCATTCCTAACTCTAGTTATTGTCCGGAAACAATTTTTTCTATTTTTAGTAACACTTTAACGGTGACCTTGACCCTAGGGGGTCGAAATGCAATACCAACCCAGGTCTTCATTTAAACTTCCTATACACCAAATTAGATTACAATATCTCATTCCTAACTCTAGTTATTGTCCAAAAACTATTTTTCTATTTTTGCGTAACGGTGACCTTGACCTTAACCCCAGGGAGCAAAAAAGCAATACCAACCAAGGTCTTCATATAAGCTTGTTATACGCCAAGTTTCATAACAATATCTTATTCCTAACTCTAGTTATTGTCCGGAAACCATATTTCTATTTTTAGTAACGGTGACCTTAACCTTAACCACAGGGGGCCCAAATGCAATACCAACCCAGGTCTTTATATAAGCTTGCTATAGGCCAAGTTTGATAACAATATCTCATTCCTAACTCTTAGTTATTGTCCGGAAACCATTTTTCTATTTTAAGTAACGATGACCTTGACCCCAGGGGGTCCAAATGCAATACCAACCCAGGTCTTCATATAAGCTTGCTATTCACCAAGTTTGATTACAGTATCTCATTCCTAAGTCAAGTTATTGTCCGGAAACCATTTTTCTATTTTTAGTAACGGTGACCTTGACCTTGACCCCAGGGGGCCCAAATGCAATACCAACCCAGGTCTTTATATAAGCTTGCTATAGGCCAAGTTTGATAACAATATCTCATTCCTAACTCTAGTTATTGTCCGCAAACCATTTTTCTATTTTTAGAAACCATTTTTCTATTTTTAGTAACGGTGACCTTGACCTTGACCCCAGGGGGCCCAAATGCAATTCCAACCCAGGTCTTTATATAAGCTTGCTATAGGCCAAGTTTGATAACAATATCTCATTCCTAACTCTAGTTATTGTCCGGCAACCATTTTTCTATTTTTAGTAACGGTAACCTTGACCCCAGGGGGTCCAAATGCAATACCAACCGGAGTTTCCACATAAGGTTGCTATATACCAAGTTTGATTACAATACCTCATTCCAAACTCTAGTTATCGTCTGGAAACCATGATGTGGACCGACCGACGGACCGACAAGCTGACTCCTATATACCCCCCCTAAACTTCGTTTGTGGGGGTATAATAAATGACGAAGATTTTGTTGTTATTGTCATAATTTTTTCTTGTGTTACATGTATTTGTATTTCCACTTCTGTTGCTATAGAGCTGATAATCTACTTGAGTGTTGGTGGTTAACTTTGCAGTACATATTTTCTTTTCACCTGTCAAACACACTTACCATTACCATACAGTAAAACATTCAACACTTTACATAAAACCTCTACCAACTGCTTTTTATGTATACAAAATAACTCAAACATAGAGAATATACTACAAAATAACTTAAACATAGAGAATATACTGCTAAGTGGTTAAATCAAGAAGACAGCTCCCCTGTCCGTACTCTACCCCCCTTGCCGCCCTAATAAACAACCAGGTCCCTCTTATTTGAGGAAGCTTTCAATCTAAGTGATGAACTGTTGGTGGTTCCACCCAGGTGCCTGCTCAGTTCTGAAATAATGCACAGAGGGGCACCCGAGATCTTCCTGGAAATGCCCCATGACCTATACTGTGTTGGTGTGACGGAAAACCCATGGGAAAAAAAAGAAGAAAAACATCAAATATTTTACAGCTAGCACTGATTTGTTTGTTTGTTTGATTGGGTTTAAGGTCACATCGACACAGTATAGGTCATATCGTAACATTCCAGCTTTACTGTGTGAGGAAGACCTCAGGTGCCCCTCCGTGCATTATTTCAGGCACGAACGGGCACCTGAGTAGAACCACCGACGTTCCGTAAGCTAGCTGGATAGCTTCCGCACATTAAAGAATCCAAGTCCCTGTCCAGATTCGAACCCACAGCGGTGAGGGGCAAGTGGTTCGAAGTCAATGACCTTAACCACTCGGCCACGGATGCCCCACTAGCACAGATGCTTCTGTCAGTGTTCTCATCAGAATTTAAATCCATTTAAAAGAAGATAGGGGCTAAAGATTGGATATCAGTTACATTTACGTAACTTTGCTAGACCGCTAGTCATCCGGAGCAACCATGCACTATATACTCATTGTTTAAGCTATCATCATATTGTACCTTTTCCAAAATACAAAGAAAAAAACCAACATTGCTCAAATCTCACCTTATTTAATCTAAACTTTTTCGTAACCTCTTTGATTTGTTCAAACACGTTATAACTTTTTAAATCTGTGCAGATATCAACTGGGAACGAAAAGATAGAGTTATATGTACAGGCAACAGATTAAGATGACATAATTAAGGAAATGATAGAAAGAAAAATGTAAGAATAGAAAAGTAATAAGAAAAAAAAGGAACAGCAAAACAAAAACAAAAAGATAGAAAGAAATAGCAAAATAATAAAAGAATTAAAGAATGAAAGGTATAAAGAAAGTCAGAAAGATTGAACAAAAGAAACACAGAATGAACAATGAAACCACTAATAGAATAGTGAATTAGAGAGAAATACACTGTAATAAGAATTGGAAAAGGAGAAAGAATAAGAAATATGAAAGAAAAGTATACAAGACGTGCAGTCTATAAAAACTCTAAATGGTATTCAGACAAGAGCCCATTGACCAAAATCCCATTCTTTATATAAAACGACAAACAGCTCCACAATGGGTTGACAAAAGCCCCACTCGTGGTTTTCAGAAAAGAGCCTTGCCATGGTATTCAGACAAAAGCCTCACTGTGGTATTAAGACAATAGCCCCATTGTGATATTCAGACAAAAAACCTATTGCAGTATTCAGACAAAAGCCCATTTGTGGTTTTCTGGTAATTTTCCAAAAAAAAAGCATCAACAGGGTATTCAGACAGTAGCCCCATTGTGGTATTCAGACAATAGCCCCATTGTGGTATTCAGACAAAAGCCCCATTGTGGTATTCAGACAAAAGCCCCATTCTGGTATTCAGACAAAAACCCAATTGTGGTATTCAGACAGAAGCCCAATCATGGTATTTAGACAATAGCCTCATTCTGGTATTCAGACAAAGCCCCATGGTAAGCCTCTTGACTACAATCTCCTAAGCTTCAAAATTCAGAAATATTTAAAAAAATAACTCAGTAGGCAGACAAAAAACCTCTTTAGTATTGATGGCATATAGGCAAGCCATAACCATTCCTTGTATACAGAAAATTATTTCTAAATCTATATAATTACAGTAAAATGGACATACCATACTCTGCTAATTCCATTAATAATGTTACAACACTTTCCACGACCTCCGCATTGTCCTTGTGTAGTTCATAAGTCTTCATAATTATAGGTATACCAGCAATGTGGGTGTTCCCTGGCCCCTCATTGGTTAACACTCTATAGGCTGACTCCTCTGTAGTTATATATAATAAATTACATGTAGTTAATAAAAACATTTAAATTGTCAACTTGGTGCAGTAATGGGTTAACTCCTTATATAATTTAATGGGAGTTAACCAGTTACTGCACTAAGGTGATGTAATGGCATACATCACTGCAACACCACAAGTTTCCCTCATTGTAACTGCAAAGGTCACACATATGAAAATTCATATGGGAAATGTACCAGTAGTCAAACACATGAACCCAGAAAGTCACCAAATATGGGTCGATTGCTTTTATTGAGACCTTTACAATAGATGAACAAAAAGATTATTTTTCATGAAATTAGATGAAATGCACCTGTTTAAGGCACATTATGCCATAGAAATTAATAAATTTTCACCATGTCAGGCATTATGTGAAGTCGATAGCACGTAGACTGGAGAAAGATTTCAATGAGCTTGTGACTTACATTATAGAAGCGATATATATAGGTGTCCAGCATTAAGGCCAAAGGTTGATACTTATGACAAGTTGAAAAAAATATTTTTGATTTCTAACCGGTACTGTCTTAGCTTATCCATTTCAGCTAAATTATGATGAAAGCTTATAGCTTACTTACTTTGAAGTCTCTGTTCCTTGAACCTACTTGTGCACATGCGTTATGAGGAAACACTATCCCTTGGTTTGAAAAGCAGAAACGCTATCCCCTACCCAACAGTAAGTATAAAACAATAAATGATACAAAAAAAAAGAAATGTAACAACAAAATCATACCATCTATTTCTACCAAACTAGCCAGTGCAAGGCAAGCATTTTTAACGACCTTGGAATTCTTCCCGTGTGTTTTGATTGTCTCTATCAGCAGACCCACCCCGTCTAAATCACAAATTATTTCTAGATTCTCCTCTGAAACAAGAAAGAAACAATTATTAAACATTGAAAAGTTTTGGTAAAAATGTTATCTACATTAGATTGTTATCATTTTCAAATATCATCATTAAAATCATCATCATTGTTGTTGTTGTAATGATGATGATGATCATCATCATCATCACCAGCACTACTTATCATCATCATTATAATCATCATCATCATTATAGTCATCATCATCATTGTAATCATCATCAACACAACCACTACTTAACATCATCACTATGACACCAGATAAATAATATAGGATTTTCTAACTTCAAAAAGGGCCAAAATTCTGTCACAATCCATGTTTGAGTTATGGGCCTCAGACAGTGACCTGTAATAATCTCAAATAAGAATGTGAACTTTCAATCGGGTCCCTTCAGTAGTTTTGAAGATTTGCAAGCAAAAATTAAACAAGAGGGCCATGATGGCCCTGAAGTCGCTCACCTGTATATAGGCCCCCAGAGCGGGGCCAGTTTAAACCCCCCGGCTTTTATTTGAACAAACTTAGTAGACACCCATTAGAAGATGTTTCATGCTACACATCTAAGGTCTCGCTCGTTGGGTTTTTTAAAAGAAGATTTTTTAAGTTTTTTCTTTACACATATAGTTAAAAACAATGACACCCCTGGAGCCAGTTTTGACCCCAGGGCTTTTATTTGAACAATCTTTGTAGACACTTACTAGAAAATGTTTCATGCTTAATATCTAAACTCTAGCTATTCGAGTTTTTCAAAGAAGATTTTTAAGTTTTTGCTATACACATATAAGGAAAATCAATGTCCCCCGGGGCGGGGCCAATTTTGACCCAAGGGCTTTTATTTGAACAAACTTTGTAGAAGCTCACTAGAAGATGCTTCATGCTTAATATTTAAACTCTAGCTCTTTGAGTTTTTTCAAAGAAGATTTTTTAAAGTTTTTGCTATACACATATAAGGAAAATGAATGACCCCCGGGGTGGGGCCAGTTTTTAACCCCAGGGCTTTTATTTGAACAAACTTTGTAGACATCCATAAGCACATGTTTCATACCAAATATCTTAGCTCTAACTCTTTGGGTTCTTTAAAAGAAGATTTTTAAGTTTTTACTATATGCATATATAGGGAAAATCAATGACCCCCTGGGGCGGGGCCAATTTTGACCCAAGGCCTTTTATTTGAACAAACTTGGTAGACACTCATTAGAAGATGTTTCATGCTAAATATTTTAGCTCTAGCATTTTGGGTTCTTTAAAAGAAGATTTTTTAAAGTTTTTACTATATGCATATAGGGAAAATCAATGACCCACTGGGGCGGGGCCAATTTTGACCCCAGGGTTTTTATTTGAACAAAATTGCTAGACACTCACTAGAAGATGTTTCATGCTTAATATCTAAGCTCTAGCTCATTAGGTATTTTAGAAGAAGATATTTAAAGTTTTTTCTTTTGGTTGCCATGGCAACAAGAGTTCTGCATGGAATTAAATTCTTTGAACAATTTTCAAAGGTGACCACCAAAGGAACATTCCTGTGAAGTTTGGATGAAATTGGCTTAGTGGTTTATGAGGAGATGTCATTTAAAGTAAAAGATAACGGACGACGAACGGACGGATGCCGGATGGACGCCAGACGTAAAGCGATCACAAAAGCACACCCTGTCACTTTGTGACAGGTGAGCTAAAAAAGATTGATGCCAACCCCTGGGTGAGTACAATATCTCCCCATACTCTTTAAAATAGTCGAGCTAAAAATTCTTTCCTTGGTCAATATGACATGCTGCTTATGTCAATATCACATAATATTTTGTTCACACAAAAACTTCAACTGTGTGCCAATGATGACGACCAGACGCCAATCATGACGACCAGACGCCAATCATGACGACCAGACGCCAATCATGACGACCAGACGCCAATCATGACGACCAGACGCCAATCATGACGACCAGACGCCAATGGTGACTGGATGCCAATGATGACTACCAGACACCAATGATGACAACTGAGTGTGTACAATTGCTGCCCCTATTTTGGGTGTGTACTATTGCTCGAAACCTCGCGCTTAAATAATGCAAACAAGACAAGGTATTATCATTATCATTTCATCATACAAAATACTTAAACAAGAGGGCCATGATGGCCCTAGATCGCTCACCTGAATTATCAAACTCATCCAAACAATTACCTAGACAAGCATTCTGACCAAGTCTCATGACAGGTGAGTCAAAAATGTGACCACTACAGTGTTAACAAGGATTATCCATATTTGAGCAGTGCGACCTAGTTTTTTACCCAGGTGACACATATTCAAACTTGACCTAGAAATCATCAAAACAAACTTTCAGACCAATTTCCAGGATACTTGGATCAAAACAGTAGCAACTAGAGTGTTAACAAGATTTTTCTATTTTTAGCTCCGGTGACCTAGTTTCACATGCGATTTCGAACTCATCCAAGCAATTACCTAGACAAGATTCTGACCAAGTTTGATGATAATGGAGTCGAAAATGTGACCACTAGAATGTTAACAAGGTTTTTCCATATTTGGGCGGTGTGACCTAGTTTTTCATCCAAGATGACCCATGTTCGATCTTGACTTAGAAATCATCAAAACAAACTTTCAGACCAATTAACAGAATATTTGGCTCACAACAGTAGCCACTAGAGTGTTAACAAGATTTTTCTATTTTTAGCTCCTGTGACCTAGTTTTTCATCCGAGATGTCCCATGTTCGATTTATTCCCAGCAATGACCTAGACAAGTTTCCTGACCAAGTTTGATGACAATTGAGTCAAAATTGTGACCACTAGAGTGTTAACAAGGTTTTTCTATTTTTAGCTCCTGTGACCTAGTTTTTCATCCGAGATGACCCATGTTCGAACTCATCCGAGTTATTACCTAGACAAGCATCTTGATCAAGTTTGATGATGATTGATGCAAAAATGTGACCGCTAAAGTGTTAACAAGGTTTTTCTATTTTTAGCTCCGGTGACCTACTTTTTCATCCGAGATGACCCATGTTTCGAACTCATCCAAGCTATCAACTAGATAAGCATCCTGACCAAGTTTGATGATGATTGATGCAAAAATGTGACCGCTAGAGTGTTAACAAGGTTTTTCTATTTATAGCTCCGGTGACCTAGTTTTTCATCTGAGATGACCCATATTCGAACTCATCCGAGCTATTATCTAAACAAGCATCCTGACAAAGTTTGATGATGATTGGGTCAAAAATGTGACCACTAGAGTGGTCACAAGGTTTTTCTATTTTTAGCTCCTGTGACCTAGTTTTTCATCAGAGATGACCCATGTTCGAACTCATCCAAGCAATTGACTAGACAAGCATTCTGACCAAGTTTGATGATGATTGGTTCAAAAATGTGACCACTAGAGTGTTCACAAGGTTTTCTATTTATAGCTCCTGTGACCTACTTTTTCATCCGAGATGACCCATGTTCGAACTCATCCGAGCTATCACCTAGACAAACATCCTGACCAAGTTTGATGAAGATTGGGTCAAAAATGTGACCTCTAGAGTGTTCACAAGGTTTTTCTATTTTTAGCTCTTGTGACCTAGTTTTTCATCTGAGATGACCCATGTTCGAACTCATCCGAGCTTTCAACTAGATAAGCATCCTGACCAAGTTTGATGATGATTGAGGCAAAAATGCGACCGCTAGAGTGTTCACAAGCAATTGTGGACGGCCGGACGGACGACGGACGACGGACGACGGACATTCATCGATCCTAAAAGCTCACCCTGAGCAAGCTCAGGTGAGCTAAAAATTAACATACCATCTAAAGAAAGAGCTAGAATTGATGCTGAGGCTGCCTCGGCGACCTCGGATGAGTTCATATGAATCTTGAGAACATTGCACACTTCCTTTACACCTTTCTCCTCTGTAGCTATCTTAACATTATTACCTATATTACAAAATGGAAAACTCCTATATTGAATGATTTACAGTAAGACATGTATATTAATAACACTATTATTATACAATTGCAACAACATTTGTATCAGTTTGTTTAAGGTAATTCTATATATAGCATAATAGATAACTGATAAAGTGATGACTCTGATTATTTGTTCATTTTCAACTCGTTGTGGCCAATTTCCAGTTTTCATGAAATATGTAGGACTAGCTTCACACTGACCCCTCAGGACAACCACTCTCGGACCATTGCAAGCTTCAATGGTAAAAATATGTAATGTTCTCATTTAGATTTGAACCCACAGTTGTGATAGGCAAGCTTTTAGAACTAACAGACATTAACCATTTAGCCAATGTGAACAGATGGATGGATGAACCTACTGCATGGCCACCATAATTGTTAGATCAACTTCCCCAAATAAAAAAATAACACTTCATTAAATTATAAAAGTCAAAACTTTAAGTTGTAGTTCTATGTCATTTTTTTTATTACATCATAATAACAAATAATAAGTTGGAAAAAAATTAACAAAGGAAGCATTTTTAATTTCTAAAAATTCTGAAAGTTTTGAAAAATCTAGAAAAGTGGTGATCCCTCTCATGCTACAGAAACATCAATGTAATATGAAAATTGCAGACATCGGTTTAATTGAATCTTCTCTTGAGAGATAATAAGATAACGAAAAAGTGAAATATCTCTTAGGACCCCAGTATCAGATTATATGGTATTAAATGTCAAGAAAAGGAAACAATTACCATGTACTGTCAGACCCCATAATGCACTAAGACAGGTACTACACAGTTTAGCATTGTTCGGATGTGTTCTAAGAGCCACCAGTATGTCCTGAACACCACCTAGATGTCCAATCACCTCACCTGCTAAAGCTGTAAACATACGTCAATAATGATAATAAATCTTAGCGGCCATAAACTCTATCCCAAAACATAAAACATGCCCCTGATTTGAGAATATCAATATTATATTTGCTCATTTTCGTAAATTTAAAAAGGCCTGTTGCCTACTGGTTATTTTGCAATTGTCTCCATGGAATGATGTTATGATAATAAACATTAACAGGCTAGTTTTGTATGAAAATAGCAATTTTTAGACAGGTAAAAGTGAAGTCGACAAAAGTCGCTTCCATTTGAGATTATGCGAGTCGATCATTTACACTTCCATGCCATAATTGATCAAGAAAGGTCAATTATTGCTTCTGACAGGGGAATGAAAAAAAGTTGACCAAAAAACCCACTTAAATCGGGTAAAAGGTTAATAAAAGCCTTAATAACAAACAAGGTTTTTATACAGTATATATAAAAGTACTTACTGTTAGCAGCCAGGGCCATAAGTAGAGAGCTTGCAGCATACTGTACATCTAAATTATCTTTGTGATTCTATAATTAGAATTATCCTACATGATATTATACATTCCTACACATACATACACATACATGTACATTAAATAATATACAAATATTTTCTTGCATATCAGATATAGTAGGATTATCTTTTGTTAACAACATGCCAGAAAACCCTGTCTTACACCCTTCCCCCATGTACGACAAGGTGCATGCTTTAACCATGCACCTTTTATGAATGAATTGCACTCTTAAAATTATGTCATTTTTTCATATTGAATGAAGTTATAAATTCATACCCTTCTATAAGAAAAAAGTGCTGAACAAAAATATTTGTTTTTGTGGGTTTTTTTTCTGGATTATGATTATTATATAATATGCAAGAAAAAGAATCAAACACCAATCGTTGTCACAGACATGAATATCTAGCTCTCAGGTAACAGGTAACTGTAAAGCGGAAACTCAGCACAGCCTCATTACTGCCGTAAACAGTTACCCTCGAGCTAGATATTCAAGTCTGTACCAGCAGCTGGAGTAAGATCCTTATAACATTTGACAGAAAAAGTAATTCATTGAGAAAAATTTCACTGCAATTTTAACAGAATGGGTCAAGATTTAGGGTAGAATTAAACTTATAAATTTTGTCAAAATTGCGACAAGTATACACACTCTATGATGTTGGTATCTCAACTTTTGTACCTGTATTTTGACACTGAAATGCATTAAACTGCAAACTGACTTATTTCAATTTTCAGGGAAAATTTGATATTAAAATTCAGGAAGACTAAAGGGCAAATTTCTTGATAAACTGTAGTGTATATTGACAATTAGTAAAATTAATTTAATTTCTCTTTGATTGGCTCTTTGAAAAAAATCAGTAAACAGTGGGGGATTTGATACCCACAGTGGTGGATTGAAGAATAATGTTGAAAATAAGGGGATTTATCCCCTAGCCAGATATATGACTTGCATGCAAGAACTCACCTCCATGGACAATGGTAACACTGCTATAACCTCCGGTGTGAAAAGTACATCATTCACCTCAGCTGTTTGATAAAATAATATATTAATACAATAAATGGATGATTTTAACTTCACTACAAACGCGTATTTGTATTTTGTTTTTCACGTAATTGGAAATTTGAAATTCGCCAATCACTCAAATTTGTTGCAACAGTTGCACAGAAAAATTGTCACAAATTAAAGTGACATTATGCCCATCAAAGTGTAAATGGTCAGTCAACAGGGAAAATTATAGAAACAACTTGACATTTTGCCATGATTGTGTTCAATTTCATATGTTACTGTAAGAAAAATATATTAAAATCCAAGTGACCAACAAAAATTTCTGTAAAGTATCAGTAACGCTAAATTCTTAATAATAGCCAGTCATTTGAAATATGTTAATCATTGAACTTGACAGAAAAAAATGAGCATAATGCCAGTTTAATTTTGCATTTGCTCCCTCTATATACTGATTGGAAATCAACAACTATTTGGTCAATTAACATCATATGTTTAAAACTCAATTTGCCCCAATTAGTTGAAAATCTGCCTATATTTAGTTGAAAGTTAAAATATCAACTTACTTTGAAATCAGACATCTTTATTAGAAATATTTTAACCACTAAATTGTAATTTTTATATCAATTGATTTCCTGATTAGTCATTTTTTTTAATTGAATTAATTCTTACTTTCTAGAAGACACAAAACAATTATGTTGAGAGAATTTGTAAAGTGCTAAGAATTGTGCATTGTAAGGATCTTGTTTTTTTTCTCTCTAGTTACAGTGAAATTATTACATTTACATGTATTTCAATACTTACACATATTACATATTTCATATTACAGTGTGTATTATGAAAATTTAAGGATTAATATGTTAATTTCTGTGATAGTTTTATTTGTAGCTTTCAATGCAGAATTTATAGATTTTGTCAAAATGCCCACCTTTTCTCTAAGTTCACAAAGGGGGAATAATTCAGCCCAAATCTTAATTAACAAACAGAGTTAAAGGTTTTTGGACAGACAGTGTCCTACAATTATGATCTCAGAAACAGTAAAGAGTTTTACCAGAAAATACCTTCAGGACTTTAAATGAGATAGTATGATAAACTGCATACAAAACCAGGTATATTCTTACTTAAAGGCCCATTATGCCTAAGAAATCATTTCCCTTCTAGTATCTGAACTGCTACTCATTGCCCTATTTACGGAACCATCTTTTATATCTGTTGCTTTTTGGCATTAAGTACAATTATAGTGAATTTGTATTTTGTTTGGAAGTAAAAATACTATTTTGTTAACATTTTTCTACTTTTATGACAAATTATTTCACATTTATTGCAACCCTTTTCAGGTAACAAGCATTTTACATTTCTCTAAAATCACCATTTAAACATTATAAAATTCATGTTTGCCTTTTCTAAAGAAGTAAAAATTTATTTGTTTATGAGGCATAATGGGCCTTTAAGAAAGGGATATAATTCAGTCCAGTTCCATGCTATAGTTATGGGTCTTGTACAGTACCTACCATTATGATCCCAAAGACATTCATAAATTATATACTTTCAACAGATGATAAATTATGAAGTTACACACAACTTAAAATCAGTAGTACAAAGACACCAGGGCAGATATGGAAAAGTTGCACATAAAACTTATAACTAACTGGTACTGAATAAAGATTTGAAAACCTGGTTTTTATTATGTTTATTTTAAATATTGTCAGACATTTGAAATTACAGGATTAAGATTGGAGTTCAGTGTTTATAATCTATTAGTCAAACATTACCATTCTGTCGTTTTTTGAATGACACTGCTATAAATAGACAGAAACAGAGGTTAAAGTTTGATTTCTGTAAATTAAGGGCACTGATATGACATTTACCAAAAATCAATGGTGTTTTTTTGTTTCATTTACTTTCTTCATCATGGTAAGCAGTTTATATTCTGAAAATAATTTAGTATGTTCAAGCTATGCTTTGTAAACTAAAAAAACAACACAATAATATTTGTACATACCACACATAACAAGACTGTTTAGTACATTACAACCACTGATCTGTATCTCTGCATCAGTCATGTTGTTCTTCATTGCCATAGCAACCAATTTCTTCCCTCTGAAATGCCATATTGATTATATCTTCATCACATTAAATAGCACATAGAGGCAACAGAAATTTAACAGATTTTCTCAAAATAAACTACTACTATTACTATTTTTCTCCAAAAGCCTTGCCAGGGTTAGGCAATCCTGCCTACAAGTTGACACAACACAATGGTTAAAAACAAGTGTTCTATGATTCCTACCAATTCCTCAAAGGATAAATTATGAAATAGTTGGGTAGTATGATGACATGGACACAAACGCTGACCACCACACCATGGTGACCTTTTATGTAGGCCAACTTTGCCTTTTATACAAATATAATAGTCTGACATAAAGGTATAAATTTGCCATGGAAATGAAATTAAATAACTTGAAATGACACAAAAGACATAGTTTTTTATGATGTCAGCAACCTTGGCCATTAAACTTTAGTGGCCCAATAATGAAATGACATAAAGCGTGTATGTCGGGGGTTTGTTTGTGCTTAATTAACTTACACATCAACACTGGTAACAGTCATACTGCCACTTTCCGACCTGAACAATTGGAAGAGTACCTTAGGTGCCTCTTCCTGCATTAATTCAGGCATGAGCACTGGAGCAGAACCACCTATGTTCCATAAGTTCCATAAGATCCGTATAAAGCCTTTTATAAATAAAATATTCCTAAATCCCTGAAAGGATTTGATGCAAAAAAGTTGAGATGTCCATGATTTGAATTTGGCATACATATTCTTGCATATCAGACTGGCGTTTCCGTGAGTTTTACCCATGCCGGAAATTTCATCTGGCATGGGGGGTGCCAGATGAGTCGCGTGCCAAACAACAACGTCATTTTTGCGCGCTTTATGAATGAACGGCGTTAAAATGACGTCGTTTTAGAAGGGAAATATGTGCTAAGGATGACGTCAGTTCGCCGTTGTTATTTAAATTGTAAGTTCATACGCTATTGTAAGAAAATAGTTATGGTAAAATGACTTTAATTTCCATGAACATATATCATATTGAGGTAAACCATTTTAAATATGAAATAATATGACAGAATATGCAAGAAAAAATATCTAACATATGTTTGCGGTTCGAATCGGAATATCCGTCCCTCGGGAACCCGCCCATGGGCGGTAACTCGGCAAGCCTCGTTACCGCCCAATGGGCGGGTCCCCTCGGGACGGATATTCCGGTCCGAACCGCAACATATGACAGATATTATTAATCTTTTTGCCATAGATACCTCAATAGAATCAATGACTCAGGAAAAGAATTGACATACCTGGGATCTAGGTTAAGACCGCCCTCAGATTTGGAGAGTTCGAGGAGGTATTCTAGTGCCTCTTTAACACATTCATCATAATCCACCATGTTAGCCAGGTACTCTAACACCTTTAAAACTCCTTGACCCTTCGGTACCGGCCCTAGAAACACAAATCAATTTCTGTCATATACGAGTGATATTCTGACCAGTGTGATATTTTGACCAGTGTGATATATTCTGACCAGTGTGATATTTTGACCAGTGTGATATATTCTGACCAGTGGGATATTCTGACAGATTCTTTGTACTGCTCAAGTAATCTGTGTAAAAATTATATTCCAAAAAGCCCGCACAGTACGCACGTGAGTGTAAACACAATTAAATAACTAAAATATCTAATATTAACTTTCATTGTAATTTAGCATGAATCGAATTAATATACTTGTATAATACTTTAAAAAAATCATTTTTCAAATTGGAATCAGAAATTTACTCTGAAGAATTGGAAAAGAAAAGAATAGATTATGTCATATAATTATTTGTAATTTTTTTCTATCTTTCCAGATTCCTTTTATTTGAGAAATAGAAATTATTATTTAAACAAATGTATTAAAATTAAAAAAATGTTTTGATACAAGGAAAGTATAAATATAGAAATATTTCCTATGCTAACATTCTATCATAAAGAAAATGCCTATGGATATGATTTAAACTGCTGTAACCCATCACCATAGCAAACTAAATTATCTAAGAGGTTAAGTCACTTTAATATTAACCCTTACTCCACTAAATATCTTAAATAGACTTGTCCATCTTTCAATCTGGACAGAACCATTCATAATATTTAGGAAGAATTTAAAATATATACTGACTGCATAGCAAACAGTGCAGACCATGATCAGATGGGACACCCCTGCCGTCTGATCATACACCACAGATGTACTGGCCTTGGTCTGCACTGGACATGTTGCTACCAGCAGGTTAAGGGCTAATTATTCAAAGTGAGTTAAATTTGAGAAATGCTACATTGTCAAAAACAAGCTTGAAATTTTTTACAATTCAAGTTTTGCCAGTACTGAAGGATACATATAAAACATGTCATTTGCCATGGGGGGGGGGGGGGTGGTCAGTTACAAATAACCGGTGCTTTACTACATGGAAATACTAAAACATAATCTTGAAATAATGAAATATTAATCAAACATACCTAAGTATATGTAAGAAATAATATTATAACACTGTATATTTTCAAACTAAATAAGATAATAAACAAACTTTAAAACAAGGGGTGAGCTATCCAAATAAAAAATTGTATTAAAAGTTGTGACTCGATTTGTGAAACTTGTGAATATTAATTTCAATTCAATGTGAATAAGATGTACAGCATACAACATACATAATCACAAAAATAATGTAAGTCATTCTTAATTCTTAATTTAATATAAGTTACTGCAGTTTTGCAGTCAACCCCAAGTAATAATGAACCAGCCCACTCTACACCTGGGTGTAGACTGACCAGGCTCTATAATATTGTCTACTCAAATTGCATTTTTTTTTATTTGTAAAGCCCTGAAAATACCAATGGAACAGTTCCAAAAGTTAAAGCTGCATGCCTCCAGACGAGTCAAAATATTTCAAGAAGTCATCCTTGCAGGAAAAGTAAAAATATTCACAATTCTATAAATAGTTTGCATGTGTTATTATGCAATTAATGATAATTTTCCAGTTTTTATTACTATAGTTCTACTGACTGACTAACAAACTAAGGGCTATTTTTCAATATTCTAGCTGAGGGCTATTTTTGCATATTCTTAGCTTTTTGGGGGTAAATTTAGATTACTTTGTTTGCTCACTTGAAAAAATTGTACTCACACATTTAAAAAAAAATTCATGAAAGTAAATATGAACCTGGAGGCATGCTGCTTTAAAACTGCATGGGCAAGGTCCATTATATAAATTTAATGGTAACAGAATTAAGTGAATAAAGTTCTGATTAAATACAACAAGTAAAGTGAATTAAGGTAACTCTAAACTAATTATTAATACATGTAGCTGTAAGTAAACGTGACAGAAAAGATAAAATGTTGAATGTAAGTAAATATGTATATTATATACATGGGTAATTATATAAATAACTTTGTCTAGGTTAGCTTCTCGAAACTTACATCTACTGACTTCTTCTTTAACTGCTATAAATAAATATTATCAAGCGAGATAATTAATTCAAAACATGCTTCTCTCTATGAAATAATGAAACTGTTTAATGAAATCATAGGGTATAAAGCTATATTGTCTTAAATACCTTGTTTCTGAAGAATTATTTCTATTGTGAACTAGAAAAGCTTTGTAACACTTGGATCACAAATCAGGCTAAAAAATCACATATTTAAAAAAAAATAAAAAAAATTCAATTTTATTCTGAGTGTATTTTTTTCTTATCTTTAGCATATTTTTCCTTTTTAAGTGCTCAAATTAAATATATTTAAGAATTTCAAGTATCATGTTTTCAGGCTTTTGGCTATTTTCTAACAATATTATTCTTAGTAGGGCAACCAATGACTTCAATCTGCAAAATCGGCCTTATCATTAACAAACATCCTTTTCATTAGATTTAAATACTTAAGTACTGGTATGATTTTGATCATGGCACACACAATCACAGTAATATTTTACCAATTGTAATACCGACAGCCCAATATAGCTTTATACCCTTTAACCTTTTCTCTGCTCGAACATAAAGTGACCAGCCTTTGCCACCAGTATAGAGCCAGACCAGCCTGTATAACTTCTGTGCAGTCTGACCTGGCTCTATACTGTTGCCAGCTTTAATTTTTTTTTGTATTGTGATGTTGAAATCCTTTTAATATTTAAATGGATGGCACCAAAAATCGAAGAAAATCAATTTTCCTATATACTGATGGTTCAGTGTGAAACGGACGTAACTCCTTCATTATGAATTACAAGTTACAACTGTTTTGCACCAAATGGTCGATTTACAGTCAGCAGGTTAAAGGTTAAAACACTGGTTTGTCTAAACTCACAACACTGGTTTGTCTAAACTCCAGTACAATTAATAGCAGCAACTTATTATAAATGTACAATTTAAACTAAATGTTAACAAGCTTAAAGCAAAATACATACACACAAAAATGCATGCAAAACCTGTGCAAATTACAATATTTCTATAATATATGTGTAACATGTATAGTAGATAAAAATATGATTTAAACTTTCTACAAAAATTCTTAAATATCACTGTGCAATAGACTAAAGTAAAGTACAGTAACTCTTATGACATCTTCATAATATACTGCTAATTTATCTCCCTTTGATGAAACATATATTGAAAAATTAAATATTTTCGCAAAGGCTAAAATTTTGCGAAATCAACATTTCTGAATAATTGGCAAGGTTAAATATTTGATTTTCTGTATTTCTACTTTCAGTTTTTTTTTATTTAATTGGTTAAATCTAATACTTAGCAAACATTTATTTTCGCTAAAATCACTTTAATTTATGAAGTTTAATTCCTAACAATTTTTTTACAGTACGCAGACTATTTTTACACAACCATTATGAAGTTCAGATAAGAAATTATGTGTTACTTATGGAAACAAAAAATTACTTCAAAAATTCGTTAAAAATTGACATTTTGGCTTCATCATGTTAGAATCAAAATATAAACTTGTGATTCCATTCCAGGAAGCTGAACCAAACCAGCAGGCATGCAATATCAAGAGCAAATCATGCTGTTCATAAAAATAATAAAAAAGTAGATTCATTACATAACATTGTCGTAAGTAATCAACACTAAAAATTTAAGATATAATTATGACTGAAGGTGCTATAAAACACGGCTCGTGAGAAGAAATGACAAAGGAAGGAAAACCCCCACCTGTATACTTCTGGGACCTTAAAAAATTCAACTGTATGAGATCTTATTTTCAACGACTTACGACAATGCAATGCTATACTGAACCCTTGATATTTCCAGTCTTTACTTACTTATTTCAGATTTGGCCGTGGACGCAGATTTCAGGCGTTTTCTCTTCTCCAGCTGTGATGAATCACTCATTTCTAAACATTTTCTCACATACGGCATGTTTAACAAACTTCTGCAAATTATCAAATTCATAGGTAAAGGTATTTTTTTCTATATTAAATTTATTATACATAAGTTTTTCTTATTGGAAAACTTAACATTTTATTAAGTTTTCCATACAATTAAGGAGAATGAAGCTTCTGAACACAAATTTTAATTTGCATATTCATTATCCTATGTTAATAAGTTACAAATCCAGCAATCAGTAATGGTTTTATATGAAGGAAAATCCACTGACCTACATAATTATGTTCTCAAAAAGACAATCAAAAGCAAATAAAGTATACTCTTGCCACAATTATCTGTCTTTCCTTTCATTTTGAGTGAAGCAAGTAACCATTCCTATAGAAAGTTCAATGCTATATGCATGTTACATTGTACCTACAAATTTTGAGCTCAAGATTTTCATTAGTCTGATCCAATGAAAAGGCGTATATTTGTACGAGTAAAAAAGGAAACCATAGATTTTTAATACATACCCCAGTGTAGATCTTTGAGTATGATTCACTTTTAACATACATGCCAATAACGAGATCAGAGCATCTGAGTAATGCTGAAAAGAACAACAAAACAACATGTTCATATTTAAAGGGACTCCACAGAGGTTTTTTGACATGACAAAACTGGATTTTTTTCCTCTTTTTTTTTTATCTTTTGATGTAGGTTTGGACTTACATAACCCAGAGCTGTCATTTAAAAATTTCTGAAATGATTCATTTTGAATTTGAGGCAGTCATTTTTGGTTTCCACATATACTTGGCCTACTGTGAATTTAGAACTGTCCATTATGAGATGGGGGTATTTTTGTATGAAGAATTAAAATGAAACAGTAATGTAGTTTTAACAGTAATGTAATGGTGACAGTAATATAGTGGCAGCAGTAATATACCAGTACATGTAGTGGCAACACTAATGTAGTGGCAACAGTAATGTAATGGTAACAGTAATATAGTCGAAGCAGTAATGTAATGGCAACAATAATGTAGTGGCAATCATATTGTAGTGGGAACAATAATGTAGTGGCAACCATATTGTAGTGGCAACAGTAATGCAATGGCAACAGTAATGCAGTATCAACAATAATGCAGTGGCAACAGTAATGTACTGGCAACAAAAATGCAGTGGCAACAATAATGTAGAGGCAACAGTAATGTAGTGGCAACAATAATGTAATGGCAAGAGTAATGCAATGGCAACAGTAATGTAGTGGCAACAGGAATATAGTGGCAACGGTAATATAGTGGCAACAGTAATGTAGTGGCAACATTAATGTAGTGGCAACAGTAATGTAGTGGCAACAGTTATGTAGTGACAACAAACTGTTTGGGTGTGCAAGCTTGCCTGGTTATATATTGGTGGCATAAAGGCATAAAAGTCATTGTTATCATTAGCTATCAAAGAGTCAATCCTCTCAATGCTAAATATCTTAAACAGACTTGTCCATCTTGCAATCAGGATAAAACTATTTATCTTTTTTAATGGAAAATCTAATCAAAGATTTTAAAAGGTTTTAAAAAAGTCATTGTTGAATACACTTTTATCTTTAGTAGAATATTATTGTTTTTATCAAAAGTCTACAGCTTCAATATATTGCGATATCTGAAAATATATTGTGATATAATATTGCCAATAAAATATAACAATATCTAATATATTGTGCAGTAATGTTAATCTTAGTCTGAACTAACATATCTATTAGCAACTTTATCATTTGTTCCAGTCATTCCCAATAGACAATAGATATGTTTTCTATCTTCTCCATTATCACTCACCTTTGAAATGTCTTCAAAGACTTCATCAAGCACTCCTGGATCGTTCCTTACTTGCTGCAGCTTAGCTATAGCTTCGTCCGAGTTGTAAAGCCACGCTGTGACCAGTTCAAACAGGACACAGCCTAGTGACCATATATCACAGGTCTCACTGTATCCATGGCTTACACATTCCGGGGCCATGTAATTCATTGAAGCTGTAAAATCAAGCACGAGAATGAAATAATCTGATGTTGAATCTTTCTGATTGATAAAAATTATATTGCTAGACCTTAATTTCTATCATATACTGCATTTGTAAATTTTGGTTATTCATAGTGTAATACCAGTCAACAGTCATAAAAACATGAAATAATAAAGTCTGATAGTGAATTACATAAAGTTTTGATATAACTGGCAACTGATCAGAGAAGCATGACCTGGTGGCTTGGGTTCAACTTGGATTTTGCAGGCACAAGAAGCTGAAGCACCCAATAGTGAAGATAATCAAAGCCCAACATAAATCATTGATCAAGGTAGTCTAACCAATGAAACATTTACTTTATATCTTGATCCTCATATTTTACTTCCATATGAATCAATAGAATGATTACATGTAATTGAAAGTGGTCCTCATATTATTTTTTAGACAACTCAGGGTTACTCCTACTATGAACATTTTGCTATACATGGAGTACTTTAATCTCAATAAACTGTTCATTAATATTTCTCTGATTTGAAAATATTGTATATTCTGGAGACATCAATAAACAGGCTATTGTTTTTGTTATACATTCCTATTTAGTCCATAATGCCAAAAATGTTTAATAAAATTAACAAATGACAGGATGTAAAACAATAGCTGTCGGTAGGACAGCAACGCTTGACTATTCTTAGCGCTTGATAGTAAAACTAGAACTCCGCGAGTCGGATGTGTCGCCTTGTGAACAATATAGTTTAGAAGAAATGGCCAGGACAAGAAAATTAACAAAGGGCAATAACTAAAAAAATAAGAAGTGCACAGCAGCAGTTTCTTTGCACTGCACTTCTTATCAATAAGATATATCATCCTGTGAAGTTTCAAGTCCATAGCTTTTATAATTTATAATGGCCTGGACAAAAATAAAGTATGAAAATTAACAAAGGTCAATAACTCAAAAAATAAGAAATGCAGAGTACTGGTTCTTGTGCACTGCACTTTTCTTAATGAGATATAACATCCTATGAAGTTTCAAGTCCATAGCTTTTATACTTTCCGAGAAATGGGCAGGACAAAAATAAAGTATGAAAATTAACAATGGGCAATAACTCAAAAAATAAGAAATGCAGACTACCGGTTCTTGTGCACTGCACTTCTTCATGAGATCTATCATCCTTTGAAGTTTCAAGTCCATAGCTTTTATAGTTGAAGAGAAATGGCCCGGACAACATTAAAGTATGAAAATTAACAAAGGGCAATAACTCAAAAATTAAGAAGTGCAGAGTACTAATTCTTGTGCACTGCACTTCCGGTTATTGAAAGAAGCATGCATACCAAATTTGAAGTCAATCAGACTTATAGTGACTGAGTTATGCTCTGGACAAGCTTTAGGGGACGCCGACAACGACGCCAACAACGAAACCGCCGACAAAAGTAATCCTTATATGTCGCCTTTTCAAGGAGACACAAAAAAAGCCTTGATTAAAAGGTAAAATTTTCTAAGTAAAGAAAAAGGCAAAATTTTTCTTTAAATCCATATAACAGTTATAGGCCTTGGAGAGAGTCCTATTATGCTCTCAAAGAAGAGTATAAAATTTCAACTTTGTTTCAAAGCCTTATGTCAATGAATTTTGAAAATATTTGAGGTATTACAAAAACCTTAATGTAAATTCTAAGTCGAAAAAGGGTTAAAGATAGAGTTACCTCCTCCTGTCTACAGGTTGGGGTAATGATGGTGAACAAGTGTGCAAAGTTTCAAAGCCATATGTCAATGGACTTTGAAAATATTTAAACTATTACACAAGCTTTAACATAAGTGGTTATGCCGATGCCGACGCTAGGGTGACTACAATAGCTCTACTTATTCTTATTGAATAGTCAAGCTAATAAAAATGTCACAAAATCAGGTTTGATTCAAGTAATGCATAACCAGCCATCCACTGGCATACACTTATTTAATAATTTCCTTCAGAAAACCTTATTAAAATCCATAACAACACTAAATATAAGGCCAGAAATTAATAACAAGAGGGCCATGATGGCCCTGAGGTCGCTCACCTGTATATAGCCACCACCCCACACCCCCCCCCCCCCCCCGGCCAATTTTTCAATTTTTACCCAAGGGCTTGTATTTGTTTATTTGAACAGACTTGGTAGACACCCATAAGAAGATGTTTCATGCTAAACATCTAAGTTCTAGCTCATTGGGTTTTTTAAAAGACGATTTTTTAAGTTTTTACTATACACATATAGTTAAAAACAATGACACCCCTGGGGCAGGGCCAGTTTTGACCCCCGGGCTTTTATTTGAACAAACTTTGTAGATATTTACTAAAAGATGTTTCATGCCTAATATCTAAACTCTAGCTATTTGGGTTTTTTTTAAAGAAGATTTTTAAGTTTTTGCTATACACAAAAAAGGAAAATCAATGACCCCCGGGCCAGGGCCAATTTTGACCCTGAGGCTTTTATTTGAACAAACTTTGTAGACACTGATTAGAAGATGTTTCATGCTTAATATCTAAACTCTAGCTATCTGGGTTTTTTCAAAGAAGATTTTTAAGTTTTTGCCATACATATATAACGAAAATCAATGACCCCCGGGGCGGGGCCAATTTTGACCCCCGGGGCGGGGCCAATTTTGACCCCAGGGCTTTTATTTAAACAAATTTGGTAGACACCCATTAGAACATGTTTCATGCTAAATATCTTAGCTCTAGCTCTTTGGGTTCTTTAAAAGAAGATTGTTTAAATTTTTACTATATGCATATAGGGAAAATCAATGACCCCCTGGGGCGGGGCCAATTTTGACCCCAGGGCTTTTATTTAAACAAACTTGGTAGACACTCACTAGTAGATGATTCATGCCAAATATCTTAGCTCTAGCTCTTTGGGTTCTTTAAAAGAAGATTTTTTAAGTTTTTACTATATGCATATAGGGAAAATCTATGACCCCCTGGGGCGGGGCCAATTTTGACCCCAGGGCTTTTATTTGAACAAACTTGGTAGACACTCACTAGAAGATGTTTCATGTCAAATATCTTAGCTCTATCTCTTTGGGTTCTTTAAAAGAAGATTTTTTAAGTTTTTACTATATGCATATAGGGAAAATCAATGACCCCCTGGGGCGGGGCCAATTTTGACCCCAGGGCTTTTATTTGAACAAACTTGGTAGACACTCACTAGAAGATGTTACATGCCAAATATCTAAGCTCTATCTCTTAGGGTTGTTTAAAAGAAGATATTTAAAGATTTTTCTTTCGGTTGCCATGGCAACCAGAGGTCTGCATGGAATTAAATTCTTTGAAGAATATTTAAAGGTGACCACCAAAGGAACATTCCTGTGAAGTTTGGATGAAATTGGCTCAGTGGTTTATGAGGAGATGTCATTTTAAGCAAAAGTTTACGGACTGACGGACGCCGGGCGAAAAGCAATCACAAAAGCTCACCCTGTCACTTTGTGACAGGTGAGCTTAGAAAACCTAATTTGGTTTTACCAGAGAATTCTTATTATGATTAAGGCCACATTTGCTTAAAACAGTTGTTATTAAATATATTAAAAGCAAATGCAGTTAGCAACTATATTCACAATTTTACATTATATTATAATTATTATAACGTTAGAAACATATTATTTTTAACATTACAGGCTATATATTCACAAACTTTAATGACACACTTATATCTATATGTCAGTATTATTTGGTCAAGAATTTTTAACATTACAGGCTATATATTCACAAACTTTAATGACACACTTATATCTATATGTCAGTATTACTTGGTAAATAATCTTCTCATACTGTTATTTTATAGTATATCTTCTCAACAAGCAGTATGCAATAAGTACATATAACATTATATGATGCAAAATTAGGAATGAGAGATGCATTCATGCTTTCTACACAAACAAGTCTAAAAATATTAGAAAGTTTTGTTTTTTGTGTTTTTGTTTCTTTGTTGATTTTTTGTGTTTTTGTTTCTTTGTTGGTTTTTCGTTGTTGGTTACAAGAAGGGTCAGGGGGGAACAAACCTTGTCTTCATAATCAATGAAATCTTTAGGTAAAACTGTAATATTTTCAGGTGAGAGCAACACTGTCAAGGTCATAGGTTTTACTTATGGACAAAATTTAAAGCCTCCAGCAGCTCTTCCATACAGCTCAAACTAGCATGAAGGTTGATGCCAAAACTGTCCAAATCTTATCTATTTATCATATGCCAACAGACTGAATCTACAGCAGTAAGAGCCAAATGACCCAAGGCAAGTTGAATCATAATCTATTACACTAACAGCAGATTCCTAACTGGAAATAAATATCTACTAGTAAATTTAGTAAAAAAAAATATAATATCCTTTGTCCTTAATTAAAAAACAAACTACATGTATTTAGATAATATAACAAGAGCTGTCAGTAGGACAGCACGCTCGACTATTCTAAGTGCTTGATAGTAAAAGAGCCTTTATAATGTTAAATTTTTTAAGATCACAAAAGGTCTAATTTTTTTTTAATAAATTCATGTTATAGGCCTTAGAGAGAGTCTAATTATACAGTATTGGCTTGACTATTCGGAAAGTAATGTCACAAGGTTGTTTTATTGAGTATAATAATACTAATTACCTATGAATACAAAAATTTGACAGAAAAGGTACAAAGGGATTCTAATTAAGATGTTTTATCAAGTAAATCACTGCTTTATTATTATGAATGCATAAAATTGTCCCAAAAAAGGCACAAACCCTTCAGTAGTAATTGAGATAACAGCTTACAAAAGCAAAACTTTACCATGAATTTCTAAGTTGAAAAAGGGGAGAAAAATCAGCCTAAATGCAAGATAGAATTATGGATCTTTGTCAGTGACCTACAATTATGACCCTAAATGCATATGTGAAGTTTTAAATAAATATCTTTAATAGTTATTGAGATATGTAAAACTTGCATGTTAACATTAACCAAGAGACTAAGTAGAAAAGGGGATATGAATCAGCCTTAATGCAAGATAGAGTTATGGAACTTGGTCAGTGACATACAATTATGACCCTCCAATTATGACCCTAAGTGCATGTGTAAAGTTTCAAGTAAATATCTTTGAAGACCTTTAACCTTTAACCAAAATTTCTAAGTTTCAAAGGGGCAAATAATTATTCAAATTTTGCAGGCAGAGTTATGCAATTTTGCAAACTGATGTACATTGTTACTATAAAAAAGTATTTTAAATTTCAATTGAATATCTCAAGCAATAATTGAGATATTTGACTTTACAAAAGAACTTTAACCAAAATTTCTAAGTTCCAAAGGGGCATAATTCTGTCAATATTGTAGGCAGAGTTATCCAACTTGTCAATCTGATGTACCTTGTTACTATAAATAAGTATTGTAAGTTTCAATTGAATATCTCAAGCAATAATTGAGATATTTGACTTTACAAAAAACTTTAACCAAAATTTCTACGTTAAAAAGGGGCATAATTCTGTCAATATTGTAGACAGAGTTATCTCACTTGTCAATCTGATGAACCTTGTTACTATAAATAAGTATTGTAAGTTTCAATTAAATATCTCAAGTAATTATTGAGATATTTGACTTTACAAAAAAATTTAACCAAAATTTCTAAGTTAAAAAGGGGCATAATTCTGTCAATATTGTAGGCAGAGTTATCCAACTTGTCAATCTGATGTACCTTGTTACTATAGATAAGTATTGTAAGTTTCAATTGAATATCTCAAGTAATTATTGAGATATTTGACTTTACAAAAAACTTTAACCAACGCAGACGCCGACGCGGACGCTGACGCCGACGCCGACGCCGGGGCGACTACAATAGCTCTCATATTCTTCGAATAGTCGAGCTAAAAACCATTATTGGCTTATAATCTATTAAATACTATTCATATGTCTATTGAAAAAAAATCTAAAAACACCCCAGTCAGTATGTCAGGTTACAATTAGAAAGTAGAAAAAAAAGAAATAATTTCAACAATTATCCACAAAAATAGACTAACCCTTAACTTGCTGAAAGTAAAATTGACCACCCTAATCAGTAGAGAGCCAGGCCAGCATACACACCTGTGCAGTCTGATCAGGCTCTATACTGTTGGTGACTCAAATTTTGTAATTTGATACTGAAATCCCTTCATATTCTATTAGACTGTTCCAAATTCTATTGGACTGTTCCAAATTCTATTAAACTGTTCAAAATTCTATTTAAATGTTCCAAAGTTCTATTGGACTGTTTCAAAGTTCTATTGGACTGTTCCAAATTCTATTGAACTGTTCAAAGTTCTATTGGACTATCCAAATTCTATTGGACTGTTCAAGGTTCTATTGGACTGTTCCAAATTAAGTTGGACTGTTCAAAATTGCAATGAACTGTTCAAAGATCTATTGGACTGTTCCAAATTCTGTTAAACTGTTCAAAATTATATTGGACTGTTCAAAGTTCTATTGGACTGTTTCAAATTCTACTGGACTGTTCAAAATTCTATTGGACTGTTTGAAGTTCTATTGAACTGTTCCAAATTCAAAGTAGGGGAAAATTTCAGTTACAGCAGTTTATGGGTTAAAGTGAAAATTCACCAAAATTGACTATTTTCATTTGATAATACAATTCACCTGAAATTGATAAAACATGTAATATTACCTAAATTGATGAATGATTAATTTTCTACATGAAGTTTAATTAATGTTAATGGCGCACTTTCAGCCAGTTATTCTACTGGTAAAAATAATAAATGAGAAATATAAGTTTTTGTTTTTATACGAGCGAGTTACCATAATTGAACCTCGGTTTTCTCAAATATTCTCCCTTTATGCCTGAAATTCAAAACTACTCGTGACGACGAATCCTGTATAATCATCAATTTTTGTCAGAAAAATATTTCCTCATTTATGATAAGTGATTTCTACCATTAAGGAAACAGTATGTTCCTAAATGTTAAAATTTTTATTATTTCTTTACTTTGAGCAGCAAAATACATGACCTGAAAATAACATGTTTAATCACAACCTACAAATTCTAACAAATTCAAGTCAGCACTTGGATAGTACTTCCATTTCTGAAAAGTGTTTCTATTTATATTTTCAAAAGGTAAAATATTATTGAAGAAAAAATGCATTATTTTTTTTTTGTCAATTTGCAATCAGTATAAAAATGCTTTGTAATTTGGAACGGCAAAATGACATGACCAAGGTGATTCATGAAAATTTCTAAATAAACAGATGAAGGAAGACCTACGTGGTCCCCTGTATGTATGACAATGTATTTTATCGAATAGTGGCTGAGTGGTTAATGCATCAGACTAGTACTCTTATGATTGACAGCCATTTAGGTTCAAACCCCATCAAGGGCCAGCCATTGTTTCCTTGGGTAAGAATTTTTTTTCACTTATTGTTTAATATTGAATGGTTCCAGAAATTAATTAAAAAGTGTGTCTATAAGCTTACACTTTCCTACAATATCAAAAGTAAAAGTAAATTCTGTTTAAAATGAATGTATATCAGACACAAAAGGGCTTCAGTGTAGACCCCCAGGCCATCTGTGTGCAAGCTGGATTGATTTGACATATGAATAAATCCAAAATGCTTTTTGAGATCGAACCCACAGTATTGAATAGCACATTATTCTAGGTTGGATACCTTAACCACTAAGCCAAGGCCGAGACCTTGAGTAATAAACATGTATCAGTTACAAAACATTGACAATGCCTGGAATAAAATATAACGTACATGTAATAACATGAAAACAAAAGGCAATAATTCATTCAAACTTGAAATACAGGACTTATAACAGCAATATCATAATTTAGTCACTAATTACTATCATTCAACATTTTCATTAATATTGCATTCATATCAGGGGATAAAATAAATATGGGTTTTTTGTTAAAGGGGGACAACTCATTTACCTGAAAAATAAAATTAATGCCATTATTTTGATATTTAGTGAAAAATGTATATATATTTATGCACAATAACACAAGGCGAATATAAGGTGGTATTAATTTGATACTATTAAATCATAAATGATTATTGAGTGTGCATGTTACACATTTTTTTTCACATGATGTAAAACAAGTTGTCATCAAATGAAGCGCCCGAGTATTTTCAAGGAATATATTCCTAAACTTTGACCGTTTAAAATTGATCCTTACACTCAAGAACGAAGAATCAGGATGATGTGATGGTTTTGTTTCTTAATTGAAAAACATCTTCATCTTTTAAACTTAATACAATGGGCTAGTTTTTTTACTTGATTACATCAAATCAAGGAGCAATAACTGTCTAAACAAGTTCACAATGTCAGCAAAATAAAGGGCAGTAACAGTTACTGTTAATACAATGCCATCATGATTGAGAGGGAAACAAGGGGAAATAACTGTCTATACAATGCAATCTTGCCAGCAAAACAAGGGGCAATAACTGTAAATACAACACCATCAGGATTGAGAGCAAAGTAAGGGGAACTAATTGTTTTTAAATGCCATCAAGGTCAAAAGCAAAATAATGGGCAAAACAGGTTATACATTTCTACCATAATTGAGAGCAAAACAAGAGGCAATAACTGTCCATGTTATGCCACCAAATGAGCCAAACAAGGGGCAATAACTGTCTTAACATTTACAATGACATCATGTGAGCCAAACAAGGGGTATCTGTCTTAACAACACCATGTGAGCCAAATAAGGGGCAATACCTATCTTAACAATGACACCATGTGAGCCAAACAAGGGGCAGTTACTGTCTTAACAACACCATGTGAGCCAAAACAAGGGGCAATAACTGTCTTAACAACATCATGTGAGCCAAATAAGGGGCAATCACTGTCTCAACAACACCATGTGAGCCAAATAAGGGGCAATACCTGTCTTAACAATGACACTGTGTGAACCAAATAAGGGGCAATAACTGCCTTAACAATCCCATTTGAGCTAAACAATGGGCAATAACTGTCTTTACAATACCATCATGTGAGTCAAACAAGGGGCAATAACTGTGCTCTTACAACATGCAACTATACCTACATTTAAATCTATCCTTGTAACCAGTGGCACCAAAAGGCTTTTTGCCTAGTATATAAATATTGAAATTTTTGTTACGTTAAATTTGCAGCTTATTTAAAAATACAATGGCAGAAGTTCAGAATTTCAAAAAATTTCTTATTCTTACTTTAATTAAACATAATGGTAAAAAAAATTCCTCAATTCTATAAATATACTGATCCCGAAAACATTCACTTATGCAATTGCTATAAATGATATGCTTATCCATAAACAGATTATGATAAGTACACTGTCTGGTCAGGTATTTCAAAATGTTATGTTGTAATCATTAGCCAAAATTTCCCTTAAAGGGTACAAAGCTATAAGTTATGAAATATTTTCATAAAATTTATCAACAATAAAATCATATTGGTTCCATAATCTTGTTGTCAATTCTTAAAAGAGTTGTAATTATTTCCCCTTAACTATTACTTGAATATTACTAATAATTTCCTTATGAATAATCATTTCATTTAGGAAAAGCCATTTCCAAGTAAACAAAAGAATATGAAAAATGATATCTCCCCAAAAATAGATTTTGAATAAATATAGCTTCCCCTTATCAAAATACAGGACTTATTATTTCCCCTTAAAAATTTACACCCTAGAAAATGAAACTTTCCCCTCAACATGATATATGAATTTCTCCCTAAAAAAAGATACAAATATAATGTCCCCCTTACAATATAAATGAATAATCATAACTTTCCCCATAACAATAGTTACAACAATCATTTCCTACCAAACGAAAATACATATATGATATATATGTATATAAATTATTTTTTATGAATAAATATTAATTTGCCCATGAAAAGAATATATTAAGCATACATGCCATAACGTCCCGGATGCCCGGGATTGTCCCGGAAGTCGGATGTCTGTCCCGGAGATGTCCCGGGCATCGATTTGATCCCGGAAAAAAAAATCATGATATTTTGCAAAATTTTCATAGATTTTTTTAAATCAAATCTCGCACATTTCACCTCTAGATCGTAAAACATAATCTGACCTGGTACACATAATACACAGGAACGTTGACACTTACAAGTTTACAATATACAGCCCCCCAATTATCGACTGTCGATTCCCCTCAGCAATAGATTCTTCATGCATCGGCAATTAACATTCTCTGTTGAATTCGGCAGCGTTTAATGGTCGGGTTAATTAATTGTTTACGGCCCTAAACAATTATCGTTAATCCCCGATAATCATTAATTTTTAGATCAATAGCTAACTTGCCGAAAGTCTACTTATTACAAACAATGTAAATATATCTATCAAATAAAAAAATTAAAGGTGTCAAATAAATCACCTTGCTGTGTTTGTTTTTATTACTGTAAGAATTGCATTACGTGACATGTAGTAATTATCACGACTTTAAGATATAACGGATGAACAACATGGCCGCGCCCATTCACCGGGTTTATAACTTACAACTTACTTGCTTTTAGGGAATAATAAATTAAATAAAGAAATACTTTTAAAATGATAAATATGTTGACCTAAAAGACAACTTATAAAACTAGTAAGTTAACTGTTTATCATTAAAATTCAGGAGAAAGTCGTCCTAATTTAATAGCGTTATACGATTGACACCCCCCCCTTTTCCACAACTGCCTACACATCCATTATTGCCGCGATGAAAAGTGTCCCGGAAAGCTGTCCAAAAATTATGGCATGAATGTATGTAAGAGATTCAAAATAATTACTTCCCCCCTTTAAACAATATGTGTATAAATATAAGCAACATGTACATGGCGAAGAAATGTAGGTTTTTCATCTAGACTAGCAAGATACATGTACATCTAGGGTACTACCTAACTTTACAGGTAATGCATATTAGCATCTAATATTTAAATATTGGAAGATCTTTTAGAATTTTGCATCTTTCTATTCTGCATGTAAGCCCTTCGATTTATACAACGCAAAGCTCAGAATGCTTATGTTGGTATAAAATGGTACCAAAAAAGGGTTAAAGGTCAAATTAAAATACCTGCATTAGCACGGGTACATGTTATAGCATCGCCCATTATTGTATCAACACCAAAATCCCCAAGTGCAAGAGTGTCATCAGCTTGTACGTATATATTACTGGGGCGAATATCCCTGTTAAAAGGCACAAAAATGTTTTAAATGTACAGTGCCTATATTTTATATTAAAAGATTGTAAAATTAACAATGAAATCAATAATTCTGTTTCTAGTACCTGAACCAAAAGAGCAGGGTAGGTAAGAAATTCTTTTTATATATACATGATATAGATATACAGTGTAGTCTTTATTAAATACTTTCTTTTATTCTAGAAAACCATTACTCAAAAGAAAATTAGCACTATAACTCATTCAAATAATTTGTTGTTTTTTTTCTCAGGTCATATACATGTTTAAATGATTCAACAAAAAGGTGCCTGGCTAAATTTGAATGAATTGAAATGACCTTTGACTTTGGAGCAGTCCATTTATATATTAAGAAGATTTTGAATTCAAAATATCAGCAAGTTGATCAACAATATGATAGGTCCTGGTCTAAATGCACATATATTGTCACCTAAATGCAGCAATGGGTTATCTCCTATTAAATTTCAATAGTGTCAATGTGCTGTCTGGCCTGGCTCTACGCTGAGGGTAAAAGATTTTTTCCAGTTGTTTATCAAGAATTGTAAAGATTATAAGTCAAACAATACAGCACTTACCTGTGGAGAATTTTCTTCTTGTGGGCATACATCAAAGCTTCTAGTACCTGTCCCAGCCATTGCTTAATTTGCTGAAATATGAGAGCACAAATATAAATACCTTAATGCAATAACAGAATAAATCCTCCTAGATTTAATAGCTGTTGATCAGTTATTGCACTTATGCAAAAATTTTTTGTTTCTTTGCCGCTTATGACCACTCGCCAAATATCTTGGTGGTCATACATTTTTTTTAGTTTTGTAAAGCACCCATCATGACTATCAATATCTTTACTTCTTTATCTTATCACAGTGTGTTCCAAAGAAACACTGGCCTAATGTTCATACGCAACGAGAGCTATCAGTAGGGCAGTTGTCAGTAAGACTGTGAATAATTATTCTCAGTGCTTGATAGTAAAACAAGAGATTGGATAATATAAAATGCTCTAAATTCAAAAAGGGCCATAATTTTACCAAAGTCCATAAAAAGAGTTTGAGCCTTTGAAAATGACTTATTATTATGCTTTCAAATAAGGGTTTGAAGCTTCAACCCATTCCCTTCAGTAGTTTTGGAGATATGATATTGCATGCAAAAAGTGTGACAGCAATGCCAACACCTGGTTGAGTACAAAAGAGCTCTGTATTTTTTAAAAAATCGAGCTAAAAACACCCCACACCACGCTCATGTAATAATTAGTTACAGCAAGAAAAAAGTAACCAAGGAAATATTTTCTACCTCTTCATCAATAACTTCCTTCTTCTCTCTATATTTAGACAGCACTGTTAGGAGAGTTCCTTTTGGGAAATAGTCCATCAAAATACAGATGTAAACAGAGGAATCCTGAAATTATACATATATATACATACAATCTACATGCTATATTTGTTAACTGACTTCATCAAAATCTAAGACAAAACAAAATCACAAAATGATCACTACAATTTGTCATACTCCATGCAAAGAGTTATGGGTCTTGAATAGTGACTTCAAATTTATAATGTTTCTGGATAATTAAGTTACAAGAGAATATTTCCAGTACTTTTGAAGATTAATCTTGCATGCAAGAATTTTTGAAGTTTCCAAAGTCTAAATGGACCATGTCTTGGATAGTGACCTCCAGTTTATATGATCCAGTAGACATGTATAAGGTTACAAGTGAATACCTTCAGTAGTTCTAAAAGATGATTTGTTGATGCATGAAAAACTTTAACAAAGTATCTTCTCTTTGTATACAAAGAACTGTTAATCAGTTAAAATCCACATGTTGACTGTTAATCAGTTAAAATCCACATGTCAAGAGTTCTGCTAATACTGAACTGGGCTCACTCAGGAGCATTATCATACATGGTGTAAAGGGCTTAGGACAGTCGTCCCTAATTACGGGCATGAAGATATGATGTTGCTCAAGAAGTTGCTTGTAAAACTTTCAACTAAATTCTTATACCAACACCGAGGCCGAGGTAAGAAATAGTCAAACTAAAAACAGTGTTTAGTTCTTACCTGCTTTTCCCACAGGACAAAAAACTCTTTGTACCCTGACACATACACATGTTGCAGATCACGAAGAACTGATGCCTGAAAATTAAACATGAAAGTAAAATTTGTGATAACCTTGGAAATTATTTTTTATTTATTTCATACAGGCTTAATGACAGAACACTTAAAGAATCAATTTAACCCTAACTAATTTCAGAGATGTAGATGTTATCTATTTCAAATATCTGTGCTATGTTTAATAACTTCAAAAGACTTGACCATCTTTCAATCTGGACAATACCACTCATCAATTAAGGGAAAATTTCAAAACATGTACTCAGTCCAGACCATGCACTCTAAAATGGTTTAAATTAGACTTTCTTTTTCTTCTTTTTGTTTCTTACTTACCACCTTAGTTCAAAAAATTTAAATTTGGTTCCTTCGATGACTTTTAGCTGTCTCATAATATGAACGAATATTTTGGGATTCTTTAAAGAATCTTAACATGATCTATGTTACCATAAACTGAGTTGATTTATTTAACAACTTACCTCCTTAAAAGCTTTGTTTGCTTCACTCTCATCAAAACATTCCACCTAAAAATATAATAACATAATTGTAACAGACACCATACTTAAGCTTCCTGAAATGTTATTTATAACTGATGTAAAAAGACAAAATCAAAATCTTGATTGAAATATGGTTAATGGAATTTGATTTCTGATCTAGTCCTTTTAAAAAGTTTTATATACATTTGTATTATAAATGATTTTAGACTATTTTGTGATTATATTTCAATCATTTAATGATTTTTTTAAAATTTACAGTTTTAACAGATTCTTTTCCTTTTCAATCCCTCCTTAGTTTTTGAAGAGTAACCAGTGTACTTGCTTTCCACTACTCGAGCATTTTATCATCATTTCCTGCATGTTAACTGTCTGCAAGTGCTTGTTTTAAAACAGTGATTTTTTTTCAATTTTCAAAACAACCTGTGGCTTTATGAAGGGGAAAATGTAGCACAATAAATCAGAAAAGTTTTCTAACAACTGAAAATTTAAATTCAATTTAACTTGCATGGTTCATAGCAGAGGCTATTTATAGGGACCACTTTCTGTCTTCTAGCTAATAAAAGTCAGCTGCTGTTAAGTGGTTCAAGTGAAGAAGGATCAAAGGAAGGTAAAATATTAGCATTTTTAGGGGAAAATATATATTTTGGACTAGGGAAATAGCCTTTATTCGTAAAACAAAGGGAAACAAATCACTGTCAAGACATTTTATTTGTAATAAAACTATAACCAATATGCACAATGTGTTGTTTCTCAAGTTTTTTGTAAGTCTATATAATGTACAATATAAATTTGGCGGTCATATTGGATCACCCAAAAGTGATGATTTTGATGCAAGTTTAGTCATGAGAGAATTATAGTGTTGGGTCCCAGCTCAAAAAGCAAAACAAAAGCGCAAAAATATGCTAGGCTAAGGTGTTGGTTGGAGTGTTAAAATTTTGGAGCCAGTGCATTATCTTTACTTTATTGAGACTTGATTGTATACGTTGTTTGTTTCATAGACATAAAAATTGTTTGAAAATCAGTTTTATAGTTATGCTTTTCTCTCGTCGATTCGTGACTCTTATTTGGAAAAATTGCACTTGCACAACAAATATCAGACATACATACAGTTCATTTAGTGCATTTGTTAAATAAATTAATTATCTAAAAGTTCAAAAACTTTAAATTACTTCTAAAAACAACCGCTCAAAGATTAAAGCATCTGAACATGTCAACCATGACTGTCTTGCTCAGCTGGATGCTTACCCATCGATTCGTGAAATCCGATTCACCCTGTGACGTCATCAAAATATGGGTGCTCACACCACTAAATGTTCGCATGGTTATTTTCAGTCCGATCTGATCAATATATGTTTCACAGTCTTAATTAAATTCTTACAGCATAATGAATATTTTTTTGGCTTAATTGTAAGTGTGTTTGATAAATTAAAACATCAATATCAAATATTTTAAAGTATTTAGGTCATCAGCTGATTGTAGGTTAAGCACATTTACACCTGTTCAATAACGCATTTTGATTGGATAGAATTGTCAAATCGAGTGTGTAATAAAACTTGTGTAGTTTTCGGATGGTGTATGTTCTTGCAGAAGTATCTATACCAGACAATAATTTAGGTCACGAATCAATGAGAAAGCACGAATCGATGAGAATAAGGTATATAACAGATGTCCCATTCGTGTTTAAATTATTCTAAGTATCAAATATTTTTAATAGAGTGTTTACAGGGCCGTATCATGTGGGGGGACAGGATATGACCCGCAAGCATCTGTTTCCAAAACTCCCAATCATGTTAAAAAACAACAACAATAAACACCTTTGTTAAAACATCTGTCAGGGTAGGAAACGGCTTGGGAGTAATAGAATCTATCATTGGGTTAGATAGAGGATAGGGAAATCCCAACCCGAGGGTGATCGGTGCTATCGGGAACGAGCCTTGGCGAGTTCCCGATGGAACCAATTGCCCGAGGGTTGGGATTTCCCCTATCCTCTATCTAACCTAATGATTGATTATTTTTCTCACTCACCTGGACACAGAAACTAGATCTACTTGCTACGCCCTTGTTTTGAAAAGCGGGGCGGGGCTTAGGCCGCAAAAAAGTCTACTGATCAAGTTTATCAAAATTTGTTAAAAATTCAATGAAAACAAATTCATATGAGATCCCTCATAAAAAAGCAAGGTTATCATGATAAAACACATCAATATTAAAGTTGCAGAGTATCATAATATAATTGTTTATAAGCAATTCAGTCCATATTTAAATGGTTGCCAAAAAGCGTTTACCGTTTGAAAAGATTTTTCTACTTATTCGGTTATGTTAATGGCCGAATATTCAATTAAAATATATCAAAATGAGATTCGACATCAAGAAGCATCGTTATCATAACAGAAAACATGGATGTTCTACATGAAAAGTGTCATAATATCCGATTTTACGAAGAATTTTGCGATATTTTAAAGTGTGCTATTTTTAGTAACAAATCGATATTGGAAAGGGCGGACCTAGGTTGAGTAGGACTCATTGCAGTGTGAAAGTTAATATCAATCTATATGTTGATTCCGTGGACAATTTAATATATTGGCTCACATATTTTTAATACATTTTGAACTTTTGACGTTTCATTTTTGTTAAAATAGGAGTGAATCGCGTATGTGTATGAATACGTTTTTAGAAGTGCTGCACGTTGAGTGTGAGATAAGCCCATGTGAGATAAGATTTTCCAACACCGCTATTTTTAGTAACATTTACGGATTTTTCTATCTGGTTAGTGAGAAAGCACTGTCTGTGTTTGGTACTGGTAGGGGAGAGAATAGTCTGATCGCCTCCCCCCCCCCCCGCAAATTTTTCAGATGTCCCGCTATTACAAAGCATGTGGGAACACTGAACCCCCTTTGAGACAAAGCTTGATAGGAAAGTTAACAAAAATCGTTTGATATTAACCTTTTTGAGGACAAATTTCTGTTTATCCTGCTGCCTCTCCACAAGGTAAACAGTGGCTTGGGCTCCTTTGCCAATTTGTTCTTTAATCTGAAATACAGAAAATTGTTCAATTAACAGCTACAAAACTTGTCACTTTTATTCAGTTAAATGACAATGCAAGAAAAGAGGGAAAATGCAAGAAATAACGAAAATTTACAGTAAAATTCTCCATGCTTGACAACACCAAGCATTCTAAGTACGCATGCGCAAACTAAAATTTTTGCGAATATTTGTCAACTGATATCGCTGTCATCTGTTTATTTTTTCCCCCATTTCTTTTAGGTTTGAAAAACTAAACAAATTGAATACAAATGAATAAAATCTAAAACTCATTCTTTAGATTTTATATTCAGGCTTTTTTCTGCTCTGTTTTAGCAAAATCTCATTTGTTCCGTGTTTCAAAATTCGTTCAAAGTCGATTTGTATTTTCGTCGTAATTTCCCGCCAAATTAGTGAGAGAGTTAATTGATTTTCAGGTAAATGCAGGTGAATTGATTATGGAACTCTTGATAAGGAAGAAATATCTTCAAATCTTTAACCATTGAGTCTTTGATTATTACTTTAGTTATATTTTCGGATATTAACTAGTTTGCATTCGTATACAAATAAGACTTAAATTGTCTCCCATAGCAACAGTGTAAACAAACAAGAATTCGATTTATCAGAGCATGACATGTCTTGTAATCACGTGTTGATTAATATTTAGCGTGTCCGAACGAAAGAAGTGGACAAGAGTAATTGCGTTGTTTATTTTATTTTAACTTGAAGCAGGAATTTGTATAGGAAGAAGGTAGGGTTTATGTAGTATTTATATTTTTTATTGCATATCTTGTAATAGTATATAGATTATAACTGTATGGGAAATAGTTTGTTTCAAATTTTTATTTCTTATATTCCATATATTTCTAGAAGTGGTGTGATGCATTTCTATAAATTGTGATTCTACCTATAAATACATGTAGATCTATATAAAACTGAATTTATAAGATAAAGCATAAAATAGAATAAACATAGCCTGCACCATTCAATTTTAACCCCAGGAAATATAGGAGGAAACCTTGACATGTTTCATTTTACATTGTGTTACTGTATGATATTTGTTGACCTTGTTTATTTCTGAAATTGTGCATTTTTCATTTCAGATCAAAATCTGTTCAAATCATGTCGCAGGAGGGTCAGTCTGTGGAATTGCAACAAATCGGTGAAAACAATGAAAAACCAGAGTTTGAGCCGGAGTCCAATACAGGAGAAGCACAGGCATCAGGCACAGCCGGCGTGGAAGGCACAGACAACCCTGCGTACACACCACAGGATGACGGTCCACCCGTTGAAGATATCCCTCCACCAATGACTTTTGTTGACTTCCTGCCGTTATTGTTAGAGTCTGCAGAATCTAATAATGACACCCCTATGTATGCTGAATTTAGGTAAAGAAAATTAAGCTTTGATATTCAAAGAAATAGCTTTTTATTCATGGATAACACTTACACATTTCAGTGATATAGATCCTGTATAATAATGGCTTGACTGCAGTAAAGGGGTAACTCCTATTATAACTCAAAAGATGTTAACTTGTTTCTACGCTTAAGTGAACAAGTATGGGTAGCCTTCAGTATCAAAGATAGATTAATAACTCAAAATGTTGTGGTTCAGATCAGAATATCTGTCTTCAGGATACCTGCCTTAAGGACAGATATTCTGATCTGAAGCACAAACAAATGGCAGATATTTTACCTTGCATTTTCTACCATATCTTAAATGGTTTACCTCAATCAAATAATTTTTCATAGAAATAAATGTCATTATTTTTTATCCTGAACTATTTTCTAACAATAGGGTATAAATTAAGATCTTTAGTTATAACAGTGAGCCAATGATGTCATGTTATCAAAGAATGCAGTTTTATTATGACATGTGCCAAATGATGCCACTTTGGAGCATGTGACTCGTCTGACAAACACACCACCCCTTGCCAAATAAAATTTCTAGCTTGGATTAATGGAAGCACCAGTCTGATATGCAAGAATGTACATGTCATTGCTACATGTATATGTTTCTGTTGACTGCTACAATTTTACAATTAAATATTGAATTTTTTGTTATTAACATAAATTTTATGCATGTCCAAGATCAAAAGGGCTAGTAGATTAGACAAATTCAGATGGGGATATGTTATTTAATATTTATAGAGATGAAAATGGTACCACATATATATTTCATTAGTTAAGCAGTGTTTCATATGTTAATTTTATACAATATATTATTGCAGCACAGTGTTGGAGCAGGCCAACCAATGGCTCAAGGGTAATCCTGCATTTAAAGCAATGAAGTTGGAATCTATAATCAAGAAAATGGCAGATAGAGATGTGGTAGATCTTGACCAGGTGGTTCATCATGAAAGCACCTATGGTGTGAATAAATATCTGCGGGGACTAAGGTATGTACATTTATATAATGACATCAAAAGGTGTAAGAAGTTAATTAAGGTCATTGACATAGAATCAGTTGTCTGTTGCTGAGATTGTGTTTGAATAATCATACTTATTGTATACCTGTTCATATTTTTCTACATTTAATGTATGACATGCACAAATACAACCTGACTGAGAAATTCAATTGTGTCTCACTCAAATGTCATGTGGAATGAAGTCGTTAGCTTTATAATGATGTCATGGTTGAATATAAAGTTTAAATTCGACAAGGTATATAATAATAATACAAGGGTTATTATAGGAGTTTCTTGATCTATCACTTGTATTTGGCACACTTGGATTTTAATCATTTACTAGAACTTACTCACACTCTGCATGGTACCGCCTCGAGAGATCCTGTTTTAATAAAATCCAGTTGAGTCAAATACACATTCCAGATGACAATACTCCTATACTAAGCCTTTTATACTGAAATATTGATATGAGAGACAGCAGATGCTGGTCAATAGTTTTAACAGTATGTTAAGACAACAATCAAAATTAAGATATAAATAGTTTTCTGGGTACAGACTACATTTGTAGTTATCAGACCTATTTAATGAAGATGATGATATACACAGCTATTTTTAGCTGTAAGGGTCTTTCTTTGTGTTAAACTAGCTTTTTATTGACTTTTTACAGTGTTTGCCATTTGTATGTAGGGATCAGTGTTAGATTCTCGTTCAGGACTTTTTCAGTTTTTAACATGATGTATATTTTATGTTACAATTGTACATTAGGTTATGGCTGGCACCTCGGTTAGATAGCAGCGAACCTGTGCAGGAAATTGGTTACCTGACAACACTGCCAGAACCTGTCGATGAATCTAATGCAGAGGCTGTCCTGTCAATGTTCCGTCCATCAAGGTTCAGGGTAGGAGGAGGCGTACCTTCTTACTGCGGCATGAATGATATGATGTTACAATTGAACAAATTTCTAAAGAAGAAACCAATTCCAGGTAACTTAAAACTTTGCTGTAGATTATGACCAAACCAGTATTTCCATGGGTTGTATGGTTTGCGCTGATTGTGCAATTTTAAACTCCCACTAGCCTGTAGGGCAAGTGTAAATGCAGCTTAACGCAATTCACAAGTGTGGCACAATCCGTCAAGAGTAGCATGTTCATGTGATTCTCCTTATTATATCCCTTCTCATCTGTAAAATTCGTAGAGAAAATCTGAACAAAAACTGACAGCATTATTTTTCCATAAGAATAGGCATACAAATATAACTTTCATTAAATTTTGCAAGCTTAAATCACAACTTCAGCATTTCATTTTGTGGAATATAGAAAATTATGGAAAAATCCCATGTATGAATTTCTTCAGTTGCCATAGACCATGTTTTGTTTTGTTTTTGCTAAATTATCAAATTCTTTTCAGGTTCTATATTGAATGTGGAAACTGTAAAAGTGAAATATGATGATCAAGGAAGCAAATGTTTAGATACCGAGAAAATGTGTTGGGCCGACTGCGGTAAAGAAGACAGGATCTACATATATGCAATAAGATTATACTATGTGGCTGGAAAGCCGGCATTTGAAACCCTAGGTAAGCTGACTATGCGAGTATCTATAAACTAGGGTTTAAACTCAGTGCAGCGTTAGAGCAATACCTCTAGACACTTGACAGAAATCATGTTCACTAAGTAGAAAATATCTCTTTTGACAGTGGTTTTTACATTTTTCATTCATGATTGTATTTTAATCGGGAGGAGATGAATGATCTGTCTTTTAAAAATGCATTTTAACGGGTGAAAAGGCAAGATTTTAGCATTTTGAGTATTCAGGATCCTATCTGGAATGTACCGGAACATGGCATATAGTGTGGTGCTCCAACACTGTGAATCTGAGTTCCCTATTACGAGATATGAAAAGTTGGTCCCCTTTCTTTAAAAAGAAAATGTCTGTTTTTTTTAATTACACTATATATTTTTATATTAATTGTGACCACCTATAGTGTGTAGAATTTTAAACATAACATAGCAACTTTGTGTGAAGCCAAAACAATTTTATTTCCATTTATGAAGTGACTAAGTAGCAGTTATCAATATTTTCTAATATCAAATTTTAGTATAGTATATCTTTAAACAAATGACGATAATGATATCATTGGTCTAGAAACTGGCCTGTCTGTAAATTGTGCTGTCAGATTAGGTCCCTTTACTTCTCAAATATTTGTCCGCCTAAATGGCGCAACCAGGAACTTTGGATTCCTTCATTCTATCCAGTAAGCACACAGAAGTTAAGTGGGTCTATACTGGTGCCACTGAAGTAAAGCTGTCGCAAAATAATCTTTACAATGTCATTGTATTGTCACATGAAACCCATCAAAAATAAACAAAAAAACGGAATATTTCCAAGTCGGGTTAAGACTGTGAAAAAAAGATTTTGTGTAATAATTTAAATCTTTATATATTTTGTGTAATAATTTGTGTTTATTTTTTCCTACTAGGATACCACGATGAGATTCCAGTATGTATCAACAATTGGGAGCTAGTCAGTAAAATCAGGTTCTGTCCGTTCACACAGGTGGTACAGAGAGCCAAAAACTGGCTTAAAACACAGAAGGTAAGTGTTTGTTACGAAGTCTGTCTACAATTTAGTTGTTGTTGTTGTCACTTTGTTAACCCTTAAAATGATTTTAATGTGTGTAATGGATTTTCCATTTTTTTAGTATCAGTGTTGGTTTTGGAACTGTCCATTTGAATTTTAAGGGATTTCAATAACAAAATATGAAAATTGAGCTATCAACAGTATAGAGCCTGGTCAACTAGGGCACTTAAAACAGTTAAAAAAACTTGAAAAAGACTGATAATAATAATAAAAAAAATATTCAGAGTTAAATTGAAAATCTATATTTATGAGCTTCTTAGTTTGATTTGAATGAAAAACAATTCAACACTTTTCATCTTTGGTTATTTTTTCACAATAAAAAGGATTTATTGGAAAAAGCAGGATGTGCAAATGACCTGAAATTTTTCACACAACAAACTTACAGATTTACATCAAATGGTATAAAAATGTCCAAAAACATATCTGGTCCCATCATGGATTTTAGACACTAGACAAAATTGATAATCCAATACATTTCTTTTATAAAAAAAAAAGTTGAGCAAATGATCTATAGAGACTTGCATCAAATGGTATAAAAATGTATCCTGCAAAAATATTTTCAGTTCCGTCACTGGTGGTGGACAAAATTGATGACCAAATATTTTCTTATTTTTGTTTATCAGGGTATAAGAGTGGTCAACATGCAGACTGTTGAAATATTTAGTGACCGAACAAACAAAGGAGAGGCGAAGGTACATCATGATATATCTGGTCACGGTGAGGCGGCCGGACAAGACACACAGTTTGCACGTGTTTTGCGACTTTTCTTTATACAGGTAGGTTATAGAAAAAGTATTTCTTAGGTTCAGATCCACTGAGGAAGTTTAAATTATGAGGATGGCTACTTTATATTAAATTTAATTGAAATATAATAGAATGTTAGAAATTGTAACATTGTGCACGGTCCTAAAAAGGTGAACCTGGTATTCATGACATCATGAACGAGTATGATGATGATATCATCAAGTAAATTTCTTCTCCACTAAATATAGTTAATACATTTTCAATAATGTTCAGAATGATGCTTTGTTATTCATAGTGGAGGCCCATTGAACCTGCAGTAATTTTATGACAATGCACTCGAAAATTGAAATATTTTTCAAAACTTATGTTTCATATTAGTTGTGATATTGAATATGCATGGGTATAATTGATATTTTATGTTCTATTTATAGGATTCTAAAAGTACAGAGTGTACCTATTCTGCACTGAACCTGACAACGAGACTGTTTATCCCATCACGGCATGGACAATGGGGCAAAAACTGTGAAACTTTCTCAAAGACTATGCAGAGAGTCATCACCTGGCTTCAATTAACAAGTAAGTTTAACAGAATATAATTACACCTGTTGTAAGTACTATCTCCAAATAAAGTTTTTATCAGGTCACACAAAAAAGCTTATTTGCCTAAAAAGGAGGCTTGGCACTTAAATCAACTCTGATAAATGTTTTTATTTTCATATACATGTATACAGGTTCACCAGAAACATGTTGTTTTTTTTCTTTCACAGAAAATGTAGCCTTAGAATTATTAAAGCAGCATGCCTCCATTTTCATGAAAAGTATGAAAATGTATTTAAAAGTAAATTATTGTAAAGTGAACAAAGAAAGTAATTTACACACTGCAAGGGGCACTTACAATACATATAAATTACCAAAATCAGGTCAAAATATGAAAAAATAGTCCTTACTGCATAAGTCACACAGTAGAAATAGGGTGATAAATACCGCAAAATCAATCAATAATAGTACATAAAATGTATAATTATAATTACTTGAATCTTTTTACTTTTCTTAGAATCTTAGAACACTTCCTTCAAAGTTGATTTTCTTGAAATATTTTGGCTCATCTGGAGGCATGCAGCTTTAATTATTTATTATTATATTTATTCATAAATTTTTCTCTATTTTCTATGAAAGATGTTATCATTGAAAATTAATGAATGTTCTTCCAAATTGCTTATTTGCCCATTTATTTTCATTAAATTTTAGAAATGTATTCATCTATAAATTATCATTCACGTTTCCTTGTTTTTATTCTATTTTTAGAAACACCGATATTTGGAGTGGAGACAGTGAACTACCAGTTTTCTCCGGATAGTTACGGTACCGGCGTTAGAGAAAACGACGCCTCTATCTCGCTTGTAGCAACCTCCGGCAAATATTTCATCACCACCGTCAGGTAAAAACAATTTACGTCAGTCTCTTATGCAAACTTGTTTGTATAATTCGAAAGATGTAGTAAAGAATATTGATCTAGACCAGATAACTATATGTATAGGCCAGCCACTTAGTTCCCCCATTATAAGCTTGTCTGTTACAAAGAAGTCAAACTATGATCGTTGCATCTCTGTTGTTGTAATTGTGCAAAAAATTTCATGTAGGCAGTTATTCAAAAACTAAATTTTGAATACTTGCTTATCATGACAAGGTAGCGTTATAAGGCAAGGGGCATTATTCTGAATGCTGTATTATTTTAATAATGCCCCTTGTTATCTAAAGAGTTTTTGATCAAAATTGCTTATGGCTGTAATAGCACAGCTTTATACAGCAAGTTATGCTCTTCTATCATTTTAAGCAGGACATCTAATGCTAATTTTATAGAAAATTTAGAAAATGTTTTACATATAGAAAAAGGGGCATCCGTGGCTGAGTGGTTTAGGTCGTTGACTTCAAACTACTTGCCCCTCACCGCTGTGGGTTCGAATCCCGACAGGGACTTTGGATTCTTTCATGTGAGGAAGCTATCCAGCTATCTTACAGAATGTCGGTGGTTCTACTCAAGTGCCTGTTCGTGCCTGAAATAATGCACATAAGGGCACCTGAGGTCTTCCTCCATCAGCGGTCAGTCTATTTACCCCAAGACACCCCAAGACTACCCCAAGACACCAAAAGACTACCCAAAGACTACCCCAAGACACTTTGTTTAACTGATATGAAATAACGATCTTATTTTACATTGTTCATGGGAGGTAACTATGCGAAGAATTATCTCCCTTGATATCGGTTGTACCTAGTTACTCCCCTGAGATTATCTCCTACAGGGTCGTATATTTAAAAAACTTTTCCAATTTATAAGTTAATTTCCATTAAGAAGATTCTTGGGATGTCTTGCGGTAGTCTTTAGGTGTCTTGGGATAGTCTTGGGGTAGTCTTTTTTAGTTTTTGGGTATCTTTGGGTGTCTTTGGGTGTCTTCAGGTAGTCTTGGGGTGTCTTTGGGTAGTCTTGGGGTAGTCCTGTGGTGTCTTGGGGTAAATAGACCGACCCCTCCACCAGTAAAGCTGAAACGTCGTGATATGACCTATACTCATTTTTATTCTGTGTCGATGTGACGTAAACTCCCCCCCCCCCCCCCCCAAAAAAAAAAAAAAACAAACAAAAACAAACAAACAAACATAGAAAAACATAAAACATTGTCAGGTATGCAAATGAGGTAATTTACCTTCTACCCATTCGACCAGTGCAGACCATGATTGGACAGCACATCTGTGCACTCAGATCATGGTCTGCACTGTTTGCTATTAAGTCAGTCAGTATTTATTTAGAAAATTTTCCTAAGGTTGATTAATGGTTTTGTCTTGACTCAAAGATAAGCAAGGCAATGTAAGAAGAAATTATCTTCTGTGTATCAGAATATGCAAAATCTCTGTCTTATCCAACCTTGTTTCAGTCTGCCCAACATATTTCCATATCTCAATGGTCTGAATTATAGTTTTAGTTGTATTTTGCATTTATAAAAAAACCTGTAGAAGTGTCATGGATGGTTGTATCCAGATTTAGGCTAATTTCCATGAAAATTTTGAAGATAATTAAAAAAACTATTATATTGTGAAGTAAGGTGAGAAATATTGTGAAGTAAAGTGAAATATTGTGAAGTAAATAAAGAAAATGATTAACACATGGATACGGCACTTACAATCCACGTAAGTAACCAAAAAAGATCAAAATTTGCTAAAATAACCCTTACTGCCTTAGACACACATAGGAGGATCATATGATAAAATATTGCAAAATCAGTCATTAATTACATATATCATAATAATTGTTACTTAAATCTTTAATGATTTTACTTACTCAAAATCTTAGAACATTTTTCTCAGGATTAATTTTCTTGAAATATTTTGGCTCATCTGGCGGCATGCAGCTTTAATACAATTTATCTTTTCAGTCTTTTATTTACTTTAGTAATTAATTAATATCACTTTAAAACATTTCTTTATTCATTTCTTATTAGTTTTGCAATAGATTTAAAAATATAATAAACAATCTAATTATTTAAACATTTTTATGTAGGCGTTCTGCTTTAATAGGGGATCAATCATGGGGGGTTTTCATGTGCGTCATCCGAAAATAATGTATTTAATGGGGCTAGTAATTGATAAATTTCTTTTGTTATCTGAAAACCAGTATGAAAATTGATAACTGATGTCCTATGTTATTGTAAATGTACGATGGCTAATTGAATATGCTTGTAATGTGGCTTTTTAATCAATTAGACAATGACTTTATGATGAGGAAAGGAAAAAGCTGTTTAAATTTTTCACTGAATTTAATGATTTATTAATCATTATCCTGCGAAATTTGTGTGAAAGATTTGCCTTGCTTTGAATTTTAAAAAGTCCATTAATTTTGTAGTTACTGGGATTTTGCAACAAGTCACAATCAAGTTTCATGACATATCACAATCAAGTTTAAGTTACAGGTCACCATCAATTGTTGCAGGTCACAATAAAGTCTTGTGACTGGTCAAAGTCAGGTTTCATGAAGTTCACAATCAGGTTTTGTTACAGGTGACAATTAAGTTTTGTTACAGGTCACAATCAGATTTTGTTACAAGTCACAATTGGGTTTTGTTACAAGTCACAATTGGGTTTTGTTACAGGTCACAATCATGTTTTGCGACATGTCACAATCAAGTTTTGTTAATGTCACAATCAAGTTTTGTTACAGGTAACAATCAATTGTAGAGGTCACAGTAAAGTTTTGTGACTGGTAAAAGTCAGGTTTCATGAAGGTCACAATCAGGTTTTGTTACAGGTCACAATCAACTTTTGTTAGAGGCCACAATCAGGTTTTGTTAAAAGTAACAATCAAGTTTTGTTACAAGTCACAATCAAATTTTGTAACAGGTCACAATCACAGGTGAACGTCACGTGGCCATGACTTACACTATACCCCCGTTCCCCTTCTACAACCCTAAACCCTTAAACATCATCCAAACATCATAAGTATTGACAAAAATAAATTTTATGAAAAAAAAAATTTATGACTCAAAAAAATTATAAAAAATATGGGGAAAAAAGACATAAAAAGAACAGAAAGAAAGAAAAAAAAACAGTTTTTAATAATTAAGATTAATAGGGTTTATACAATTAAATTCAAACAACTTGGGACTTCATAAATTTTTTTTCGTCCCTTTAATATGAAAATTATGATGAATTTAAATTGATGGTACGCTAATAAAATACATTAAAATGTAAATAGTTTTTTTATAATTAATTTCTAAAGAGAAAGCTAAATCATTGTCTTAAATACAGCTAGGTAAATAAATGGAGGTTTTAACAGGATGAAAATGAATTTGTACTAAAAAAAAAAAAAAGTTATAAATATGAAGTTAGTGAGTTTTATTGCAAAATCAAGTCTGCATATCTATGCAGTCTGACCAGGCTCATACTGTTGACTGACTAACTTTATATGAGCCGTGTCACGACAAAACCAACATAGTGGGTTTGCGACCAGCATGGATCCAGACCAGCCTGCGCAGTCTGATCAGGATCCATGCTGTTCGCTTACAGACCCTATTACAAGTAAAGAAACTGATAGCGAACAGCATGGATCCTGATCAGACTGCGCAGATGTGCAGGCTGGTCTGGATCCATTCTGGTCGCAAACCCACTATGTTGGTTTTGTCATGACACGGCTCAATTATCTTTTATCATGATATCCCAAAAAATAATGTAATGGAATGATCCAAAACTGGAAGCTTTAAATCTATGAAGTTAAATTAGTATGTTTGACAAAAACTTGGATTCTTTCGTGTGAGGAAGTTGTCCAACTAGGTTACAGAAAGTCAGTGTTTCTACTCGGGTGCCTTTTCCTGCCAGAAATAATGCCCAGTGGTGCACCTAAGGTCTTCCTCCACCAGTAAAGATGGAAAGTCACCATATGACCTATACTTTATTATTGTGATGTCAAATCCAAACAAGAAAAAAAAAGTCTGTTTTTGACTTTATTGCTACTGATGTTAAGTTAAAATAATTTGAAGATGTTGCGTTTGACAATAAACTCTCATGCTTAGTGATTTGGAAAATGCTGTGCCATACAGTCTTGTGTATTATGGGCTACTCATCATCGTATTTTGAATCATAACCCTGTAGAAACAATAAGATGTTGTAAGATTCACCGTTATTTTTGTAAATACCTCATCACAAAAAAAAACCACACCATTTTTTTGGGAAAAAATCTCATTTCATTAATTGTAAATATGAAGTGTTACATAATGTCATGCATTTTATTTAATTCTGTTTCCATAGTAATAGATTTTTATAATTCATAACAACAATTTTATGCATGCATTTATCATCATTAGCAATTTTTACCATTTATGTGCAGTCATAATTCAAATGTCTCCGCTGTTAACGTAATTACTTCTGACATTTATAAATCATAATCTACCTTGTAGTGGGCACGACGTTTTTGTTCTTAATAGTTTTGAATGATGAAATATAATTACAATGTATATTGAAAAAAAAATAATATTTTACAGTAGTCAAAAATTTCGACAAATTTAGAAGAAAAAAATTGAAAATGAGAATAATCATGTATACCATACTGTACATATAAAAACTTTTGAAGACAAGAACATCAAACAGAAATGATGTACATTTGTACATGTATGTTGACTTTAACCACAGTCCACGAGTGCCGACCCTACTAAATTATTGTAATGAGTTTTTCCTGCCTAAAGAAATAGTAATGAACTCTTACAAATGCTAAATATCTTAAACAGACTTTTCCATCTTTCAGTACCTATGGACATAATCATTTATCCTATTTAAGAAAATCTCAAACTATGGTATGTACAGCGAATAAATAGCAAACAGTGCAGACCATGATCAGACAGTATGGTTGCATGGGTAAAATCTGTTGACAGCATGCTAAAGGTCAAAGGGACTTGATATACATATACCGTATATATCAAAGTTAAAGCATTTCTGAGGCATAGTGGGCCTTTAACTTGCTTAGAAGCATTTTTCACTGGCTGCTGGTACAGACCAGAATATTTAGCTTGAGAGTAATTGTTTATGGCATAAACGAGGGTCAATACAAAATAACCCTTTTACTCTTTTTCCTGTATTCCAGATTGTATTTCCCATGTGAGTTCGAGGAACCCGATCCGGAATTACTTCCCCATGAGGAGGAGGACCAAGGATGGTGGGCGTGCACAGTCTCCTAAATCTGTCATTTGATTGGTTGATTTGGTAAACGGACAGTTCTGATTGGCTGTAAAGATGTGTGATAATTTATTTCAAATGAGAAAAAAATGCTATGAGATTAAATTGATATTTGGCTGATAATAATACAGGAGAAAATGCCAGTGGATATACTGTTGTACTGTGAAGAATAAAACATTTCAATATTATACATACAAGCTTTCTGACAAAAAGGCATTTAATCCTGGATGAAATGTGGATCAATTTTTCTGAAATTCCCAATATTCATTCCTCAAGATGCTTGTATGTGAACAACTCATAAACAAAAAAAGCGAACAATACATAAATAAAGAAAGCAAACAATATACATGTAATTATAAAGAAAAAGTGAACAGTATATAAACAAAAAAAAGAACAATATATGAACAAAAAAGTGAACAATATATAAACAAAAAAGCGATAAACAACTCCTGTGTATTTCATTCATACATTTATGTTTACATGTTTCCAACGCTCACCAGACTGTGGACTTGTGGTAATATAATGTTACACAATCAAATCCGGCAATACAATTGACTAGAATTGAACACATATTCCCGATGTTATTGATATGATTAGATAGAAGTAACTCAACAACCTGTTAGAGTACAACCTGTGCAAAGCAACACCCCTTCAGCAGTCAAATATTTTGGTTGTTGCCTGAGAGGTATTGCTTTGGAGAGGTTATATTGATATCAGTTCTTTGGGAGTAAAAAAGGACATTTTTTACATAGGGTTGCTGGGTATGTGTTTCACTGTACATGAAAAATATCCCCAGTCTTCATTTTTAAGCTATTATGATATATAACATTTTTATTCCTATATTAAGTTATATATCAAATATTTTCATAATTTTTATATCTTTTGTTTCCGATGATTGATGCATACTCCCAGATGATTTTTGAATGAACTGTTCTTATATTTTGTTATTATAATCCCAAAATCTTCAAATGAACTGTTCCAAATTCAAAGGAGGGCAAGTTTGCATCATAAAAACTTAGTAGGATTTGGGTTGTTGTATGAAGAATGGCACATAATTTAACAGATTTTGAAGAAAAAAATCATGAAAGCAATAAATCATTACAGTATTTGTAATTTTTGTAATATACATTATATATAGGAACTATTTTTCCTTTGTGTTCATACATATTATATACAGGAACTATTTATCTGCTGATTATATATACACATATTTGTATACATGTTAAGCATAATAGAACATTTACTTTCACCTTTTACTATTGTTGTAATTTGTATATTATATATGCATCATAGTTGATTTAGATTATTTCACTGTAAGTTTTTTAGTTTTTGTTATAAATGTTTTCTAATTGTTGACGTTTTTCTGACAAACTAACGCTAGTATCTTTCTTTTGTTTGGAGCACAGGGTAATGTTATAATGAACTTAGCAGTTGATGTAAATTTTGGCTAAAATAAGTTAAAAATATGACATTTTGGTGTGAGGGGGGTGGGGGGAGAATTTAAAAAAAATCAAAACAAATGTGAGCATTTGATACAGATATTTGATTGGTCAGAAACTGGCAGATCTTAGATACATTGTATTTGATTGGTCAGCACAGAATGTACACTGACCAATGAAAATCTTGAAATTCAAGATTGAGCTCAGAAAAAGTTCTTTGTCCTTGAGACTCATTCTTTCTCAACTATAAAGTACTGAGATTAGTTGGAAATGCTGTCCTACAGACAATTCTTGTTATTATTTTATGCAGTGATTTTTTGTGATACTTTTATACTTTTCCTATCACTTATTATACTTTTTCTATATTTTTTCCACATTTCTTTTTGTACAATCATAATAGAAAAAATACCATATTACTCAAATGTCTTATACAATTCTTTTTTCTTTTTTTGTTATTGTATACATGTATTGATGTAGACATGTGTGATGTTGTTATGAAACATCTTTGTATTTATTTATTTTCCATGAATGAATTTTGATCAAATTGAAATATGTGTTTGTAGTTTTGTTTTCTCAAAAATATGCATGTATATGGTAGGGGACCGAGTGGTGAGATAACAGACCTCGATTCACTTGCCCCTCACATCTGTTGGTTTAAATCTTATCAGGAATTTTGAATTACTTTCATGCAAGGAAGATAATTATGCAACTGTTTAGAAGATTGACAGTTGTACTCATAAGACTCCCTGATGGATGACCCATGTCCTTCGTATTTGGTACTTGGAAACCTTAGATAGTCCTCTAACTTTGGATGGAATTTTGGGTCATTGGGTTTCAGGTTAAATTCTTGTGCTTATGTACTAGTGAATTTGAACCTTCAGTTATGTAAAAGACAGTATAAGACAAGCTTTGCCAACAGTTTAATGCAAGATTAGGCCAACAGTATGATACAAGATTAGGCCAACAGTATAAGACAAGATTAGGCCAACAGTATAAGACAAGATTAGGTCAACAGTATAAGACAAGATTAGGCCAACAGTATAATACAAGATTAGGCCAACAGTATAATACAAGATTAGGCCAACAGTATAATACAAGATTAGGCCAACAGTATAATACAAGATTAGGCCAACAGTATAATACAAGATTAGGTCAACAGTATAATACAAGATTATGCCAACCGTATAAGACAAGATTAGGTCAACAGTATAATACAAGATTAGGCCAACAGTATAAGACAAGATTAGGTCAACAGTATAATACAAGATAAGGCAAACAGTAAAATACAAGAGTAGGCAAACAGTATAATACAATAGTAGGCAAACAGTATAAGACATGGTTAGGTCAACAGTATAAGATAAGATTAGGGCAACAGTATAATACAATATTAGGTCAACAGTAAAATACAAAAGTAGGCCTACAGTAAATACAAGATTAGGCCAACAATATAAGAAAAGAATAGGCCAACAGTATATTACAAGAGTAGGTTAACAATGTAAAACAAGATTAGGGCAACAGTATCAGAACAAAATTAGGCCAGCATTATAAGACAATTGAAGGCCAACAGTGTGAGACAATATTAGGTATAAGGTACTATTAGGTCATGTCACCTTTGTATGACAGAACTATTGCAACAGCATTTAGTCACGCCTACCTGTCGTTCCAGTCTCTGGCTATTTGTTCTTTGATGTTGCAATACCTTTAAAAGAAACTCCTCACCAAGGCCTAAAAGTATAAGAACATGAAATTCGAAATCAAACATAGAGACTCCTTAATTGGCACTTAAAACAGAAAAAATATGGAAAAAGAATAAATAAATAAATAAATAAATAAATAAAATAAAATGAATACGCTCAGAATGTATAATCATTTTTTTTTTCTCACGCAAACCTTGTTTGAGCTATAAGCAAAAATAACACCAAATGGAGCACAGCTCTTGGGGTAAAAATATCAGTCCTGTTATTTCATAAAACCTCAGTTACGTATGAAAGTCCCTTTAAATAACAAAAAAAATCTTATTCTAAGCACAGTAAGTACATTTTTACAAACTAAGTGGTATAATTAATTGACTAGTCTTGAAATGAACGTCTTTTTTATTAAAAGATTGGTAAATTTTTATGGTACACAAATGTATTCAAATACATGAGTAACTTTCAAAATTTATGAGAAAATTTCATACCATAAAAAAATCAAATGGTCCTAAAACATTACCACTATTGGTAAAAGTCAATGAAGATTTTATGATACTTTTCAAATAAAAGTCAAATTGAGATAGTTTATGATAATAATTTACATACATCCATATAAAACAGAAAATCTGAGAAATTTTGACAATAATGTATCACATTTAATGTGGTTGAATATGTCCCTATTTACAAGTACCGTAGGCAAGTTTTTTTCCGCTTAACACTTAGTTGTTTCATGTTCAACATGTGGGACATTTTTTCCTCCATATTTTTTGTCTATTTATATCAATTAAATATTAATTAATCAGTAGTATGTGTCAAGGATGATTTATGACACTAGTCGATTGTAACATCAATTTTCATTGGATAATTACGAATTTTATATAATTCATATACACCGCTGCTGTAAATTTTATGATTTCAATAATATTTTAAACAAAGAATGGGGATGGACAGTCTTTTATATTATAAATTTGTAATATTTGAATTTATGGAGTTGTGACAGGGTTGTAATTATCCTGAAAATTGGTAAGTGAGTTCTAGTTTAAGTTTGAATATGGGTCATCTGAGGTCAAAAAATAGGTCACGGCACATAAATAGGCATATATGAAAAAACTTAAGGCTTATTAACATTTGAACTATTTCCGGTGCAGATATTAATATTATTATATCGGTTTAAGTTTATGGCATATCTGGTTTTCATTCAATACATTTAGATCCTTAATAATCAGGTATGCGATATAAGGGCCACAATGGCCCTCTTGTTTTCCTTTACGTTTTCATTGAGTCTATTTTATTCCTGCATATTTTCTGTTTAGTCTGCTCTTGTTCTTACCACATTCTTGTTGAGTTTCCTTTTTCTTACGTCGTCAACGTCAATCATTTTTTCGTTGAGCCACTAAATATATTAATTCGCGTTCTTTCAGTTTTTCCCACTAGTCAGCAATTATCCTAACGTATTCTTGAGAAGTCAGCATTTTCCCTACCACATACAGTATGCCTGCTAATAAATCGATTGAAAATTAAATTAAAATAGGAATGATTAATTTAGAATTAATTTACAACATTAAATTACGGATGACTCAAGACGTATATCCTACAAGCGATACTAGAGTCTTTACCACATCTGAATTTTGTTAAGTCAGTTAAATTTCATTACCACTTTCTCGTTAAGCCGAATCTTTTTCCTTACCGCATTCTCGTAAAGTCAGCTTTTTGCCTCACGACTTTTTGAAACAGTTTGTGGGCAGTTGTCCAATTTTGGGATACTGATGGACATTGTCTATGCATAACGTTGTACAGACGTATTATTATTCACCGTCGTGTATTGTAGAGCGTTATTTGACAGTTTGTTGACGGATACACTGTGTATACGTACAATAACGTCGTTATTTAACGTCTTACTTTATAACGTTAGCATACACGTTAAGAGTGGATTTTTATTTACTCTACAAGCATTATTACTGTTTTGAAGTAACGATCCTGTTTTTATAGAATATTCGATTGTTTACTTGGTGGATTAATTGGATTGTACGTGCTCCTATACAGACAGTGATTTGTTAACTTGGATTTTATACAACTATATATAGTTTATAGCGGGAGTTTTAAACAGGTTATTTACTTACATTATTTTTTATATTTACTTATATTATTTTTAAAAAAAATACTTATTTTCGTTCAAAAACGGAAGTCGATTCTCTAAATGTAATATTAGCTCTAATTGCTGTTGTTGTTGTTGTAATTTTGTGGTGAGAAATTGGTGCACATGCATGCTTTATTCTAGTTTAGTGTGTCATATCAGGTGCAAGAGACGCTTAATATGTCAACTTATGTAAATATATACAGCTGATTATATAAGCATAATGATGCTATAAAATACCTTATTTAAAGCCCCATACTGGCCATAGCTGTAAAATGCTGTATTCGCATTGTTTACAATACTGATTAGACCATAAAAGACTTTTCTTATTCACCAATCGCTGTCTTGTCCCAAATTTAGTCTTGTTTTTTTTTTCTTGCAACGTAAAAAAAATGGTTACTTTACTTTAAATGTATCACTTTGTATCCTGAATATGTTGCTTTACATCCTGATCACGTTTAACCTTTTCTTGATTCTTTTTTATTTCTATACATGTATTAATATTTAAAGTGCACGTTTCTAGAGAAAAGAATAATTAGATTTTAACTTTTAAATAGAAATTTAATGTGACCATAGGACACTTATTCCCCAACATTCCTCTGTTTCGTCAGTCTACGGACGGACAGGAAATAAAAAAGAATAATAAATAAAAATAAAAATAACTGGTTGGGAAAGAAGACTAAGGATTTTATAACAACTGTTGTAGTATTTTTCAAGAAAATGGGAGAAAATGTGCACAAATTGTTTTCGTAGTATTTCTATGAAAAAGTATAAAGAAACAGTATGCGTATGCATAGATATTGCTTTTTGATGCCCATGCAATTTGAAATGAGGTACGAACGATAAATCTACATGAATGTTTATGTTTAAGTGACGTACGAGCGATAAATCTACTTGAATTTTTATGTTTAAGTGACGTACGAACGATAAATCTACCTGCATTTTTATGTTTAAGTGACGTACGAACGATAATTCTTCTTAAGTTTTTATGTTTAAGTGACGTGCGAACGATAGATCTACTTGAATTTTTATGTTTAAGTGAGGTGCGAACGACACATCTACTTGAATCTTCATGTTTAAGTGAGGTACGAACGACAAATCTACTTGAATTTTTATGCTAAAGTGAGGTGCGAACGACAAATCTACTTGAAATTTTATGTTTAAGTGACGTACGAACGACAAAACTACTTGAAATTTTATGTTCAAGTGACGTACGAACGATAAATCTACTTGAATCTTCATGTTTAAGTGACGTACGAACGACAAATCTACTTGAATTTTCATGTTTAAGTGACGTACGAACGATAAATCTACTTGAATCTTCATGTTTAAGTGAGGTACGAACGACAAATCTACTTGAATTTTCATAATTAGGTGACGTACGAATGATAAATCTACTTGAATCTTCATGTTTAAGTGACGTACGAACTTTACATCTACTTGAATCTTCATGTTTAAGTGAGGAACGAACGACAAATCTACTGAATTTTTATGTTTAAGTGAGGTGGTATTGTCAAATCTACTTGAATCTTCATGTTTAAGTGAGGTACGAACGACAAATTTACTTGAACTATATTTAAGTGAGGTGCGAACGACAGATCTATTTGAATCTTTATGTTTAAGTAAGGTACAAACGACAAACCTTCTTGAATTTTTATGTTTAAGTGAGGTACGAACGACAAAATACTTGAATTGTTATGTTTAAATGAGGTACGCACGATAAATCTACCTGAATTTTTATGTTTAAGTGAGGTACAAACGATAAATCTACTTGAATTTTTATGTTTTAGTGAGGTACGAACGATAAATCTACTTGAATTTTTATGTTTAAGTGTGGTACGAACGACAAATAAACTCGAATTTTTATGTTTAAGTGAGGTACGAACGATAATTCTGCTTGAATTTTTATGTTTAAGTGAGGTACGAACGACAAATCTACTTGAATTTTTATGTTTAAGTGAGGTACGAACCACAAATCCACTTTTATATTGAAATGAGGTGCAAAAAATAACTCCGCTTGAAATACAAGTACGACAACTCATCACTATTAAATTTTGTTTTAAAGTGAGATACAAACGACAACTCTCCTTGAATTTTCGTGTTTAAATAAGATAAGAACGACAACTCTGAAAATTGGTTTTAAAAATGTTCGCTAGGTGTTTAAAGATGTTCGCTACGTGTTTTCGTGATATCTAGTGTATGTACAAGTTTAAAGGTTATCCGTCATTTGGTATAATTAGCCTGTCATTTTCTCGCCGTAAATTTTTATGTTTACAAGCATATTATGCCAAAATGAAAAACAACCTTTCACAACAGTACCTTAATTGATTATATTCCCGATTCATTCATACAAAAGTTCATATTAACTCTTTTTGAGCACTAAGATTTCGGGCAAGTTCATTCATTTGGCAGTCTCTGTGTACAGTTAAATCCCTCTTTTACGACCACTTTAGGGATTCCTAGTCATATCAAGGTGTGAACAGCGGGCTGGTCTCATTTGTGGAATGTGTTACTAGTATACATTATTATTTAAGTATAACAAACATCACAATTGATTTAAATTTATTTAAAAGCTGGAACCTTCGATTATAAGATTGGATTAAGAGGCATATTATTTGCAGTATATGGATACAGTCAAAGATGCTAGGCATGCACGTTCACATTTTCAAAAGTAGTTTTCAAAAGGAACACTTTACATGACTGGAATTTTGGCACCAAACGCCCTCCATAATTGTCCTGTTGCTGTTTCGGTCGCTACTTTAACTTTTTGTCAAATTTCGGTTAAGATTATGAATAATGGCTATTTGAACTTGAACTTGACCAAATTTTTACTGTAAAAGTAAAAATTCGGAAAGGACCGAAAGTTGCTATATAAAGTCGGGAAAATGTCGCCGTGACATGTATAGCATTCATTACAAAAACAAACATACAAAAACAAACAGGTGAAAATTAGTACTTACATACACGAATGACATATAAATAAGTAAACGTGGCCAAATTTTATTATCCGTCACTAAAAAAAGCTTTAAAATGCATGCTTTTACGAAAGACCGAAAAACAAAACTATTAAAATTCAAAAACCGAAAAACGGAATTCAGTATGCATGGCGACTTTTTTTTTGTTGTATGTCAAAAAGCGGAAACTATATTTAATTATTTTTTCGAGTTGACATTATACGAATAAGCAGATTCAAAGATTGTGTTTTTCGTAGATTTGAAAAAAAATCAATTATCTTACTTTGGCAAAATAAAAATAAAAAATAAAATAAACAAAATAAATAAATAAATATGTACATGTAGAGTTGATATATTTTTGTGTCACAAAAAAAAGAAACGCAGGAAGAAGTCCTCATTGTTTTAATAAGTGTTCGCAAAAATATACATGCCGGCGTCCTTGGATCCCAGTATTTGTGACAAACCCTTGTGTGACATTTCCACTCTCTTTTATGAGCATTCAATGACACTGATTAAAGAAACACGGCACGGTCGATGTTTAAAATAGCAACATAGCATTATTTTTGTCTTAATGTTTCGTATTAGAATAAGCTTACTGTCTGTCTTTTGTTAACTTGCTAATATACAAAACTTAAGTTTTTGAAGACCACTTTAACAGCCAAACAAAGTGACTAAACAAGCTACGAGGCTAAAAAAAGGTTAAAAGCTTTTGGTCAAATTTCGGTTAAGATTATGAATAATGGCGAATGGCTATGACTAAAAAAGCTACGAGGCTAAAAAAGGGTTAAAAGCGTTGGGACGGTTTATGGCACGTGACACATCCCGTGCAATCTGACAGAGCCGAGTTCGGCGTATTCATCAATGACAACTGTTCGGTGTTTTCCGTCGTACTTCGGTAAAGAACGACTTAATGATGCAGATCTCCAAAAAATTGGGAAATATTTTTCATTTAAATAACTGAAACAAAACTGACATTTTGTAAATATAACCATCGTCGGAAAGTGAAGTGGATGGTCGAACAAGAAAACAAATCATTTAAACATAGCCTTTCATCATAATACATAACATGTTGGGCATATCCATTGTTTATGGCGAAGATCTATTTCAATTATGAAAAAATATATGTCTTGTCAATTTGATTGATATTGTTGAAAAAAAAATGGATATACCGAAGGATAAATGTTTGAGTACAGGTATTTTTATATATATAATTATCTTTGCTGTTTGCAGCACATAGTTTATTTCATATTTTCTCTATCATGATATGGTATGCATAATTATCCACTAGGGGTCGAAAAATCATGTAAAATGTGGTGTAAGAGTCAATGGATCAAGTTATCTTCATATTCTAAGGGTTCGAGAAGTCAATGGGTCTAAGTGTCTTACTCACTGTATAATTTGATTATCATAAATTTAATTTTATGCTTGTATTAAGTGATGATTAAATAAAGAAAAAAAACTTACTTAAGAAAATACGTGTATGGTAAATTTACGGTAGAAATATAGGCTACCCATATGCATTATTACGTAACCTGCTGATTTAGCCCTGTACTTGACCATCAGTGTCTGCACGTCCATATGCATTCTGACCAGGCCCAGGCCATGCTCACAGAGTTTGATGGCTCACGATCAGAATCAAAATTCATAACTCAGAATTGCTCCATTGTTTATTACCATGGGTTTAAAAATTCAATTTATTAAAATAGCATGTTAAGTTTTTATATATATTATTTCTTTACAAGATATGTGCGTTAACTATACTTGATCCAGTTTTTCCTTTCTTTTATTGTTAATAATAAAATATATTCCCCTAAAAACTCTTTATTTTCCTTTCAAATCAGCATTCTTTTTTTTTTACGAACGGAACAGAATTAGACACGCGTCCTGGCCCCTAGCATCAACATTTCGCTGTATTGTCAGCGTATAAACAAAGTTGTTATTCTCTACGAGCTGAACGTGACAAAAGTGCTACATTTTTGCTAAATCGGGGGCAACTACTCCGCTAATTTTCAATAAATGTGAAACAAAACTGTGATACTGTACGTCAGAAAAACTTAGCTGCGCAAGTTCTCATCAACACATGCTGACAACTGTATGAAGAAGGTTTCATAGCTCTAGAAGTAATGTTTTTTTTTTAGTAAAACGCGAGACAATCCATTCCTGATGGACGGACGGACGATCAAAAGCAAATCTGTAAAATATATGATAAATTCCGACATATTTAAGTGCATCAATACGATATGGCCATACATGTGTAAGTCTTGCGGTTTTATTTAGGAATTTATATATATATATTTTACAAGGAAAACTTACTGTGCCACACTACCTTATAATGTGTACTTTTATGCGGACGGACATTGATACAAAATGACCAATGCATATATTTAGCGACTGGATAATAGAATCAAAGTATATATTTTATTAATTATCTACAAATGTAAACTATGCTACCGGTGTCAAAATTTCAGATATTCATCATAATGACAAAACAAGAAAGCATATCAATCTCGTATTCTTTTTTATACGAACATAAATGCACTGTCATTTTGAGTACTTGATATGTTTAAATTTCACTGATTCTTTTTTAAAATATTTATTTATTTTATTTTTATTATTATTTTTTTGAAGAAGAAGAAATAGTGTTTAATGTTGTGCTGTTTTTGTAAAACGGCTTTTATTTATTGCAATCATATATAATAACAATGCAGCCAGTTAACGCATGCATACCTATTTTGAGACATTCCTGGATGACGTAATTCTCGTTTTAGGCATTTATGTCGTCTGTATTTGAAATGTTGACGTATATTGTTCATAAACCTGTTATAGGACAAACAAGGGACAAATTTATATCTGGACAGTTGACACATATCAGGGTGATGATGAGGCATTTATACATACATGTCAACTAATCTTATTGTAATTTATTTGAATGATATAGTCCAACAGGCGATGTTTATTACTCAAATCTTAAAGCTGCATGCCTCCAGATGAGCCTGAGAAAATCAACCTTAAGAAAAATGTACGAAAAGTAAAAATATTTACAATTCAAGTATTTACATGTTGGTTGCAATGCTCGAATGATTTTTACAGTATATATCTACATATTCCTACTACGTAATAATTCGCAGTAAGGCTTTTTGTATATTTTGACATTAATTTGATAATTTACGTGGACTGAAAGTGCCATTTGAAAAATGTGTAAATAACTTTCCTTGTTCAGTTGAAAGTACTTTACTCTTAAATAATACATTTATAAATTTTCATGAAAACTAGCATTGAATCTGAAGGCATGCTGCTTTATAAACTGTAAAATATGTTATTCTTTCATTGCTATGATAATTTCTGTAGATATAGTCTTAGCAAAAAGTACTTTAGTTCTATTATATGTACATGAATTTGATAAGAAAACAGAATGAAAAGAGGAAATTAAGCATGATTTCTTTTAAGATGTAAACAAAATTTCAATATTCTACATATAAGAGACATCCCTTTGAATAAGTTATAGAAATACTTAATGCCCAGTGCACTTCGATTTAACAAACTGTCCGGTGTTCTTCGATTTAACAAACTGTCCGTTGTACTTCGATTTAACAAATTGTCCGGTGTACTTCGATTTAACAAATTGTCCAGTGAACTTCAATTTAACAAATTGTCCGGTGTACTTCGATTTAACAAACTGTCCGTTGTACTTCGATTTAACAAATTGTCCGGTGTACTTCGATTTATCAAACTGTCTGTTGTAATTCGATTTAACAAATTGTCCGTTGTACTTCGATTTAACAAATTGTCCGGTGTACTTAATTCGATTTAACAAATTGTCTGATGCACTTAATTCGATTGAACAAACTGCCCGGTGCATTTCGATTTAACAAACTGCCCGGTGCACTTTGATTTAACAAACTGTTCAGTGCAATCCGATTAAATAAACTGTCCGGTGCACTTCGATTATTAAAATGTCCGGTTTATCGATTTAAATTTTATTTTAAGTAACCAGTATCAGCCAACGGTGACCGATATTATTTTTAATATAAAAATAAAAGAATCTTGAAAAAAAGCAGATCAATTTCATACTGGTATTAAACAAAGATTTTTTTGAAGTCTCCAAATGATTGCTTTAGGACTAATCTACACGAGTAAATCAATCGTTGTGAGACTGTTTAAAAATGTGGAGGAGAAAAGAAACGCTTGAACGACGGAAACACGCTATAAACCTATGAATTAAAAAAAATAATCAAGAAATTATATAACGCTTGGAGACGAGGATTTCCGACAAAATGATATTCAGAATTATTCGATATTTTCAGTTCAAAATCTGAACTTTTATATTTAAATTTAAAAAAAAGCAACTCTACATTTGCATTTACCACCGTTGTTTTCTTTTTAATTAACGTAATAAATCACGCGCATGAAAGACGTAACGTTACTTATTGATGAATTATAATTAGGTAAACACGTTCAACCGCAATTGATTTAAAACGTTAAGAATAATATAAAATCATTGAACATCAAAAAGATGTTGGGGATTTTTATCTTCAATTTTAGGAAAAACAGATTTATCACTATTGTCGAACACAATTAAAATGACGTTATAATCTGTCTCGTGCCGAGGTAATCATCCGAGACAATTGATACAGCCCTTTGTTACTTTAAAGCAGCACGCCTCTAGATTCATGCTAATTTTCCTGAACAATTTTGCAAATGTATTTGAATGTGCAATATTGTGATTAACCAAAAGGAAGCAATTTACAAACCACGTTAATTACCAAAACATAGTCAAAATATGCATAAATAGCCTTTTCTGCGTTAGTAACGTAGTAGAAACTTGCGTTATTAACGCAGTAAAAATATAATTATTAATACTGAAAAATCAGTCATTAATCGCGCATGATATGTCAAATACTACTAGAATCTTGAACCTTTTTACTTTTACTTATTGCGTGTGAAAGCTTGGAAGATTACATTTATAAGTATTTTTATCGTTTTACACGTATTTCAAATAACTGTGACATGCAATGTCGTAGGTCTCGTATGTTGTCATATGTATTTCAGATATTTGTGACATGAATGGGTGAAATGTCACGTATCGTCTACATATATTTTCATTAAGGTGACATGAACCGTCATTCAGTTTTTCATACATGGTTTTTCTTCTATCTTATATTTCAGATAATTGTAACATGATTGTTTGAAATGTGACATTAACTTTAATTGTTACATGAATTGGCAAACTGTCACATTTTTATCAACCAATATTTCCAAACAACGGTGAAAAATTTCGGGGGAGCATAAAGTCGCCGGGTTGTCCGTTCGTCCGTACGTACGTCCCGAATTCGTGTCCGGCCCATAACTTCGTTATTTGAAGTCGGATTTTACAAGTATTTCACAGAAATGATCACCATATTGAGACGACGTGTTGCGCGCAAGTCGGTCGATAGATCTCATTGAGTAGAAATGCAGTGCAAAGAACAGTATTTTTGCCTTGCCTAAGTTTGGAATTATCACACTTTGAACTTTGTCTAGGACATAACTCTGAAACTACAGAATATATACTTTTCTGTGTCCAAAACCTAGTCGGGGAGCATCACCCGGTCCAACCGGCTCTTGTTTTTATTATTATCACTTTCAGATAAGTGTGGCATGCAATGGCGAAATGTCTACGTTGGCCTGAAGTATTCATTCAGACTTGAACATTGTTTTTTTTCTCCTTTATTTCAGATAAGTGTGGCATGAAGGCTCGAAAGGTGACATTTAGTTTCACTTGTTGTTTTAGCATATTATTGCTCCTTCTGCTCTACATCGACATTCGGATACAACCCCAGTCTACTAACACACATCTACATCTATATTACAGTTTTGTCGCCAATACAAGCTCCTCTACAGATTATGCAGGTACTTAATTACATCGGCTTTTCATATAATTATTACATGTACAATGACTATTCATTCAGTCAATAGCTAAATGTGGTATCATTCCCTGTCCATAAAAACCGAAATAAAGCTTTTTGTGGTCACGAAATGCATTATTCGACTAAAATAGTGTTATGTGAGGTAGTTTTAGTAGCCTCTATTTTGAAGTCACGTACGTGTCATTTTTGTTCTGTATATTCGAGGTCCTTATCCGAAGACTGGCGGAAAGGGCCGAAAAGTTGCGATTGGTGAAATTTGTGAAGTTTGCGCATCTAATTAATATTTAAAGTGCTTATTTGACAGTACTTCTTTCAATGAGGTAGTCGTGCCTATTTTTTTTTCATTTTAAATCACACCAAAACTGTACAGAAGACCTCTGGTGTCCCTTCATACATTATTTCTGGCGCAAGCGAGTAGAACCAGTACCTTCTGTAAACTAGCTAGAAAGCTTCTTCACATAAAAAAAATCCAAAGTCCATGACGGGTGTCTAGCCAGAGCGGTGAGAAGCAAGTGATTTGAAGTACAGCGTTAGTGTAACATTCTTTTAATCTAGGTCCTATCAACGCTCATACAATTATATTTGACACAAAACACGGGCGAAAATATAGCAATATTTTCTCGAAGCAATAACGAAACGGAGTCATAGTGGTTTGTGTTCATCAAACATGTAAACATGATCTATAATTAATTCATCACGCTTGTATAAAATATGTCCATTTGCCCCACAAAAATGCTAAGTGTTTTAAATTAAATTAGAAAACCTGTCAGCGAAAAGTGTTGTCGTGTGACCGAACCATGTCCCAACACGGAAATGTAATTAAAATAATTATCATACTTATATTATACTGTTTAAAATGGTGCTCTTTGACTTAAAACAAGTGGCTTGCCAAATATGAAGTCATTTAATACAGAACGAAAGTTGCGTGGACTAATATTAAATTTGCTGAACATTTCAAATCAATTATGAAAGTACATTGTAACATACTGTATTAAGATAGCAAATTTAAATGATCAGCCCATTAATTTATTTCAAATTCTGTTTTTGATTTTTAAGCAAAAATATATATATATATTTAAAAATGTCTGTTCCTTTTTATGGCGTGTCCATGCGGCGGAATTGGTATGGCATTTAATTGGTTAAGGGCATTTTATAATCTTATCTGTCCCCGCAGGATGTGGTTTTACCAAAGTGTTGGTCACAAAAAAAAAAAAAAAAAAAAAAAAAAAAAAAAAAAAAAAAAAAAAAACAAACATAAAAAAACAAACAACGAATGTCGTCTTGTATATTATTTGTTTTTATATATTACATGTATTAGTTTTTGATTTTCCTTATCTTCTCAATTAATTTATATTCTTTTTTTTCTATGTCAGATACTGTGGGACGAAGTATAAAATTCATCAGCATCTTTAACCAAACTTCTGCCGAGCACGTGCGTTCAGCATTGCTTAAAATAAGCAATGACACAGAGCATGCGCAAGACACGCCTACAGCGTCACGTGCTCACATTATTGCTATAGTTTCGTACATGCGCAGTGGGTCTACATTAACAGCAGACATAATGCAGCATTTCCGGAGCAATTGGGTTTTTCGAACCACCCCTTTACTGGTTGTGCGGGCAGTAAAACCCTTTTCCGAAAACTTCCCTTTAAGGGGAACTATGAGGTAGGATTTACGCCAAAAAAAATTATTTTTTTTTTAAATTTTCTCTTTTGGGCATTTTATCAATTTTTAAAAATTAATCGCGGGTATTCTTTAGTGGCTTCAAACCGAATAAAATCTGTAATGGATTTTTTTTTGTCATAAATTTCATCTCTCCCTTTGGGTTTTCCCCCAATTTCATAGAATTAACATTTATTCAGCTTTCATATATAACAAACGATTCTAAATAAAAAAAACATGCATCTTTTCCCTATCAGACAAAAAAACAATTCCCCCGCAACGAAATGGAAGGGGCATCCCAAGGGGGAAAATGGTCGGATTTCCCCTTTAGAAAAATTACTTGTAACCAAAAAAGCCAAAAATTTGGGATTTTAAGTCTATCAAATTTGCAAAGACTATAAATTTTGAAATGCGGGAATGGAATCTGTAATGGATTTATAATCCGCGTTTACAAACCATCCATCTTATTCGAGATCCACGGGGGTCCCTTTCGTCTCAAATAAAAATTCGGAACATTTCATGGGATCGGATAGGGAATTTGTCCGAACATTTTTGTCACCGAGTAGCAGATGATATTAATTCCACAATATTTCTGCATAACACATATCCTGATCGTGCAAAAATATTAATCTATGAAAAATTAGCAGAAAATCCTTTAATTCTTGCAGAAAAACTGCACGATTTTACAAAAATGCCTCGTTATCAGTACGTCATGCGGTATATAGCTAAGTTGACAATGGGCGGTCACAAAAGTTACAGGCAGTTCGGAAGTCTTCGGGCAAATTCGACAAAAGCCGCGTACGGTTGGCGGGATACGATCATGTCCGATCACGTGCAGACAATTGATGAAAACTGTGCAAGCGTCTATGACTCAATAGGTTACCAAAAGTTAGTTTCCGAAGAACATGTACGGAATCATAACTTACTGACATTAGAGGCCCCGACTTCTTCATTATTTTTCTAATCAAGTTGCCAAGATGTGTGGCGATTGCATAGCAAATGCGTGGGGAGCCATTCCCAGATTATGTCAATTTCTGTTTCAAGAAACGTACCTAAATGCCCAAAATATAGTATCTATATTTATATCAACATTTCAAGCGCCTTACAGTCAAGATTTAGTAAATGTATATAACTTTTATTGGTCATAATGATTTTGGCATGTTATATGGCTCATAATATAAACAAATGGTTGTACATAGCGGCTCAGGTTATATTACAAACAACCGTTTATTTTGTCATATAACCTATCAAGATTCTTTATAACTAATTTATAATACAGCACACTTCCCTTTTTTGAAGACAACATAAAATTACTATAAAAAATATTTTTACAACTGTGCATATTTATAGTTTATATGAAAATTACAGTTACCCAATGAACAGCGATCTTACAAAAGGAAGTATTATAAATTTATATACATGTGCATGTATCAATACACATGACAGTGTCCGTAAAATTGTTTTTCCAGTATACATTATGTTAAGCTATGTTATAATAGTGAATTGCATATTTTTTATGATTTTTAGAAATGACTTCATTCATGAATTACAATTGTTACACATGGAACATAATATATATTATGTCCAAGAATACACAAAAAACTGTGATCCAGGCAAAAAGCTATAAACTTTCTTTGAATGGATATGAATCTGATTCATTAATGTTACTGTATTTGTGGGAGTTAAGTGAGGTTGAGAGTTGGGTATGATTGATTGATTTAGATATTAAGTGGGGTATGTAATATTAAGTGGGGTACCTGATATTAAGTGGATCACCTAATATTAAGCTGGGACACATGGTATTAAGTGGGGTCACCTGATATTGATAGGACACCTAAGGAGTGCAACTAACCTTTAATAAGCAAGCAGGATAACTTCCCACAGTAAAAACAACCTTACCAAATAACTGCTTTTTGAATACAATGTAAAATAATAGGCTCTAGTAAATAATAAATTTTGATAAAAAAGGCCTACTGATTAAAATTTTAAAACAAAACCTTTCTGTATAAACTATTTTTTTAAATAACTTAAACATACATAACCATATATCTCAAATATTTTTAGATAGGCTAATTCACATTTTTTTAAAGTCTAAAATAAAACTAAATAATCTAGACAAATTACATATAACGTTTATATAAGTTAAAACTATTTATTTCATGCTTTCCAGTGTTTTATTGTAATATATCAGATGATTATATTCTGATAAACCACTAGTGAAATTTATAAAATATAATTTTCACTGTAGCCGGACTATATCTGAATGCGGATGAACAGAAAATCATAACTAAATGGAATAACAGGCAGAAATAAATGCCGTCATACGTAAATTTTTCCTCTTTAGGAAAAGAAATTCAATGTCATCATAGATCATGTTAGAAATTTAACAAAATTAGAGAAATTCAACGGAACTAGATTTCAAAACTGATGATGTGACGTCATGATATAATGACGTCACAAATGTGAATGCGCGACATTACACGGCAAAATCAGTAAAAAATTACTTAAAATCACTGAAAAAGCATAAAATAAAAAGAAAATTTATTTGTTTTACATATAAGATTGAAATATATTTCATTCGTGAACACCAGCTATTATATTTTCACTCGTGGCTACGCCACTTGTGAAAATATTGCATCTGGTGTTCACTCAGTGAAATTATATTTCAATCTTACATGCAAAAACAAACAAATATCCTCTATATATTCAGCATTTTATTTTACATTTTAACTATCCTCAACACTGGCAGGTGCTCTCATTAAGATTTTCTCTACACTTCTGTATAAACACTTTATAAACACTTTATGAATGTTAATCACATGTCAGTCAAACATCAACATAAACATAATGAAGTAAATCATATCTTGTCATACAATGACAGCATTATTCCCTAGCTGTTTAACTTGTAATGCCCTGTATCCTAAAATAACTAAATTTTTAAAACCTATGCGTTGAATATTTAAACAGTATCAAAAATATTTCTGCATCCCTTCCCCCTCCCCCAATTTTTCGGGGTTTTTTTTCAACCAAAAATTACTTTATAATGCCCTTTTTTTTGCTAAATTTATTCTCTGAAAATTTAAAAATTTTTCAGGGTTTTTTTCTACAAAACATTAATATCCTGATTTAACTTGTAATTGCCCTGTATCCTAAAATAACTAAACCTATGCAATTTCTTAAATAGCATTCACTCCATCTGTTTCAAAATATGACAGTTTGTTATTTCATCAGTATCAAACATCATTCTGCTATCCCCTTCCCTCACACCCATTATTTAGGTGTGTTTTTTATCAATCAATACTATTACTTTATAATGCCCTTTTTATCCTAAATTTATTCTCTAAAGTTCAAAATCTATTCAGGTTTCTTTCATACAAAACATTAATATACTTGGATAACAGTATGTCTCTCTGCCCCAAACCTCACACCCATAATAATTCAAAGTTTACTATCTATCAATGCCTAAGGGAATGCATCTCAAAATTTTTTCTTAGGTGTGTTTTTTTGGGGGGGATACATGTATAAAATGTAGTACATGCAATATTACATATAGATTGTCATTAGATTGTCATATTAGATAATACAAGAATATGTCATATAACAGTTACTACACCAAATCAACCTTTAAAATATTCCTGTTTTAAGGAATATCTATTTTGCAAACAAGAGGTATTTTTAGACAGATTTGTTAATGCCTAGCCAATTCATTTTTGTTGTTTCTTTTGTTACACCCCTTACAACGTTATTTGCTAAATAATGGACTTGACTTTCTGAGTATTGTTATTATAAGGGATTACACCATCAAAATGTTAATATTGACCAGTTAACAGTAACAAGTTCTAGCCAGACCACACCTATTTACATCGCAGTAAATACATACCAACTTAAATTTATATCTATAGCACAAACAAGCATAGACAAGCTAATGTGTATGTCAATAGTCAAAAATTTAATTTATTTTTTCATTTACCCATACTATGCTTTATATCTTAAAAAAGGACTTTCATTCATCTTTCAGTCTTGACAAAAGCATTAGTTATTTTCAGGGAAAATCTAAAAAAATCAGTACAGACTGAATACTGGGAACAGTGCAGCCCATAATAAGATGTCACATAATGTACCGACGGACCTTGGTCTGCACTGATGGCATGTGTTGAAGCAACGTAAAACTTCAATCATCTTATTTAGACACATTATACAAATATTTCTTCTACTTATCAAACAATTTTCTAAATTGTCATCAAAAAATAAAAAATTTAGCATGAATGAAGAGTTGAGCTGTATTTAAACTGTGTTTAAAATTGAAATTTGCTCATATCTCCTTTTATATGTATCTTATGTACATGTTTATCTTTTTTCTGTGAAAAATTTATCATGAAAATAAACATTTAAAAAACACTCAGTATTTTGCTCTTTTGTTAACCGTATACCTGTTCCTATGAATATTTTCTAAATTTTGTGACAGAGACCTGCAAATACATCTGGAAATATCCAGCCCTATTGGAGATTTTGAAAACTTGGATTTAAAGGTAATCCTTTTCACTGTAGACATGCTTGACCATTTTCAGTACTTGATAGTGAAATAAGAACACACCTTTAGCCTTTAAACTTTTTGGTAAAATAGAAAATTAAAAAAGAAGGTGATTTATACTGAAAAATCAATCATTCATTGCATATAACATGTAAATCATTACTTGAATTGTTAATATTTTCACTTTTCTTAAAAATCTTAGTGCATTTTTTTCTTAAAGTTGATTTTCTTGAAAGCATGCAGCTTTAATTAATGTTTGTTAATATTAATTATTATAAGAATAACCTAATCATTTTCTAAAATCCATTTGTAGATACAAAATTAAACAAGCTATTGTATGAATTTACAACCTGACATTTAATACAACACCAAGGATGTTTATCAATCTAAACAAGAATAAATTACCTTTGTGTTTTTGCAACTTGGGCCTTGAATTTTGAAATTTTTAACAACAATATTTTTTAAATTAGGATAATGATACATTTAATTCATTCACAATTTTATGAGATATTTTAACTTCAAACACAATACTGATGGTTTTCTTTCATATTTGTTTGACGAGTTTCCCAAAGATTTAATAGTTTTTTAATTTAAAGTCATCTATTTAGAACTTTGAATTACAAATGTATATGAACAATACTTTTATGTGTCGAATTTTAAAAAGGTATACTATGTTAAAATTTGAAATTAGAAAATATTGATAATTGCCACACAGTCACTTTGTAAATACATAAATAGAATAAACATGTTTTGGCTTCACTATAGGTGGTAAGTAACGGTGCTATAAAAATCTGTGAGTTGGAAGACAGACAGAAGGGACAACATACCAGCCACAGTTTGATCTTTAACTGATGACATTAAAATCTAAATATACATAAACCATAGTCGTTAAATAAGTAGAATATCTGTCTATACTTAAACAAAAACGTTAACAGAATATGGTATCAAAAGTTATCACAGATAAGTAAAACAAATGCTGTGACTATTTTATTAAGTAACCAATTTGTTCAAATTCTGAGATAAAACTGTAACCCGTTGTACAATTCTATCTTTATCAGCACTGTCTAAATACTGCCCAAATCTTTGCATGAACTTATCCGGATGCCATCTGATTTGCTGATCACGTAAATACTTCTTATATCCTACTTCTGTTCTATCCATTCCCTCGAACAAAACTGTCATATCATTTTCCTGACCTTTAGTACACGGCCATGGAATATCATCAAATCCTAACATGTGTATAGAATCACAATCCAGCAATTTCCTGTAACGTTGCTCATATTTCATTCTCTTCTTCAAAACATCCATCTCTTTATCCTTTTGTCGATTCTCCTCATATTTCTTTCTCATTTTGGCTCTAGCGTTTTTCAACTCCTCATCTTCTGGCTGACCACTGTCGGAATGTTTACGTTTAGAGTTTTTCCTGCCAGTCTCGGTCCTTTGATATTGCTGACTTTGGGCTCGTTTGCGCGCATAAAATTCCTCCCGTATTCTATCTGCCCAGTCATTGTAAGTTTCATTTTCTGTTTCGTAACTCATAAAATCTGTAAAACGAAAGACGTCCAGATTAACCTTTGACCTACTGAATTCTCTAAATGGACTCGACTAGCTTCCAATTTTGGAAGTATCCATTATTAATTATAGGGATGAAAATTTAAAAGTTGTCAATAGCATAGAGCCTGATCAGACAGACTGGCAAGGGCTTACAATTATACCTTTATACATCATAATCTACACAACAAATGCAAATATTTTAGTATTAACTATAACTGTAATAAAATAAATAAATTCTACAATACCACGAATTGATTTGAAGATTTTTTGATAGGTTGAATTATATGACCAGCACTGGTAAAAAATAAACAATTTTATAACAAGGGGACACCCAAAGGATTTAAAATGTAAACATTAACTCTACCATGGGGCTTTTAAAAAAGATTTTTTTAAAGTTTTTACATACACAATAGTAAAAACAAAACCCCGGGGCCGGGCCATTTTTTATCTCAGGGCCCTTTTTATTTAACAACTTTAAAAGCCAACCTAATTTAGAATGATGTTTCATCCAAAAATATTCTAATACTCTACTAGGGTTTTTTCAAAAAAATGATTTAAATTTTCTTGCCTTATACACCACAATAAAAAACCAAAGGGATCTCCCTCCCAATTTTGAACCGGCCATTTCTTTTTTGAACCAACCTTTGTGACCTCATAAAATTTGCTCTACCTTAAAATCTTCATTTTCTGGCTAATTGGTTTTTTTAAAAGTTTTCCTGAGTTTGCTAAAACCTATGGCTCTTTGCGCCAAAACCCGGGCGCAATTGCCCCAGGGCTTTTTTTGAACCCAAACTTGGGTAACAAACCTAATTAAACCTTTGATCTAAATTTCTTAGCCTAGCTCTTTTGATTCAAAAAAATTTTTAATTTTAAATAATGCATAAAAAGGAAAATAATGACCAGGGGGGCGGGCCAAATTTCCCCCTTTTATAACAAAATTTAACAACCAAAGAAAATTTTAGTATTCTTAACTTAATTTTAAAAAGTTTTTTAAAAGAAGATTTTTTAATGGGTTTGATTATATGCCACATGGGAAAATAAAAGTTAGATTTACCTCCTTCTCCCTCGGGCGGCGGTTAAACATTTTTTGACCTTCAGGCGGCTTTTATTTGGATGAAAACTTTAAATTCCGTTGATATTGGGTTCTTCATCTAAATATCATGTTTATTCTTTTTCTGAAAAAAAAGTTTTTTGTTTTTTTTCTTTGGGGTTGGACATCTATAAACCCCAGGAGGCCGGCAACTTTACTTTTGAAACCCAGGGCTTTTATTTGAAAAAGGGCATTGGTAGACATGAGTCAGTAAGATGTATTTAAATATTATAAATCTGAAAGGTGCTATGGTTTTTTAAAAGAAAAACCTAATGTTAAAGTTGTTTTTTCTTCCCTGGCACATCGCAAGTTCCCCCTCATGGTTAATTTCTTTGCCCCAATTTTCCCTGAAAACCAACAAAAAGCTTCCTTTTAATTAAAAGAAATTTTATTTTAAACTCAAATTTTGTCTTTAAAGTAAAATTTAAACACGGCCCCAAGAAACGAAAACCCCTTTTGAAAAAACAAAAAAACTCCCCTGTAATTTTTAAATATAAAAAATATTTCCCCTGTATATGAACAATACATAACTTGTCTCCTCTGTCTTTCAAACATTCAAAACTTATCTACCTGAACATAAAACACAACAAAACTTTTGTCTACCTGTACATTAAACATTCAAAACTTGTCTCCCTTTACTAGATAAACATACATGACTTGTCTCCTTTTATTAGATAAACATACAACACTGTTCTCCTCTTTTTTTAAAACATACAAAACTTATCTCCTCTGTATGTATTTAAATATAAACTAGAACTCCGTGAGTCGGATGTGTCGCCTTGTGAACAATATAGTTTAGGAGAAATGGCCAGGACAAAAATGAAAATTGAAAATCAACAAAGGGCAATAATTTACAAAATAAGAAATGCAGAGTATCAGTTTCTGTGCACTGCACTTCTTATCAATAAGATCTATCATCCTATGAAGTTTCAAGTCTAAAGCTTTTATAATTTATGAGAAATGGCCTGGACAAAAATAAAGTATGAAAATTAACAAAGGGCAATAACTCAAAAAATAAGAAATGCAGAGTACCAGTTCTTGAGCACTGCACTTCTTCTTAATGAGATCTATTATCCTATGAAGTTTCATGTCCATAGATTTTATACTTTAGGAGAAATGGCCTGGACAAAAATAAAGTATGAAAATTAACAAAGGGCAATAACTCAAAAAATAAGAAATGCAGAGTACCAGTTCTTGTGCACTGCACTTCTTTTTAATGAGATCTATCATCCTATGAAGTTTCAAGTCCATAGCTTTTATAATTTAGGAGAAATGGCCTGGACAAATATAAAGTATGAAAATTAACAAAGGGCAATAACTCAATAAATAAGAGGTGCAGAGTTGCGGTTCTTGTGCACTGCACTTCGGGTCATTATAAGAAGCATGCATACCAAGTTTGAAGTCAATCGGACTTATAATGACTGACTTATGCTCTGGACAAGATTAAGGGGACGCCGACATCGACAACGACGACGACAACTACACTGCCGACAAAAGTAACCCCTATATGTCGCCTTTTTCAAGGCGACACAAAAATATCTTCTTTGTATATAAAAATAGAAAACTTGTCTCACCTGGTCTATAAAACATACAAAAAATGAAGCAGGATTTTTTTTACAATGGGAAAAATTCATGAAATTTGACAATACGAAGAATGTAACAATGCATTAATGAGGAAAAGTAGGAAAATTTATTTAAAAATGTCAGTGACATTGACCAAATCATGCCGAAATAATACTCAAGGCCTTATGTAATAGTCCATATAATATATAAATATTTCAAACATCCCCAAAAAATGATAAGACAATGAAGGCAAAACTGTATACTAGAACAAAGTGATATGTGATAAATGGGAGGGAAACCATATACTCGGACAACAAAAAATTCTGAATGTGTAAAAGCTGTATGCACCTCATTTCCTTTAGCTGATTCCCTCTTCTGTACTAATGTGTGAAGCAGACTTCTACAAGTTTCTCCAGCTTTATTCCTCATGTCCAGGGAACCAGGGAATCGTTCAATCAATGGAAGTATCATCTCTGTATAACCTGAAATAAATTTCACTCATCTGTCAGACCATTCATTCTTGCAAAAACACTATTTGCTGGTACTTCTTACTCTGCGATGATTGACAAACCAGACTCTTAAATTACTGTTGCCTCCTTTATTTTCTTTTACTTAACTTGCGTAAAACTTTTTTACTTTATAGCCTTATGTGAGGTCACATGGTGTTATTTTGATCTATCATCCTGGAAATGAATATATCACCAAGTCTTTTTGTGTGTGCAAAATTAACCAGTGGCAAGTAATCTATTTAGACTTAAGAAAAAGTAATGTTCTAGTTCTCTCCCCTGGTCACAATCAAAGAATGGCCTTCATAAAAAAGGGGAAAAAAAAACCCATTAAAATGTTGGTTTCGGTTATATTAAAAAAAAAATAAACATTTATATTTTTCTAATTAAAATTAAACAATTGATTTCCAAGTTAAAAAGGGCAATACATTACACAAAATTTAGCATTTACGGGTAAAAAAATTTACTGGCAAAAATGGTCATGAAAGGGTTTTAAAAATTTTGTGTACCATTTCTTGCTATTACAAACACTTGTTACTTCAGATCACTGTACCTTTCTTTGGAGTCTATGTATCACGCAGTTGACTGGCTTATACAGTTTATAATAATGCAAATAAATTTCTCAAATTCAACAGGCTTTATCTACTGTGTAGAATTGAAGCGTGCATAAATAACAATGTTTTCATACATCATAGACAGTTACCTACGTGTTTGCATAAAATTTATTATTGTGTTTTGTTATTTTATAGCATATTCCTCAATCCAAATGTCAATACATCAAAAAATAGAAGAATTACAATGCAATGATGATGACTTTATGAATTACTTTTTATTGAGCAGTGTTTGCAAAGCTATTTATGGCCTGACATAACCTTTTATTACTCCATTGGCGCATGTTTTGCAAAAGCGTCTTTGAAAACATTTTTAATTTACTGGATTTTCTTATTAACTTGTCATCAAAAACAATTAGCATCATGAATTACTTTTTATTGAGCAGCATTTGCAAAGCTATTTATTGCCTGACATAACCTTTTTTTACTTCACAGGCGCCTGTTTCCAAAAAGCTTCTTTGAAAACATTTTTAAATTTCTGAATTTTCTTATTAACATGTCATCAAAAACAATTAGCACCACCCCTCATATTTCTCTCATTAAGTCTATATTCTCATGTATCTCCTGCCAGCAACATGTATAAATGATAATTCTTCATGTACTTACATTGCGTAGTAAGTGCCGATTCTCCTTCCTCTTCGAGACGTAGAGCTCGGTCAAGTGCCAGGTGGAGAGGTGTGTTCATGCTGCTATCCTGTACTATACAATACACACCCTCGGATATCAGGTACCTGAAAAATATATATAGAATATTCAAGTTTTTTCTATAATAAATCATAGATTTTAATTTCAACAAGTGAGATTAAAATAAATATTTCATGAGTGGCGGTAGCCACGAGTGAAAGATTATAAATTTCATACCACTAGATGAAAATAAATCCTGTATTTATAGAAAAAAATAAATCCTGTATTTATAGAAAATAACTTGAATTTTCTGTTTATTATACACATTTTTTTCTTATTTGGCATTATAAATTCAAAGACTTCCCCTTTGTGTATAGGCTGAATGAAAAAGAAAATAGTTCAACAAGACACCAGTGAAAATAGGGAAAATATGTTTCACTGCAGTGAAAAATAAATTTTTACAGTGAAGATAAAGAAAATGAAAATATGCATTTTATTTCATCAATATTTTATTGAAAAGTATATAATAAATCCCTTATAGATTTTTGATATACACACTTGTACTTTGAAGCAGCTTTCATACAGGTGTCTTAGAAAAAACAACCATAATTATTAGATTTGCACAATTCAATGTTTTAATTTTAAAGGAAAGTGTTCAACAATTTTTTAAAATATTTCATTTTCAAGACAAATTCTAGGCTAATTAGGTATCAAACAAAACTCATTTGTTTAATTTATAAAATGAACCACCTAGAATATAACCATATTAAGGAAAAACTTTAACCAGGAATTTTCTGAGTTCTTCAAGTATGTAAATATAACATGAGCTTTCAACAAGACTCTCAGTACTTAAAATAGTGAAGGGACATAACTCTTTAAAATGGTTACTAAGAGTTATGCAACCTGCACCAATCATGTTAATTAATCACAGAAAAAACCCCAATTAATTCCCTTCAGTAGTTTTAGAGATACCATAATGCAGGCAACACTGACACTAGGTGAGTACAATAACTCTTGATCCTTTTCTACAAATAACTGAGCTAAAAAACAACCTTCAACAACTTTTTGTCAAAGATTTCATTTTCTTCACCTAGAAATTCATTTAGATGAGTACTTAAAAAATGAAAAAAAAATGCTCACTTCATTGTTGCACCAGATCCATATTTACAGCAGTAATGTAGGAGATTTCTTCCCTTGTTCAAAGTTACGTCACACAACTGTATGTGATGTTTCTTTACATATGTCCTCAATCTACGTGGCCTGTCCTCCTCAATGTACCTCTTCATCTTCGATACTGATTTACTAGAACTCATTCCACTAAAACAAGGTCACCTGAAACATGTAAATTCATTGATATAAAACAAGACTGAAGAACTGCTTGCAAGACTGGGTGCTCGACTATTGTCAATGCTTGATAGTAAAACAAGAGCCTATACTATATAATGAAGGAATAAACAAAGAGGAAGATTTTACTTTTAATATTTCACATATATATGACTCTTGGATTTTGACAATTTTAACACAATTTTAATTTAATCCACAAAAAAGACATATTTCATTCCAAATTCAAGCCATAGTTACCATATCAGGGCTTTTTTCCTTCTATAGCAGGGGCCATTATAGGGCTGTTTCCCATAAGAAAAATTATTTAAAATCATGCAGTTTATTTACATCAAGTTTTTTCTTCCCCATTTGCAAATATACCGTGTAATTTTACCCCCAAATTCAGGGCAGGGCTACTCCCTTACCTGTGAAAAAAAGCCCTGCATATGAGGTCTTGGAAAATTACCTTTACTTATAATGCAAAAAAAAGTGAATATACTATATAGATCAGAAGTTTTGAAGATTTAATATTGTACGTCATACAACTTAAACCAAAAAATTTCTAAGTAAAAAAAATTATTTTTTTTAATTCAAAAAAGCCAAAATCATAGAGTTCGATATTACACTCCATTTGGTGAAGTCCACAGAACTATGTACAGATAGTACCGGAGAACAGCGTTTAGCTAGGTTTTCCAATTCTTGAATGGTTTTGCAAGCAAAAACTTAAACAGGAATTTTCTAATTTCACAAAGGGCCTAAGACCCTGCTTGGATGTTAGCACTGCAGTAGCCCGGACTAGATTTCATTTCATTCTGTCAAAGTCGCACGATAGCTCAATTTAAGAGTCCTGTCTACATCCCCACGAGGGGTGTGATATTAACAGAAGATAGATAATATATAGATATAAGATAATAATTAGGCTACTGGTAGACTTAAAAATCTGTCCTCAGCTGTATGATTTTACCCAATATTCCGATATACTTGTCTGCAAGACCAACCGATACTACAATCAATAGCACAATATCAAAAGTGTGCCGAGTTGGTATAGGGCCGAGTTGACTCTTTGCCAAATATTTCTTATAAGGCCAAATAAAAAAATATGTTCCCTGAACAAGACATATCCCCGTACTGCCATTTTCCGATCAGCTAACAGATTTTTCTACAATTACTGATAGTGAAATTATAAAAAAGAAATTTCTCTTACATTTCTGTAAATATCATCATTTCAGCTAATAAATGCAAAACTTTTTAAAATTTTACCTGAATTATTATTAAGTATCGAAGACAAACCATTACTGATCCATTTTCCTGTTCTTCAAAATTTCACTGCCACTTTTCAATCAGTTAGCAAAATATATACTGTCCCTCATAAAAAATGTCATACAATGTTAAAATATAACCAGTTATGAATCTTTAAGAAATTTTTACAAACTCAACTTCAGATTAATGATAATTAACAATTTTAACCTATTTATAATGCTATTTTTCATAAAATTTCAATCTTGATACCTATTTGCAGTAGTAAAGCTCTCACAATTGGGGTATATGGATGCATGTACATCTCAATTTGCATAACAGAAAAAGCATGTTCTTGTGAAAATATTTTGATCTTAGTGAGTATAAGTGACAGCATGGAGAGAATGTTTTTCCTTGGTTAAGTGACTGTTACTTTACTGACGTATTACCTTAATTAAGAATTATGCGGTAAAATATGAACATTTCACTATCAGGTCTAGGATTTCATGATATTTACGGACAGTCTGTAAATTTTTGGACGATCCATAATTTTACAGATTTTCTTATCTGTAAATTTACAGACATTTAGTAAGAAAATAGTAGAGGCTGCATTAAAATTTAAAACCGCAGGTTAAAATGAATAAGGTTAGGTATTATATGATTAAATGTAGCAGTATGTTAAGATTCAGAACAGTTAGATGACTTTCAATTTTCATTTTTTACAAAAATTTCAAAATCATCATTCAAAGATGAAACTCACCCCATTACCTCTGTAAATTTATATAAACAATCAATAAAACAACTTGTCTAAAGTTGCGGATTTTATTGTAAAACTAAAAACAGCAAATTTCAATTGAATATCTGTAAATTTATGGATTGAAAAATCTTTAAATTTCTAGACTGTCTATAAATTAACGGACAGTCCATAAATATCATGAAATCCTAGACCTGATTATATAGCTTTTGAAGTGCAGTATACATTATGACTAATGAAAGTGAAACAGTTGTCCAACTTAATATCCATTTCTGCAGACTGACAAAAAACTGAGTCTGTATCACAAATATTTTTTAGAAAATTAATGCGATTTGTAACTGGGTAAATTAAGGATTAGTTGAAAATGTTTATTTTACATATTTTGAACTAATTATAAATTACTGGTATTTTGTTTTTATCACCATAAGCACAGGAACTTGAAATTCTATCACTATTAACGATAATATGCAAAATATACCCCTATTTTTATAGTATATAGGGGGTATATTTGGATATTATAATTAATATTGGTTATTTGATAGAATTTCAAGTTCCTGTGCCATTAGTGACATTGTTGCAGTGATAAATATAGTCAAGGTAAACACAAGATGTGCTTACAGTTTGGTTACATGACAAATAAGGTCAAAAGTAAAGAATTTCTAGGGATGATTGAAAAGTGGTTGTGATTGAAGACTGGCTATGTGGGTATTTTTTATTTTGGCCTAAAACTTGAATATTTAAGTTTCTATATCAAAATCACTGATCACTTCTAGAGTTAGGATTTTAAAATATGGATCTTCTTAAAATGCACCAAAATAAACTATAAACGGACACAAGTTACATTGATGAGTAAATGTCTGTCTGTCTATATTTTTCGCCTTTTTGATTTTGTCTGCTAGCTAGACGTTTGCATGGATAAACACCGTGAGTATCCGAAATAACTCAAACTAAAACCTTCGTTTTGATTGGTTACTTGACAGGCAGTGATTTCAGCTAAACCAATCAATAGTGTTCTTATAACTTTGGGATTTATTTAGCAAACATGGCTGCCAAATCGACGAAAATTTCGTTATCGGGAAAAAATTTGATCTTTTTACTTTGTTTGTGTCTTGTTCAAGGACGAAAACACCATCTTGATATAAAGGTATTAACACATTTGTTGAAGACTCACGATTTTTTTTTGTTATTGTAAAATGAAGAAATGTTACGCGTCAGCGACAAAATGGGTTTGGTCAAAATTATCGCCCAAAATTATCGGTCAAAAGCCAAAAAGGCAAAATTATTTTTGAACCTTGAAATCTAGGCCTAACAAATAATTTTTCTGAAATTTAACAAGCCCTCTTGATGACGTAAGCAGATATTTTGTTTATTTTTCCTATAAAATAACAAGCAGAAAAGAACTATTTATAGACATTGATTTATAACATGACGAGTTGATCAGAAGTATGAGGGACGAGTTGAGACTTTGAGGACAAGATGACCAAAAGTAGGGGACTAGTTGATCAAAAAGGTGACAAGTTGACCAAGTGACAAGTTGGCCACGGGACGAGTTGACTGGATTGCTAGTCCAATATATAAGACGTTACAGGCTTGTTATAGTTTATGTCGGTCAAGCCTGACGTCTAATAGTCATTGCTCAAAAACGCATAGCATCATAAAAAAATTTAAAAAATGTCTATTGCCTGCTAGTCATATATAATCAGAATTGATTGTTAAGCAGTATGATGTAGATGTAGATGTTATCTTGCCTTTCAAGCTTTATTCAAAAGCTTATCTTCTTTTCTTTCAATTTCATACTTAATCATACAAAAAAACTCTCAAACAATGTACTTATCAATTTAAAATAAAATATAAACAATCTATTTTTGTCAATCAGCCATACTGGTTAAGCAAGGTGCTTTACAGATTGATTCCAAATTTTTGAACAGAAAAATATGTTCGAACACACTGACGGTGCATGGGCAATTATTTCGTTAAAAAAATATTCTGTTAGAATGTTCTGACTCAGTTAAACGCTTGCATTTGAATTAGCCAATCAGATTTCGCACACTGTGTGGGCGCCATTTGTTTATTGGCTGTAAAAGGAATTTAAATACATGAGAGGATTTAATCATGATTTTTCGGATGTGACAGTTTCATTATTTTGACAAAAGGTATTTATTTTTTAGTTTTGTTCATAAATAGGTCAAAACTAATGTAAATACACGCTGTCTTAATTGTTTTTCGTTCCGCCCGATTTTCTGGTGGAACATGCTATGGGTTTTTGAGCAATTTCGATATGACGTTGCTTTGCCCAGAAGCAAATATATCTCAAAGCGACGTCTGACATATTTATTATTAATTATAGGACTAACCGGATTGGTTTTAGGTTGACTATTTGCAGAATACTTAAACTAATGCAGTCATCCATTTGTTGGCATCCCTGTGGTTAAGTTTTTATGTTTGAGCTGGTACCCTAAAATTACTGAAGGGAATGGATTGAAATTTCACACACTTGTTCTCTGTGATTATCTAACTTGGGCATAACTCTGTCAGAGTTACCTTTTTACAGTGTAATGTCAATTTCTTTACAGTCAACCACTGAGAATAGTCATAACTCATAAGTCCCATAACTCTTATTTGCTTTTTTGTGTATTTATGCCCCTTGGTTGACTTAAAAAATTCTTGGTTAAGTTTTTGCGTGTAAGCTGGTATCTCCATAACTAAAGAAGGGAGTTGATTGAAACCTCACAGGCTTCTTCTCTATATTTATCTAACAATATTAGCTCAAGTCCCATAACTCTGATTTCCCTTTTTGCATATTAATGCCCCTTTTTTGACTTAGAAAGTATTGGTAACGTTTTTGCGTATAATAGAAATTATTGGTTAAGTTTTTGCGTATATCTCCAAAACTACTGAAGGGAATAGATTGAAACTTCAGATGCTTCTTCTCTTTGATTATCTAACATGATTAGTACAAGTACCATAACTCTGATTTGGTTTTTTGCGTAATTAAGCCCCTTTTTAACTTAGAACTTATTGGTTAAGTTTCTTGTGTGTAAGCTAGTATCTCATACAACAGTTCTGAAGGGTTTGTGCCTTTTTTGTGACAATTTTCTGCTTTCATAAATAATACAGCAGTGATTTACTCGATAAGATATTTCTATGTATCAGGTCACTATCTAGACATGTGATGTTTCAGAATAAAAGTAAAAAAGTCACTGTAATGCAAAGAAAAATATATGTTTACAGCTGTAAGTTGGTACTCATTGTAATATTTACTTCTCCCTATTTATTATTTGTCTTATATGTTTGTTTTAATTTGACTTTTTTTTTATATTTCATATAGACTGATGACAGAAGGCAGTATACACTAAGCAGTTTTGGATTCTTGAAACATGGGACACTTACTGTCAATGTTACAAACTTTGTCTTCCCACAAGCCGCTGCGAGGGTTAACAACAGAACAGTATGATCGTTAAATATAATTTCTCATAATTCGTTTTTTAAAGTATCATGCCGTAAGATTATAAAATGCTTTTTTTCATGAAAATTTTAAAAATGTTCTTAGCAGTAAAATGTTGTGAAGGGAACATTTTAAGAAATAGATTTACATATTGGCAGTTTGCAAATGGCACTTACAATCCATTTAAATTACCAAGAAGAGGTCAAAATATGCACATTTAGCATGAACTACTTTCAGTGTTCGAAATTAGCAGTAGTCCGATAGCCCCTGACTACTAAATTTCTCCTCGGGCTACCATCTTTTCACAGTAATAAGCCCGACCAGGCTACTGTATTTTCAGAGGCAATATAAACAACTGTTTTGAACAAATGAATCGTGCTAGTGAAATGTCTTTTGGGCTATTGAATATTCCAATCTGGTAGTCCGACCAGCCTAGTCGATTCAAATCCTAATTTCTTACACTGAAAGTTACTTTGGTCACAAAGTTTGTTTGTTTGATTGGGTTTTATGTCACACCAACACAGTATAGGTTTTTTGGCAACATTCCAGCTTTACTGGTGGAAGACCTCAGGTGCCCTTCCGTGCATTATTTCAGGCACGAATGGGCACCTGAGAAGAACCACAAATTATCCGTAAGCTAGCTGGGTAGCAAAGTCCCTGTGCGGATTCGAACCCACAGCGGTGAGGGGGCAAGTGGTTTGAAGCCAACGAGTCACTACCTTAAACACTCGGCCACAGACGCCCTAGTCACGAAGTAGAAATATGGTAATTATACTAATATATACTGCAAAATTTGTCATTAATCGCACATAACATGTAAAATAACACTTGAATCATTTTACTTTTTTAAAAAAAATAGTACATTTTTTTATGATTAATTTTTTAGTAATATTTTTTCTCATCTTGCCCGCATGCAGCTTTAATGTTTGCTCAGCTTGCTGACATGCAGCTTTAATGTTTGCCATCTTGCCCACATGCAGCTTTAATGTTTGCTCATCTTGCCGACATGCAGCTTTAATGTTTGCTCATCTTGCCGACATGCAAGTTTAATGTTTGCTCATCTTGCCGACATGCAAGTTTAATGTTTGCTCATCTTGTCGACATGCAAGTTTAATGTTTGCTCACCTTGCCGACATGCAGCTGTAATGTTCTCTCATCTTGCCTGCATACAGCTTTAATGTTTGCTCATCTTGCCGACATGCAGCTTTACTTTTGCTCATCTTGGCGACATGCAGCTTTAATGTTTGCTCACCTTGCCGGCATGCAGCTTTAATGTTTGCTCATCTTGCCGGCATGCAGCTTTAATGTTTGCTTATCTTGCCGACATGCAGCTTTAATGTTTGCTCATCTTGCCGGCATGCAGCTTTAATGTTTGCTCATCTTGCCGGCATGCAGCTTTAATGTTTGCTCACCTTGCCGGCATGCAGCTTTAATGTTTTGCTCACCTTGCGGCATGCAGCTTTAATGTTTGCTTTTCTTGCTGATATGCAGCTTTAATGTTTGCTCATCTTGCCGACATGCAGCTTTAATGTTTGCTCATCTTGCCGACATGCAGCTTTAATGTTTGCTCATCTTGCCGACATGCAGCTTTAATGTTTGCTCATCTTGCCGGCATGCAGCTTTAATGTTTGCTCACCTTGCCGGCATGCAGCTTTAATGTTTGCTCATCTTGCCGACATGCAGCTTTAATGTTTGCTCACCTTGCCGGCATGCAGCTTTAATGTTTGCTTTTCTTGCCGATATGCAGCTTTAATGTTTGCTCACCTTGCCGACATGCAGCTTTAATGTTTGCTCATCTTGCCGACATGCAGCTTTAATGTTTGCTCATCTTGCCGGCATGCAGCTTTAATGTTTGCTCACCTTGCTGGCATGCAGCTTTAATGTTTACTCATCTTGCCGACATGCAGCTTTAATGTTTGCTTATCTTGCCGGCATGCAGCTTTAATGTTTGCTCACCTTGCCAGCATGCAGCTTTAATGTTTGCTCATCTTGCCGACATGCAGCTTTAATGTTTGCTCATCTTGCCGGCATGCAGCTTTAATGTTTGCTCATCTTGCCGACATGCAGCTTTAATGTTTGCTCATCTTGCCAACATGCAGCTTTAATGTTTGCTCATCTTGCCGACATGCAGCTTTAATGTTTGCTTATCTTGCAGACATGCAGCTTTAATGTTTGCTTATCTTGCCGACATGCAGCTTTAATGTTTGCTTATCTTGCCGGCATGCAGCTTTAATGTTTGCTTTTCTTGCGGACATGCAGCTTTAATGTTTGCTTTTCTTGCCGATATGCAGCTTTAATGTTTGCTCATCTTGCTGGCATGCAGCTTTAATGTTTGCTTATCTTGCTGGCATGCAGCTTTAATGTTTGCTCATCTTGCCGACATGCAGCTTTAATGTTTGCTCATCTTGCTGACATGCAGCTTTAATGTTTGCTCATCTTGCAGACATGCAGCTTTAATGTTTGCTCATCTTGCAGACATGCAGCTTTAATGTTTGCTTATCTTGCCGGCATGCAGCTTTAATGAAGACTGGTGCTAGAGGGATACAGCTTTAATGTTTAAGCAGAATTCAGTCTTTCAAATATAAATCCAACAGAAAAAAATGATTTATAAAGTATTTATGTTGTGACTTAATCAAGGCATTATTATTTTATCTTTTACAGTTTGGTTTTACAATAGATGTAAGCAGTAACACAGGTTCTAGCGGATATATGGTAAACTTATTTTAACGTTATTAGTGCTAAAATTTAACACTTGGTCACTTGTAAAATAGGATTTAAAGCAGACTTGTAAAATCAGACTCAAATAGGAAGAAAAATCATTGCAAGTAAAGATGAAATAATATTTCTATAATTTAATGATTTGTTTTGTTTAATTAAAGAACTAAAGGCACACTAAAGAGTTAAAATCTAGGCTAGATAGGATTAAACAAATTACTCCATTGAAGTTGTAGTGTTCCCATTGACAATTTGAAATCTTGTGAAAAAATTGTCTTACTTTTTTTTCTCTATGTTATATGGCCTAATAAGCATGTATATGGCCTAATACATGTATGTATAAAGATGTTTTACAGATTATATGACCTTATAAATATGGTTGTTTATATAAAACCAGATAATTTGTCAAGAATTTTTATAAGGAATATATGATAAAGCAAACATTTGAGTAAAAAAATGCAATTACATATAAAGATTAAATTAAGAATAGAGGTGTATATAGTTTATATTATGATTATCCACTGAAAAGCAGTGTTACAAATATGCAGTATTATAAAGTAGATTTGAGCATGACATTTTAGTGAAGTTTGAACTAACACTGAACTTTTCCTTGATAAAATAGAAAAAAATTGTATTCTTAAAGAACACCCATAATAACAAAATTGAAAATATTGCACACTCAGTTTGATTTAAAAGCAGGCACTATTTATACAATTATTATGTACGAAAACTGGAAAGTCAAAACTGGGCATTTTTTTGTAATAAGTATTATTGTTAAATGGCTGATACATAATATTAAGTTTTGTCGATCCGGTTATGTTGAATGTTATTAATATTACAGGAAGACTATAAAGATGATTGTATTTTGAGAACCAATGATGACCAGCCTATCATCTTCTTCAGAATGGACTTTCAAACCAATAAGTATGTGTTTTTTTTATTAGCTTGACTATTCAAAGATTAAGTCAAGGAGAGTGATTGCACTCACTTTGGTGTCGATGTCAAACGTTGGTTAAATTTTTTTGGCACGCAAGTTGGTATCTGCAAAACTTCTGAAGGGAATGGGTTGAAACTTCACACACTTGTTCTCTGTGATAAACTCGCATAATGGGCACAGGTCCCATTACTCCAGTTACCTTTTTAATTGAGTTATGCCCCTTTTCTTACTGTCAAAGCAAAGAAGAGTCAAGCTTGCTGTCTAACGGACACCACTTGTTTTGTATTGTTTAGCCAAAAGCTTTGTAGTTGCATCAAAGTTTCATTCAGATGCATTGTTAACAGTATCATTATAAGTGTAGTGGGGTTTCATATAGCCATGCCCCTTTTGCGACTCTGAAAAAATTGTATTGCATCGCTATGCATATTTTAATGTGGCCTTATTTGTGTTAAACAAACATATTGTAAAGACATGCTTAAATGGTACTATACACTGACTGCCTCAGTGAAAAAAAAAGATTGTTTTACTGTAAACATTTCTTTTTTTTTTTGTATGCTTTAAATAGAATATTATATTTTTGAAGCTTTATTACAAAAGTTATTTAACAATAGAATAATATTCTTGCCAGAGGCTAGCACAATATAATTGTTTTTCAAGTCATTTAATATATTCATTATTGAACCATCACTAATTCAGTAACCTCTGTGTTGTGTATAACTCTATTACTCATTTGTCAAGATTTTTTACTAATAAACGCTGCCTAGAAACCTTATCTAAACATGCCAAGCTCTATATCTTATCAGTTAATAAATGATAGTTCAGCATTATAGAGATTTTAAGAAAACTTAACACTCTATTTCTCAAATATGATTGTTATATTTATTTCATTCATATCTAATGCTGCATGAAATTAATATATTGAATAAATAAAGATTTTTTTTTTCATTCTGCAATGAAGGTTGTTGATTGAAAGGAGAGGTAAGGAGTTACAGAACATCATTATTAGTAATCAGACTATCGAAGCCTTCTGGAAAACACACAATATGGCTCGTAGAGAGGCGCAGAAATCCATACCTTCTGCTCTAAGCGATACCTACCTCTTTAATGGCCGAACTTCTGGTGCGAGAGAAAGGAGGGAAGTCCTGAATCCTGAACCTGTACCAAAAGCAAACCAGTTAGACGTTAAAGGTATGTTTATGTCCCCTTTTAGGGGGTGGGGGGGGACAGGGGGCATGCAAAACTGTCTTTGTCCGTCCGTCTTACTCTGCATCCGTAGACTGATAAACCAGTGGAAAATGGACGCGTCTCTGTCCTATAGACTAATAATAGACACATTCTAGTTTTAACTATATTTAATTATTTATGAATATTGAATTGTTGTTGTTTGTTTGTTTGTTTTCTTCCAAAAAAAAAATGGTATATGTATTTCTTGCACAGAAGAATTACTCATAAAAATGGGTCAGTTATTATAGTAATTATATGGTGAATATCTGTACCAACATTTGTTTTCTGTTTAATTCTTTTTGTACAAGGGCATTATTATAGTAATTTATTTACAGACTATTTATTATGATACATATTCATTATATTAAAGCAAATTTAATTAATTAAGTCTTCTTGTAAGCTTATGTGGTATGATTCATAATGATCGCTGTGGCGTCATTGTGGTGGATGTTGTTGTCATGCAAAGGCCTTAATGTGCCCATTAATTTTTCAAACAATATTGTCAGTGTGCATGTGTTAGACAAAGGGGGCATAATTTTGAAATCCACTTTTGGAGTTATGCCCCTTTTTACCTTAGAATTTTTGTCCAAGTAGTTATTTTAAGCAGACAAACGTTAACATATCTCTTGTGTAAAATTATAATGCAAAGAGCTTAGAATTATTTCTTAATAAATATCTGCAAATATTAAAAAAATGCAGCTTGGATAAAAAATGACAAAACACAATGTGACATCATTAAATGTAACATTGGAAAACTTAAAGATTATAACATTTTCTAGCAAAATATCACAGATGAGCTGGACAAGTCTTATTCAAGCATTATATAGCATGTTAGGGGTTAATTGATTGTGTGCCTCTGTCCCCCTGACATGTCTTCTCTAATCTGGCATCCTATAAGATTATTTTTATCTTCTTACAGATAACACAACCACTGCTGCATCAGACAGCACTACTGTTGCCAAGGTGACCACACCAGTGCCAGCAAAGACAAAGAAGCCAGCGTCCGTACCTTCACCAATCATCAATGAGTTACCAATGGGACAGAATAAAGAAATCTATTCATTCTATGTAAGTCTCCATATCTTTACAGTGAATACTAAAACCTTCTGCTATCTAACAGACAACTTTAAAAAGTTCCCAATTAAAAAAAAAAAATCATAAGTTATTAATTAGGAATTTTAACCTTACCCTTGCTGGTGACACAAACTGAATCTACCCATGCAGCCAGTGCAGACCAAAACTAGCTGGCGCATCTGTCTGATCATGGTCTGCACTGGCTAAAGCTCCCTGGCGAGAGACTATAATTATATTCGCTGCTTTGTTCATCCGTCCAGCAGTCACTTTTCTAAAATTTATTTAAACCATTGTGGCTGAGGTGTTGCCTTTAAATTGTTGAGGCATAAGAATTGCAGCCACTGTTTATCCCAGCATGATCATCAAAGAAGACTAAATGGGTTTGAATAACTGGAGTCTATGCATCTCTTAGCTACAGCAGGTGAGGTGGTTTTGACCCCTGTTGATGCTATAAATTTGTAACATCTGAGGATAGGTAAAATCATCTTCCCTGTTTCGACAACATATGACTAAAATTGTGTTGGTACACTGTAAAACCAAACAAAATAAACAAAACCATGTAAAATTTACATGTTTTATGCCCCCCCACCATAAAATGGCTGGGGCATATAGTATTACTCTGTTCTGTCATTCCATCATCATCAGTTTCCGTTCATTATCTTGGTAATGGTTGCACACATTCAACGCAAATTTGACATAATGGATATGTCATAGGAAAATGCACAGGTCAAGTTCGTATTTTGGTTATGGTTCAATGATTTTTTTGTCAGAGATATGCCCCCTTACTTTGAGATAAAGGAAATTTTCAGTGTTTGTCCATTTTCTCCCCAACAGTTGTACATGTTCAACTCATATTTAAGATATGGATATATCATAGTAATACACTGGTCAAGTTCAAATTTCGTCATGTTTTGTTGATTTCGGAGTTATTCCTCTTGAAGTTTGAAAAAAAAGAAATTTTTAGTTTCCGTTCATAATCTCCCCAACAGTTGTACACATTCAACTCAAATTTCATATATCGATATGTCAGGAATGCGCAGGCCAAGTTTGAATTTGGTCATGGTTCAATGATTTTTGTCAGAGATATAATTATATGCCCCTTTAACTTTGAAAAAAGGAAATTTTCAGTTTCTGTTCATTATCTTCCTGACAGTTGTCATAGTAATCAACTCATATTTAACATATGGATATATCATAGTAATACGCAGGTCAAGTTCAAATTTGGTCATGGTTTGATGATTTCTGACAAGAGTTATTCATCTTGAACTTTGAAAATTTTTTTTTTTAGTTTCCGTTCATTATCTTCCAAACAGTTGTGCACATGCAACTCAAATTTGACATAAATAGATATATCTCAGGAATAAGTTTGAATTTGGTCATGGATCGATGATGTTGGACAAAGTTTATCTCTCTTGAATGTTGGAAAAAACTTGAAATTTTCAGTTTCCGCAATCTTACTTTTGTTGAAGTATAAGGTTAAAATTGCATGTGCAAGTATTTAACCAGAACATACAAGGCGAGTTTGAATTTGGTTTTCGTCTGGTGATTTTGACAGAGTTATCCTTCTTGAACTGTTTCTGCTCTAACTTTTATAGGAATGTATGTCTGGTTGACATTGCATGTGCTGGTATTTTACTAGAAAATACAAGTAAAGTTCTAATTTGGTCATGGTCAGATGTTTTTTGACAGTTATTCCAGTGTTTCTGCCAGCTCTGATTTTCTGAGGGTCTTTTATGACCCCCTGTATGATATTTTAGGGGTCATTTCAAATTCATAAGGGTCATGCCAATAAATTTAACAAAAATGTAAAAAACAACAGGTAACACTTTATAAGTTTTATTTTCTAAGGCACTTTACTTCTTGCCAGAGAACATTTATGTACCATCATGTAGTCCAACTATATGTGAATAAAAATATTGTTAAATACTTGTTTTTGTGTTTAAATAGTTATTTTAATTTTTTTTGTCAATTTATTCACTTGTATAATATTATATCATCAACAAAATTACACCATTTATAATGGATTGTTTTTCTTTCGGGGAATAAGGGTCATTGTCAACATTTTTTTATATGATACTTCTTGTTGGTCATGGACAACAATAATTTGTGTATTTTTCGTAAAGAAATTGGTCAATCTCCGCTATTTTGGAGCAGGCCGCATTTTCCAGCAGACAGTTAATTCGTTCGCGGAATATGACGACAACAAAATAAATAATTTTGTCTGGGCGCTTTCAATATATGCAGTATCGTATAAATGCAAGCGTTTATTAACTAGTTGAAATTGGCTAAATGCCGGACCACGGACCCGGTAAATTTCATTTCTCATTAAAATTATAGTGGAGCCCACGGTAAACATTCCGTACATTTTTATACTGAATTGACGGTTTATAGTCTGTATATCTGACTCGTGTTGAAATCAGCGACGGTGAAATTCTTGCGTCACAAAATACGCACTAACTAAATTTCATTGCGTCATGGCGGAAAATATAGCGCCAAAAACGCGCTCTGGCAGAAACACTGTTATCCCCCTTGAACTTGGAAAAGATTTAAAAATTCACAATTCCTAATCATTATCTCGGCTACAAATATGCAATATGCAAAAGGTTAACACTGAATAGTTTGTATAAAAATGATTTATGTTAAATATAGAATAGTTTCAGGGCTTTGAACTTAGAATGAAAAACTGGTTTGTGCAAACAAACTGGAAATAAATATTATAACATTTGACATTTTGGCTGCATGCGGGGGCATTCATGGCGTTAAGACACATTTCTAGTATTTTCCTATACCTACTACAGTTTCTGCTGGCTGTGACAGACGAAGCACAGGAAGGCATGTACACCCTGAACTTTCACAACTGTGAGACCAAAAACAGTGAAAATACAGTCTCTTATTCAGTAAGTACTATAAATATTTGAGCCGTGTCACGACAAAACCAACATAGTGTGTTTGCGACCAGCATGGATCCAGACCAGCCTGCACATCCGCGCAGTCTTATCAGGATCCATGCTGTTCGTTTTACCAACCCCTTTACAAGTGGAGAAACTCTGATAGCGAACAGCATGGGTCCTGATCAGATTGCGCAGATGCGCAGGCTGGATGGATCCATGCTGGTCGCAAACGTGACACGGCTCGTATATGCTCCAGAAATTCATAGATTTGAAATAATAATTTCATGATCCTTTATGGATAGATTTTTGTTTGGGAATGAATGTTCATATAAGTCTTTGTGAAAAACTCTAAAATAGAACCCAATAAACAGTAAACAAATTTACAAAAATTACATTGATACTATAAATGAGTGATATTCAAGGTCAAATTTTCCAAATTCATGAAATTTCACTTCAACTTGAGTATAGTTGAATATTCCATGTGCACTTGGTGGTATTTAACCATTTATTGACTCTCATATCATGTTTCTATCTTTAATTATAGATTAAATTTAGGACTCTGTAGCATCATGTTTCTATACATTCAGATTGACATTAGATACTTTATCCCATAAACTGTGGCGCTTTGACGTGACGTCATTTGCGCTATATATAAACATAGCGTTAAAGCGTGCATTGTTAGCGTTACGTTAAGAGTCAATGAAAGATTACTCTTTTTATCTGTAAATGGTTCTAATTTTGAATATGTGATAAATAGAATATTGCATTTGTGTAGATTCAATACTTAATTTATTGAACTAGTTGAATAAAATAATATAATGCTCGCCAGAGGCTCACGTAATATTATGTTATTCAACTCGTTCAATAAATTTAGTATTTAACCTACACTTATTCAATATCCTCTATTTATGATACTGTTTCTATAATTTCAGATTGACATTGTAGAGGTGAACGAGAACGGTAACTATCTGTCTGCCAGTGTGATGCCGTTACCGACACTTTACTTTGCTCTCAGTTTATTCTATGTTGTCATGGCAATAGTGTGGAACACAGTGTTGTGTAAATCTGATGATACCGTTTATAAGATGCACTATCTGATGTTGGTCGTGGTGTTTGTGAAGAGTTTATCATGCTTGTTCCATGCTGTGAGTATCATACTTTATACATAATAATGATAATAATGATTATGATGATAATGATGATGATGATGATGATAATAATAATGATAATAATGACAATGGTAATAAAAATGATGATGATGATAATAATGATCATCATGATAATAATTATAATGATGATGATAATAATAATAATACAGGGCTCGACATTAACGGTTGTCCGACTGCCCGGGACAACTAAAAGTTTGGTCCGGGCAAGTTATTTTGAAAAGCACTTGTCCGACAGGGCAAGTGAAAATAAAAAGCATCATTGACAAAATGCATGTACAAAATGAATAGAAATAACATCTTTTCATTTATAAACATCTTTAAAACAAAAATACACCATGAATTATTATCAATAATGTGAATATACTACGGTCATGTACATTTGTTGATATCGGAAACGGAAGCAAAAATATTAGCATGCGCCGCGGTAAGGTAATTCTCTGTTCTAATAATAGACTATATCTAATTTTGTACAAGGTAATTCCCGGGTTATGCTGTTGTTTAAATTTTGATGTTTGCATGTAAAGATATCATTGAAAATATGTAGATAATCATATTGATCTTTAAATATAATTGTTAAATAAAGTTTTTGCATTAAAAATGATTTATTGTTTAATCTAATATAACAACATTATGAACTTAGTAAACGAAGACTCGTTTACGGCTGTTGACTTGATGATTGAACGGGGAATTTCCTTACCGCGGCGCATGCTCATATTTTTCCTTCCGTTTCCTATATCAACAAATGTACATGACCGTAGTATATTCACATTGAATAAACAGATGAACCGATGTTTTAGAAAAACTACTAAATACAAAAAATATTTATGAGCTTGTTTGTTTTTCTGATTTATACATTTTTACCATTTTTAGGTCAGGACAAGTAAGTCTTAGGTCACGGGCAAGTAGTTTTAAAAACTACTTGCCCGACAGGACAACCTGATTCAAAAGTTAATGTCTAGGCCTGTAATAATGATGATGATAATAATAATGATCATCATGATAATAATTATAATGTTGATGATGATAATAATGATGATGATAATGATAATAATGATGATGATAATGATAATAATGATGATGATGATAATAATGATGATGATAATGATAATAATAATGATGATGATGATAATAATAATGATCATCATGATAATAATTATAATGATGATGATAATAAGGAGATGATGGTGATGATAATAATAATAATGATGATGATAATAATAATGATCATCATGATAATAATTATAATGATGATAATAATGATCATCATGATAATAATTATAATGATGATGATGGGAATAATGATCATCATGATAATAATTATAATGATGATGATGATAATAATGATCATCATGATAATAATTATAATGATGATGATGATGATGATAATAATAGTCATCATGACAATAATAATTATAATGATGATGATAATAATAATGATGATGATGATGATAATGATAATAATAATAAAAAGGATGATAACATTATTATATATAATAATAATAATATTAATAATGATAACAATAATAATAACTTTGTTTACAGAAGGTACATATTAAGACATATACAGATTTTAACACCTTATTTACAATGTTGCCTTCTAAATTATAAAAAAAAAAACAAATACAAAATTGACATGTTTGTATGATAACTGTGTTTGTTTATGAAATAATGGACAGACACGCACCATTGGTCTTCCTCAACCAATAAGTAGCTAAGTGGTAATTGACTTAAAACACTTGCCCCATCACTGTTTTGAGTTTTAATCCCACAAGGGATTGGATTTTTTTATGTTATGAAATTATCCGGGTTGCTTAGGGAAGGTTGGTGTTCTTACTAAATGGTGGACGAATTCTCCCAAAGTAAAAAACCCTTTAAACGGGTTTGGTACCGGGAAAAACCCCAACAAAAAAAAAAAACAAACATTTAAAACGGGTTTTTCTGATTATTTTAAAAATATGACCAAAACCCTTTTTTAGTTTTGGGTAAAAAAATTTTCTTTTCAATAATCATAAATGAAAAAACATTTTTTCTGCAAAAGCACCCTGGCTTTTTCCCGTGGGGAAATTTTTCTCTGGAATGGGGGTTCCAGTATTGAGTCGCGGGGGGCCTTTTAAACAATGTTTTTTTAGCGTTTTTAAAATTTAATAAAAACTGTTTTTAAACTGACGTCTTTTAAAGGGGGGAAAATTAATTTTGCTTGGGAAAAGACGCATTTCCCCCTTTGGGTTTAAATTATACGTTTTAATTTAGTAAAGAGTTTATTGATAAAACCCATTTTTAATTTCCGGGGAAACACCCAAGTTTGTTAGGGGGATCCCCTTGGGAGGGGGTATTTTAATCTGAAACCCCAAACTTATGACAGATTTTTTTTTAAACCAAAATTGAATTTTAAAAAAATTTTTACGAAAATTGGTGGTTGTTTTTTTTTCCAGTTTAAACAAACCAAATTTTTTTCCCAAAAGGCGGTTTTTTCTTTGAAGATTTGGGGGGGCCCAATTTAACTGCTTCACATTGCCTACCCGGGAAATTTTGTATTTATTGTTCATCTTTTAAAGGTTACTTTTGGTTAAAACTGAAAAGTCTATGTTGCCTAAAGTCTAAAATTTTGGTGGGTTTGAAAAAATGGGGGCCAGCTCAAAAATCTCTTTTTAAAGAAAACCAAAATGGGGCTTTTTACTCTGTGTTTGTTTTTATTTAAAAAAATTCAAAAAATTTAGGGGAGCAATTGCACTAAATTTCCGTATAAAGGGTTTTGCGGGCACTCTGTTTTAAATTTTTTTTGGAAAAATTTGGGTTTTCCCCAAAAACCGATGTGGGTTTGAAAATGAAATTTTTTAAACTTTTTTTTCCTTTTGTGTTTTTTATAATTTTGGGGTTTACAGGCCCAAAAATTTTCTGAGTTTACTTTTTTTTCCCCCAAAAGGGTTTGTTTGGGTTAGTTTTTCCCCGTCCTCCTTTTTTTTGGTCAATCCGTTTTAATCCATTAATTTTGTTTTCCCTTCATCCTCAAAATTTTTGGGGGGGATTCCCAGTGAAAACCTTAACGAGGGGATCAAGTCCATCCCTAGTTTTGTCCCAAATTTGGGCCATAAGTTTCCGCTTTGCTGCACAAAAATGGCGGACAAAAGCTATTAAAAAAGAAATATCTTTTTGGGGCTTTCACAGGTTAAAAAACTTGCTGGTTTGGAATTAAAATAAAAATTTTTCCCAGAAGTAAAATCAGTACCATCCCTAGTTGGGGCTATTACCCCTAAATTTCCATTTTGGTTTTTGAATTTTTTTAAAAGAATTTGAGGAGACTTGTTTTTTTAAAAAATCTTTGATTGGTTAATTTATTTTTTTTTCGGGGCCCAGGGGACCCTTTGTTTTTTTAAAAATCTTTTCTTTTTGGTCCCGGGTTTGGGCATTCTTTAAAAAATTTTGTACTGTCAGATAAGAAAAAGAACTTTTCCTTATTGTTTTTTCCCCCTAAAAAGGTAAATTTTTTTTAAAAATGTTTCTTACCTCTTTATCCCTTTTAGAAAGGGAAAGGGTATATAAATTTTATTAATTTTTTTATTTAAATGGCTTTTTTTCCCTTGATTTATTGAAAAAATTTTTTTATTCAAAATTTTAGAAAAATAACCGGGAAATTATTGTGAAGGAAAGGGGGAAAAAGGGGAATTTTTCACAGTTATACCAACATGGAAAAGGAGATTTTTATACTATAGATTTTTTATTTGAAGCGCTAATACTGTTGTTGGAGCAGATTGTACTAAACTTGTATTGGTGACAGTTTCATTTGTCCCTGGTAGGTACAAAATACTAGATTTGTTATGTTGTGGAGCTTACTGTTTCCAGTTTGTCTAAGGTAGCGCTACAGATAATACTAGATTGTTATGTTGTGGAGCTATACTGTTTCCAGTTGTCTGGTAGGTACAGCAATACTAGATTTGTTATGTTGTGGAGCTATACTGTTTCCAGTTGTCTGGCAGGTACAGCAATACTAGATTTGTTTATGTTGTGGAGCTATACTGTTTCCAGTTGTCTGGTGTTACAGATCAATACTAGATTTGTTATGTTGTGGAGCTATACTACTTTTTCCAGTTGTCTGGCAGGTAACAGAAATACTAGATTTGTTATGTTGTGGAGCTAAACTGTTTCAGTTGTCTGGCAGGTAAGAAATACTAGTTTTTATGTTGTGGAGGCTATACTGTTTCCAGTTGTCTGGTAGGTACAAGATATACTAGAATTTGTTATGTTGTGGGAGCTATACTATTTCCAGTTGTCTGGTAGGTACAGATATACTAGATTTGTTATGTTGTGGAGCTATACTGTTTCCAGTTGTTCTGGTAGGTACAGATATACTAGATTTTGTTATGGTTGTGGAGCTATATACTGTTTCCAGTTGTCTGGTACGTACAGAAATACTAGATTTTGTTATGTTGTGGAGCTAATACTGTTTCCAGTTGTCTGGTAGGTACAGATATACTAGATTTGTTATGTTGTGGAGGCTATACTGTTTCCAGTTGTCTGGTTAGGTACAGAAATACTTAGATTTGTTATGTTTTGTGGGAGCTATACTGTTTCCAGTTGTCTGGTAGGTAACAGATATACTAGATTTGTTATGTTGTGGAGCTATACTGTTTCCAGTTGTCTGGCAGGTGAGCAGCAATACTAGATTTGTTATGTTGTGGAGCTATACTGTTTCCAGTTGTCTGGCAGGTACAGATAATACTAGATTTGTTTATGTTGTGGAGCTATACTGTTTCTATTACTGTTTTGTTATTGTTGTGGAGCCAGTTGTCTGGCAGGTACAGAAATACTAGATTTGTTTATTTGTGGAGCTATACTGTTTCAGTTGTCCTGCGCAGGGGGGGGGGGTACAAATATACTAGTAGTTTGTTATGTTGTGGCAGCTATACTGTTTCCAGTTGTCTGGTAGGTACAGAAATACTAGATTTGTTATGTTGTGGAGCTATACTGTTTCCAGTTGTATGCCGTAGGTACAGATATAACTAGATTGTGTATGGTTGTTGAAGCTATTACTGTTTCCAGTTGTCTGGCAGGTACAGAAATACTAGATTTTGTTATGTTTGTGGAGCTATACTGTTTCCAGTTGTCTGGTAGTTACAGATATACTAGATTTGTTATGTTTGTGGAGCTATACTGTTTCCAGTTGTCTGGTAGGTACAGAAATACTAGATTTGTTATTGTTGTGGAGCTATACTGTTTTCCAGTTGTCTGGTAGGTACAGCCATATACTAGATTTGTTATGTTGTGGAGCTATACTGTTTCCAGTTGTCTGGCAGGTACAGCAATACTAGATTTTGTTATGTGTGGAGCTGTTTCCATGTTGTGTAGCATATACTAAGTTTCCAGTTGTCTGGCAGGTACAGATATACTAGATTGTTTGTATGTTTGTGGAGCTATACTGTTTTCCAGTTGTCTGGCAGGTACAGAAAATACTAGATTTGTTATGTTGTGGAGCTATACTGTTTCCAGTTGTCTGGCAGGTACAGAAATACTAGATTTGTTATGTTGTGGAGCTATACTGTTTCCAGTTGTCTGGCAGGTACAGAAATACTAGATTTGTTATGTTGTGGAGCTATACTATTTCCAGTTGTCTGGTAGGTACAGATATACTAGATTTGTTATGTGTTGAGCTATACTGTTTCCAGTTGTCTGGTAGGTACAGATATACTAGATTTGTTATGTTGTGGAGCTATACTGTTTCCAGTTGTCTGGTACGTACAGAAATACTAGATTTGTTATGTTGTGGAGCTATACTGTTTCCAGTTGTCTGGTAGGTACAGATATACTAGAATTTGTTATGTTGTGGAGCTCTATACTGTTTCCAGTTGTCTGGTACGTACAGAAATACTACATTTGTTATGTTGTGGAGCTATACTGTTTCCAGTTGTCTGGTAGGTACAGAAATACTACATTTGTTATGTTGTGGAGCTATACTGTTTCCAGTTGTCTGGTAGGTACAGAAATACTACATTTGTTATGTTGTGGAGCTATACTGTTTCCAGTTGTCTGGTAGGTACAGATATACTAGATTTGTTATGTTGTGGAGCTATACTGTTTCCAGTTGTCTGGTAGGTACAGAAATACTAGATTTGTTATGTTGTGGAGCTATACAATTTCCAGTTGTCTGGTAGGTACAGAAATACTAGATTTGTTATGTTGTGGAGCTATACTGTTTCCAGTTGTCTGGTAGGTACAGAAATACTAGATTTGTTATGTTGTGGAGCTATACTGTTTCCAGTTGTCTGGTAGGTACAGATATACTAGATTTGTTATGTTGTGGAGCTATACTATTTCCAGTTGTCTGGTAGGTACAGAAATACTAGATTTGTTATGTTGTGGAGCTATACTGTTTCCAGTTGTCTGGTAGGTACAGATATACTAGATTTGTTATGTTGTGGAGCTATACTGTTTCCAGTTGTCTGGTAGGTACAGATATACTAGATTTGTTATGTTGTGGAGCTATACTGTTTCCAGTTGTCTGGTAGGTACAGATATACTAGATTTGTTATGTTGTGGAGCTATACTGTTTCCAGTTGTCTGGTAGGTACAGATATACTAGATTTGTTATGTTGTGGAGCTATACTGTTTCCAGTTGTCTGGTAGGTACAGATATACTAGATTTGTTATGTTGTCGAGCTATACTATTTCCAGTTGTCTGGTAGGTACAGATATACTAGATTTGTTATGTTGTCGAGCTATACTGTTTCCAGTTGTCTGGTAGGTACAGATATACTAGATTTGTTATGTTGTGGAGCTATACTGTTTCCAGTTGTCTGGTAGGTACAGAAATACTAGGGATATATGTTTGTTGAAAGGGGGAGGAGAAATATGTTACACATTACTGACAAGATCCTTTTGGGGCAAGTTTTCAGGTTTTTTCCTGAAATTCACTTTTTTCTCCACTCTTGAAAGCTGTCTTTTTCAGTATAAAACCAATTGAAATAATACTAAATTCCGGGTTTTCAGCTAATATTTTTAACTTGCACCTTGGTAATAATTTGGCAGTTTTCATGCTTTACATATAAGGGAAGATCTTAGATGTCCTTAAGAACATTATTTATAATCAGTCACATCAGTACAATAATCAAATTTTTTCTAGCAAACTGGATAGCTTCAGCGTATGAAAGGCTCAAAAGTCCCTAGAGCAGTTTAATATCTACACTGTTGAGTCAAAATTTAAGGCAATCGTGTTCATGTAGACTACAGCGTAAAGTTATACCAGTGCTAGTTTCCTTTGTGGAAGCAGGACTATAATTCATTCAGGGCTCGAATCTTTGATAATTTGTATGCAAGTGAGACACTCTTACCACTATGCAACTGCTTTCCTGTGAGCATATACTATCTACAGTGCACTAACAGACTTAAAATAACATGTTACGTTAGGGCTTTAAAGAGTGATTGTAAAAATGATGGATTGAAATGATAAATGAAAGTTTTGTATCTGAATAACAGTTATAAATATATAAATGATTTCTATTTATAGGTCAATTAGGCATTTGCAAGAGGCATCAAGAGCCGATGGCAAAGAAGAATTTAGTCTCACCAAATTGAAATTATTTAGACAGTTTTATATAATGGTAAGTAATGTTTATATTTTTCCAAGTGTGTTCTACTTGTCTAAATTAATGAGTTTAGTTTAAATGTTAAGAATTTTTAACATCTATTTTACATGTACATTTTATTACACAAAATAAATATCTTGAGTTTTCTTGCATTTATTTCCCTTTGTTTTGCCCCAATTTCAAAGAAAAGGGGGTATATTGCTTTGCACTTGTCGGTCCGTCGGTCCGTAGACCAAATGGTTTCCGAGTGATAAATAAAGAACCCTTAGGCCTAGGAACTTCAAACTTGGTACGGTGATTGGTCATGACCAGTAGATGACCCCTATTGATTTTTGGGTCAAGGGGTCAAAGGTCAAGGTCACATTGACCTTGTAAGCAAAAACGGTTTCCGATCAATAACTAAAGAACCTTAAGGCCTAGGAACTTCAAACTTGGTATGGTGATTGGTCATGATCAGTGGATGACCCCTATTGATTTTGATGTCAAGGGGTCAAAGGTCAAGGTCACATTGACCTTGTAAGCAAAAACAGTTTCCAATCAATAACTAAAGAACTTTAAGGCCTAGGAACTTCAAACTTGGTAGGGTGATTTGTCATGATCAGTAGATGAGCCCTATCGATTTTGGGGTCAAGGGGTCAAAGGTCAAGGTCACATTGACCTTGTAAGCAAAAACAGTTTCCAATCAATTACTAAAGAACTTTAAGGCCTAGGAACTTCAAACTTGGTATGGTGATTGGTCATGATCAGTAGATGACCCCTATTGATTTTGGGGTCAAGGGGTCAAAGGTAAAGGTCACATGGACCTCTTGGGTAAAAACGTTTTCTGATCAATAACAAAAGAACCCTTAGGCCTAGGAACTTCAAACTTGGTATGGTGATTGGTTATGACCAGCAGATGACCCCTATTTGATAGGTAGTTTGATGTAGTAACTTAAGAAAAATCAAATAATAAAATAGAAAAACAACAAGAACAACAACACAAAAAAAGAAGCCTGAAATGTAATTATATGCTAAAGGCACACTTTACTATTGATATTGAAATTTGTGTATTTCAGATTGTGTGTTATATATATTTCACAAGAATTATTGTGTATTTATTAAAGGTAGGTGTTTTCTTTGCACTTGTATAATTTTATTATGATTTTATGTGTAAGTTTTATGTGTATCAAGTGTAAGAATGATATTTAGTCAAGCCTGTGAACAAAGGCAACATGTCTGTCCAGTTGGCTCAATAGGTAGAGCGTTGGACTGTGAATCAGGCGACCCAGGTTCGATTCTCAGTCAGCGCAGGTCACTTTCGTTGTGATTGATCTTGAAAAGCTTTTTACAGTCATTTGACTGGCATGTACAGAAGTTTCATTTCCTTGCGAAACTGAAGGCAACTAGTACTGGTAAACTTCTTGACAGTCTGCCCAGGATCAATGTGGTGGTTGAACTGTGCTCTGGTGAATTCAATGTGCCTTACTGTCGTAATCCGGAGTATAAACTACCAAAACCACCACCAAGGCAACACTTAAAGGAGATCAAAATGGTCCTTTTAGACAAGTGGTCCTTATTTGAGGGTTACTTTGTTTATTCAGAGATGGTCTTTAACTCAGGTTTGACTGTAACTGATAAAAAGTTTTGATATGTTTGAGCAAAGATTAGAGCCATTCTAAAAGAGAGTTCTACTAAGGTCAAAAAGGTGTTAAAATATTAAATTCTTGCATAGATCAACTTTAGTACTTAAAATGATAAAAAACAATAGATAATAAAGTAATAAACTTGAACTGTTAAAGTCAAATTATTCATAGACTTGCTTATCAGTAGCTCTGATTCAAGAGGGTTTCATTTTTTTATAATCAAAATTGTTTTATATCTCATTATAGATGACCGTGCCATTCCAATATGAATGGTTGAACGAATTATTCCGGGAGCTGGCAACAATCATGTTTTTCATAATAACGGGTTACAAGTTTAAACCTGCGGCTGACAATCCGTACCTGCGGGTCCCGACGGAGGAAGACGAGGAAATGGAGATGGATGAAGTGTAAATATCAAGTATTTTATACTAATTATATCCCCACAAACAAAGTTTAGGGGGGTACATAGGGGTCAGATTGTTGGTTGGTCAGTTTGTCCGTAAGTCGGTTCACATCCTGGTTTCTAGACGATAACTAGAGTTTGGAATGAGTTATTGTAATCAAATTTGGTATATAGCATCCTTATGTAGAGACCTTGGTTTGTATTGCAATTATGACCCCTGTGGCCAAGGTCAAGGTCACTGTTACTAAAAATAGAAAAATGGTTTCCAGACAATAACTAGAGTTAGGAATGAGATATTGTAATCAAACTTGGTGTATATTAAACTTATATGAAGAGTCAAGTTAGTATTGCATTTGGACCCCCTGGGGTCAAGGTCACTGTTACTAGAAATAGAAAAATGGTTTCTTGACAGTAACTAGAGTAAGGAATGAGATATTGTAATTAAACTTGATTTATAGCAAGTTTTTTTATGAAGATCCTGTTTTGGATTGCAATTAATTGAAATATAATTCTTTGTACACAGTTGATACTTCATTTACTATAGTTAAAGTTTTTTTTCAGACCCATTATTTTTCAAAAAGTCAAAGTTGCTGGTTGGGTTATCAATCACCTTCAGTGATAGCTCAATTGTATTCTATTTTTGACTTACTGGATGTGATGCGTACATTGCTTAAATAGATACTTAAGTTTATAGTTCATGTTATTGTTCACTACAGACAGATAAAAAGATGGACAAATCCATCTAAGATACATGTACTTAGTGTTGTATATAAATAGCTTAGATATTGATTTGAGATTGAAATACAAACCCTGGAATTATCCATGATAATGCATCTTAACTTAATGATAACTGGACATGATGATGACTATACATGTAATTATTCAAACCACTTGCCCTTCACCGCTGTGGGTTCGAATCCCGACAGGGACTTTGGATTCTTTCATGTGAGGAAGCTATCCAGCTAGCTTACGGAACGTCGGTGGTTCTACTCAGGTGCCCGTTCGTGCCTGAAATAATGCACGGAAGGGCACCTGAGGTCTTCCTCCACCAGTAAAGCTGGAACGTCGTGATATGACCTATACTGTGTCGATGTGACGTAAAACCCAAAACAAAACAAAAACATGTAATTATCTTGATTTGTTTGGTAACTTTCAGAATAATCGGAAAATCGGCATCTTTGGACACATTAAAGAAGGTGAATCAAGGTAACCGCGACGAAAGTACAGGACCAAAACTACGAGAAAGCAGTCACGAGTATGATTGACATAAACTGTCACCATCACGTGTTTGACTGACATAAATTTTCCGGTCTTTTATGTGTGATTGACATACATTTTCCAGTCATATTATATGAGATTGACAGAAACTTTCCAGTCATTTATGTGTTGTTGACATAAATTTTCCAGTCACCTCTGTGTGATTGACATAAATTTTCCAGTCACTTATATCATAGACATAAATTTTCCTTGTAATAAACAATGAGGGATATGTGTATATATTTCTAAATTATCGTACTGTGGTATTATAAAGTATGGTGGAGCAGAAAGGACAAAAATAACAAGAAATTTATTTATTATGTTTATAGAGCAGTATTATGATGTACATATAGACAATATTTACTATACTATGAAACTGATGTAAAAATATTAAATCACCAAAATTTATGACCAATATGTGATATGATATGTGCATTTATTTCCAAAATTGTTTTATGAATAGTAAAATGAAGTATGGTGAAAAAGAATGGACATGAATGAAAAGAACTTTATTAACTTTCAAAGGGACAAGAATAATATCATTTTGTTATTAATGTAAGAAATTGTGTGCTCAAACATAAAGTTATACTTATATCCAAATGACCAGTCTTTTATTGTATTGATCACTCCTGTCTTGAAAATAGATTATACTGAAAGTTTATATGCATCCAGATATCACCTTTTTACGATCCTTAAAAACATTGTTATTTTTTAAGTTTGCTATTTGACTTACAGATAATGTATAGGTAACTTTATGTAAGTCTGAAAGATGTAAAATGTGTTCTAATGTTTAAAGGTAATGCACCAATTTATTGTAATATCAGCACCTTGCTACTCTGGGATTGAATACCAAAGGGATGGAAACGAGCCATGTTTTACCTTCCATCTGTCACAGCACTGCTTAGTTAATGTTAGAGTTTTAATTTTGGTACCAAAACAGCGAGAGATATGTCCAACTGGTAGTATTGTGGGCATTAAGTGGGCATTTTACTAATGAATGTCCCTTTATGGGATTAACCTTCCAATAGATTAAAAATCCAAATATATAACTCCCCACTATTCCCTGGGGAGGGGGCATCATGATGCATTAACAAATGCATTCACATTTTTCTTGTACAATTTTAAACTGCATAAGAGTGGTGATATTGTTGAATGTAACAAAATTATTTAGTCTTATGACACTATAAATATTCTAATTTAATATATTGTAAATTTAGAAAATTTTCAATTTATTGTCAAAATTTTGTATGTTTTTCTCTTCTACTCTTTTTCTATTTGATGTATAGCTATTAAAGATCCTGTAACACATTTTTTTTTTCATGGTTTTATTTCATAAATATGATGCTCAAATTAAGATTTGTCAATTTTTTAAGTTCCAATAAGCATTATTTATAAAGATATTACCGAATTTAACATTTCATGTTAATTAAGGGAGGTAATTAGAAATTAATTGTCTATAAAATCAAAGTCAAATTTTCCAATAAGAACTGAATGTAAATATAATTTATTGATTAAATATAATATGCACAAATATTTGCAGTAAACATTTAACATATTCTTCGATGTTTGAAAATTGCTTTATTTGCATAATTATATACATATATATTTTTTTGCAAGTGTGGTACACACAGTAACAATATCAATCACAAAACATACAGGATCTTTAATTCACATGTCAGTTAAATATTTACACAAGTCATAAATTCAGATTATTGACTTAAAACCACTTACCTCTCACTGCTATAGGTTTGAGCCGCATCTTCAGATAATGCATGCTAGGAATCTATCCAGCTAGCATATGGAATGTTGGTGATTCTATTCAGGTGCCTGTTTGTGCCTGAAATGATATAGAGAGGGGCACCTAAGGTCTTCCTCCACGAGTAAAGCTGGAAAGTCGCCATATGACCTTTTATGTGTTGTTGCGACTTTAAACCGAACCAAAAAAAAATCATTGAGTAGTTTACACTGTTAACACGTGTCTGTCAAATTTTTTTACACATGCATTAAAGTATGTTCCATTTTTCTATACTCTGTACATACAGTAAGACAAATAAGTACTGTTCAAGATGTAACTTTGTGTATTTATGGACTTAAAACTTTTGTTAATTTAATGTCCTTTCTAAAAAGAACATATTTAAATTTTAGAAAATACATGAATATAAGTAAATTTTTTAAAGAAGTTTTGAAATATAAATTTTGATCTTGATGCTCAATCTATCAATCCTTTATGAACATGGGACCTGGCTTCGAAGCCTTAAAACTTGTTTTCTGAGCTCAGTCTCAAATGTCAGGATGTTCGTTGGTCAGTATACAATCTATGCAGGTTTCTGACCAATCAAATAGCTGTGAAAATGTTTTATAAACTTTGTGTAAACTTTGTCTAACATGTTTCTACAGAGAGAAGAAATATAAGGGTTGACGTAGAAAATGAATTTGTGTATATATACATTTCTGTGTTTAGTGAATTATTCTAGTCTTACCTTACAATCAAGATATTGCACATGGAGCTTTCAGGGTCATTCTTTCATAGGTCATAAACCTTTATTAATACTTCAGTGATCAGACAATTTCATTTTATGCCTGACATGACATCTGGTATGGCAATTTGAAATCACTACAAAATTTTCTAATAAATCATTCAGTTTTAGATCAGTTGCTTTAAATCAATATATTATTGTTATATGTTTTATCTTATTATTTATAGCGAGTTCGAACGGCCTGCTTGCAAAGCTAAATGCTGTTGTAACAGTATCTTATGAGTGGAATATAGAATTTAAATATTTGAAGAGGACTATAAAATTTAGATTCATTACGTGGAATATACAATTTAATTATTTTACGTAGAATATTGGATTTAGATATTCCATTATTGTATATACATTGTATATAATTATGAATGCTTAATTGTACATATTAATTCAACTAGATTATTATTATTGAAGATTTGTAAATTATTGCTTTTCTTATTGATAAGCATGTGTCCAGTATATCCAGTAAGACAAAACTCATAGTAACATGCGATCAAATTCAAGTAATTTTGTGGGCATACAATTCTGTACTTTTTTTGTCAAAAAAGGTCATTTTCGTTAATTTTAAAATTTGATGATAGTTTAAAATGCAAATAATTTTATGCAAAAATAATGTTACAGCCCATGATGAAATGAAAAACTATTGGATCTTAAATTCGTGAATTTACTGATATAGAAACTTCAAAACATAGTGCCCCTGAAATGATGATTATTTTACAGTACTTGCAAATACATTACCTAACTGGTAAAATAATTTTTCAAGCTCTTCATGAAAAATTAATTTCTCATCTAGAAATGTACATTATCGTAGGTCTGATACTAGTTATTTCTTTAGTAAATTTGAGTTGGATAAGAACAAAGCTTTGTAGTCAAAATTTTGTCTACAGTTATCCCCCTCCCTTCACAACTAAGCATAATTATGTCTCCCTGAAAGTAGGAAAATCTTGTCCGGCCTTCACAGGTCAAACTACTGGTGGGATTTCAATGTAACTTTGCAATAGTGACTAAACATAGTTTTGGGAGACATATGTTTTTGTGACAAAAACCCTTCTAGTTATCAAGTAAAGTACACCTTTGACTATGTTTATAAACCAATTGCTATACTGTATTGATCAGGAGAACAATTGTTTTTTGCGTATTTTTTGTTTGATTGCAAAACAGGATTGATAGATTCCTACTCTGACCTTTAATTTGAATATCAATAGATTTAGCCACAAACATTGTCACGTCCTCTTTTGTGAAAAAATTACTATTGTAATCAATTAATCTTATACCTAGAATTAGACAGATAAGGGATCATGCATTTTAGGTTTATAAAACAGTAAACAGGACAAAGACAAACAAGAGCTTTTTGAAAAGGGGTCATGGTCAATATCTAAACAATAGCCTCATTTTGAAATATTTAAATATGACATTGACCCTTAAATTATGTTGAACTTTCTCATAAGTTCACGTTTGCTATAAATTCAGGAAATTGTGATTGAATGTATGGGAAGACATTTGAAATGATTTTAATTTAATCAGAATTAAGTTATATTAATTTTTTAATAAGGTGGAGCAGTTAGTTCTGTAAGCTTAGCTTTAGATGTGTACAATATTAGTGTTATCCACTCACTTAATAGCGTAATACCAAATGTTATCCACATACTGGATGGTATTATATCTGTTTTATTGACACTGAAGTAATATCAGTTTTATTCACAAAGTGATCATGATATAAAGGTGACACCCTTGCACCTAATATTTGTAAATTGTGTCTGTTGTCATTTCTTTATAAACTTATTGTTACCATCTTGCTTCTTCTATCTCTTGATTAAAATTGTAAAAATTACCCGGCTTTGTTGTTTTTACCATTTAATACTGTCTTTTTTACCCTTAGCTTGTTGGTTGCAATTGAATTTACCCGTGCGACCAAATTAAAACGAGCTTAGCCAGGATATATGGGCCATCTGCTCATGGAATATTGTTGGCTATTCAGTCAGTACAGAAATTTTGTTTAAAGATTTTCCTAAACAAAGATTAATGGTTTTGTCCAGATTGAAAATTTGACAAAGCCATATTCAGTGTGGTAAGAGTTAAAGAAAAAATGTAAGGGACAAAGAAAGATGGTCCTAGCAACCACCTTCTTAAAAGCTCTAAGGAATGCTGCAGATAAATAGAAAATTTTCTATCTTAGACCTATTGATCATGACCCTGTTGAGGTCAATGTAAGGTAGATGTCAATATAAAATAAAGAAGAACACAAGATGTTTATATTTCTCTTATTTATTTTCAATTCAAAAACAAAAATAACTTTAGTTTTTATAAATGTACATAATATTTTTATATGCTCATGAAATTACAAGAAATAGATGATGTTGCAATTATCAAATTGATCATTAACCATCATTTTATCAACTTTTGAAAACATAAAACAACGTTTCTTAAATTAACGCAGCATACATGTTATCCTTTAATAATAACATTTTTTATGACAACATCAATACTTCAAATATCTTTACAAAGTAAACCAGTTTCTCTGCTACTTCAAATACATTTGAAGTAGCAGAGAAACTGGTTTACTTTGTATTATGTCAGAAGGATATTTTGAAGTTTTATTTACATACATCAATGATCAGATCCACTCAATAGTATGCTCTTCACAACTTTACTTGTATGGACTATTACAAAGGGAAATAAATAAAAATTATGCATCTCAGTTATGCATGTTGTATACTGCATTATCCTCAATAAGATATATCTACATAAGACGGTTCATGTCAATATCTCCAATTGTGTATGAGTTATGTCCGGTCAAAAAAATAAGATATGAACAGCATTACAATGGCCAATAATAAAATAGGGTGGCGACGTTGTCAAGTGGTCAATCTGTCAGACCTTTGCTAGTTTGACAAATTTTATTTTAACGAACACACCGTTATTTTTCCATAAGCAAAAACACTTCCTTATACACTTCGTTTTACTTAATAAGATTCTTATCTTCATTGCTTTAAGAAAATAATCTCCTGACTAAAATATGGACAAAATATGAAGGGCAATAACTCCAAACATATGATTTAGAAAGTAATGAGTCTAAAGGATCTTCAACACTGCACTGTTCCTCAAGGAAATATTAATGTTTATCTACTTTTAAGTTTTGCTCAGGCCATAAAAATTACAAATGTTAAATGTGCAATAAATCTTAAATGTACAGAGTTATGGTTCATGGCATAGAACTTCACAATTATGAGTCATTTATTAATATATACATGCATTAAGTTTAAATTTAATATCTCTTATAACTTTCTACATACGAAACAAAATTATACAAATTCCTGATTGGAAAGGAATATACATGTATACAAAAAAGAAAAAGTAACAATAGTACATCGCTCAAATGAAACCCAATGTTATTCAGAACAATGAATAGAAATTAATGAGATAATACCACACAAAATATCTAAGCTCTTAGCATTGACATTTAAGGTAAATTAAACAACAAGGGCTAAATGGTCAAAATTTATTGAAACACTTGGCATCTGCTACAAACATAACATCTTTATAACTTAGTTTGCTTGAAATGTCTATCTAAGCAATGATAGAAATAAGAATAAGTATGTATACAAAGATATTACATTGCTGTTAGAATACAATTGTTTTATTTATGTAAAATATTTTAAACACAAAACGTGTCAGTAAATAAAGCATAAGTAAGCGTTAATGACCAAGTGTTACAGCTGTTATATTACGTCTTACATAGATAGTATATACATTGTTAATTTAGCGTTATTTTTGTAACAAATAATAAGCATCGCAATAAAAAGCGTTCTGTTTTGTACTATCTCAACTAGAAATAAGAAAATTAAAACTATATACAACAACAGTAGCATATAAGATATTAAACTGTGCATCAATTCAAACACATACTTTATAACATAAATAAATATATAAAAACATTAATTATAAAATGACACCGATTTCGATGTCATAGTAACAATATCCCATTCTGGATGTATCATTACTGTGTTAACTGAATGTATGTAAATGTCTTTACTACATATACATAGGTATGTTATATACATGTCATTTTCTGTTTTCAGTTCCCAGAACATATGCATATAAACATACTAAGTTTGACAATAAGATATACAGTCACTTGAACACCAAAATGGTATGAAACACATGAAAACTATAAACATCTGTATATACTTAAATAAAGAACAACCCCCCCCCCCCAAAAAAAAAAAAAAAAAACAAAAAAAAAAAAAAAAAAAAAAAAAACAACAACAACAACATCAAATCTGACAAGATCAACATGGCTAAGCATAATATTGATGCACACTTATATTATGTACATTTTTTCTTCTTCTTTTTATATTAAGATTCCTTATAAAAATTTTGACAGGTTATATGGTCGTGTAAAAAACATTTGCTATGTAGCAAGGCACACCTTGGATATTACATGTTTTTATGTATTTATTATTATATACCCTTAAACTCAAAACAGACTGAAAGTAGTTGAACTAGTGGTGTTAGATATTTTTATTATACAAAAACAGAGTGAATAATGTTTGAAATTGTATAATAAAATGTAATTAAACTTATTACATCTAAATAAGAACATTATGATTGAAACACTGTCTGACAATCATACAATTCAATTTAAAATACCCTCTGATGTACAAATATAAACAAATCAGAGGTAGACATTTTGTATTTTCGGTTTCGACATCCATAATAATAAGTACATAGATAATGTACTGCCTACTTTCATGTCTATAAATTTACCTAATTATAAGTTCCTGTTCTGTGTATTCTAATATCATTGTGTCCAAGGTCTTTAACAGAAGTTTGTTGGAAAATGCCGAGAAGATAATTGCTATACAGCATGTGAGCCGTTATCTAGGTCATGTAACCTGTAAAAATCTTTATAACTAAAATAAATGATCATGTATCATACAAAATTATACAACAAATTGTGAAACTATCATCATTTTGACAGAATCAAATCATTATTCACCCTTCTAAGCTTATCGTCTATGTAAAAAATAATACATGTTTGTTTTGCAAGAATTAACAATAAACTGAAGACTGATATATATTATCATTTTTGAATTCTTCAACAAAACGATTATACGAGTATAATCTAATTAAATAAAAGCAATTTCAATAAAAAATATTTAATTATAAAAGCTGATTCTAACACTTAAGTCTCATTTGATTTGTGTTTTCTAAACGTGTGCGTGTAATTCACAAAACAAAAGTTCTAAAACACACACACACACACACACACACGCACCATCACACACACGCACACACACACTTAAATATTTGACAGCGACCTTGGTAGAACGTTCCTTTGAGACGACCATTTTTCTTGAAAAAACAAAGCAACAGGTATAATGTACACATTTTGTAATCGCGCCAAATTTTCAAAATTTGTTTTCCTTTCCTTACCCAGAAATTTCAGTCAGAAACTAGAAGGCTTTACAAGGTACTAGTCATGCACTGTTTTAAAATAATTTTCTTCATGGTAACTTGTTTCAATAAAGTCAGGAACCAGGTGAAAAGTCATTATATTGAACATATTGTCAATATAAATCATGTAATAAAGTGTTCTAGAACAAAACATTATTATTTATCATAAATTGCTTTCATACTTAATCTCTTTAGAACTCTATCAAGATTTGTTTTCAGTAATAGCAGAAATTACACAAGAACCACATGTTATCAGCCATGTGAATTAAACTATTTTGCACAGACTGACATCTGAGTAGGACCACATTATGTTGTCAGCCGAGTGAATTAAACAATTTGGCACAAATTGACATTTGAGTAGAACCACGGGCCTCCACTTAGCCAACTGAGCAAGAGCTGACATCTAAGTAGAACCACATCATGTTGTCAGCCATGTGAACAAAACTATTTGGCACAAACTTTCAACATTTAAGTAGAACCAAGGGCCTCCCATTAGCCAACTGAACAAGAGCTGTCATCTTTTTGTTTGGAACACAATAGCCCCCCTGTAGTCGTCGTCGTCGTTGTAGTCGTAGTCGAAGTACTCGTAGTCATGGTCGTAGTACTCGTTGCCGTATTCGCTGTTTAAGAAGTTGTCTGATATCACATGAAAAGATGAAGTTCGTCCCCGAATATGTTCTCTTAACAGTTTATGTTCTTCTACTGTCATGCCGTCCATCTTTACTCTAACCGACTGCAGATTTTTCAGTACAGTAATAAAGTTCTGTAAACTTTCTGCAGACATTTGTATAGACCCCAACTCCACATTTTTAATATTCATGTTACGTGACAGTAACAATGAACTTTCATTTAGTTTGATGCCTTTCAACGTAACATTAACTAATGACGGTGTTGTTATATTTAATTGTAGCTTAGCGTGCATATTCATGTGTAACATTGATAGAGATGTATGTTTTGACAAGTCCAAGTTCAAACTCTTACAATAATGGTGGCCATGTTCGTTACAGTGCAACCTGTCCAATGTTACTATTTTCATTGATTTTTTACCGGAGATAAAAATGAAAATTGTTACAAGTATTTTGTGAGATAACGTGAAGTCGCTAATTTGTAAATATTGTAAGTTTTGTAATCGCGCCAAATTTTCACTCAGATTTTCCTTATCCTTTGTATATTTACCATCCGCCAAAGATACGTACTGTAAACTGGGAAACAATATCCGGTTTATCTGAGCCTCCTTCTGCCCGTCACCACGATAGTAAAGTTTCCGTATATGACTGAGATCTGTGAGAGAGAATGAATCTATAATTTCACTTAAACTGCTGGAAGTATTGCTGGTGTCTATATAAAGTGATTTTATGTTGGTTTTATTTTGTT